GCTCAGCAGTGTCCACGTGATTGGCGTACGCGCCTGCGCAGCGCGTTTCTTGGGAGCCGTCCGGCCGCCCGCCGTGGTCCCGCCGTTACCGCCGTCTTCCGCGTCACAACCGCCGTCGTCGTCTCACCGATTGTGATTATTGTCTCTCGGAGTTTCGTCCACACTACGGACACCACGTGCGCGCACACTTATGCCGCAGTTGTGCAGATGTCGTCGAATGCCGTAGACACCAAAACGTGGCGGAGAGTGCGGTGCAGACGACACTCGCGCCTGCCACACGCCCGCCCCAATCCCGCCCGTCGTTGGGCCGAGGATCACGTGACATCTCGTACCACGTGATGGCCATGTACTTAGCAGGGGGGTAAAGGTGGGTGAGGAGGAGTGGCAAATCCCGTGCGCCGACATCCTGGGTCCCGAGTGAACGAACGCAAAAGAGAGCGACAGAACACGAGAGAAAGAAAGCAACGTTGCCATGGTAACGCGAAGAGTGAAAGCTCTTAGCAATATAAACAGTGATAATTTAACGTTGTAAACTAAATTATGAGCTATTCTAACGCTTATAAAAAGCAATAAACTCATTACGCTGCATTAACTTCCCTTCTGTCGAAATCTCGGAAATCTGGTGGTTGCGCAGTTTCGTATTCCTCAACCGCGCCCAGCCGCGCCCCACTGGCGAAGCCGGGTATATGGTTTAGTTTAGCGTTAACGCGGGGCAGTACATCTGCGCGCTTTTCAAAAAGAAAGCTTCGAAAGGAACGTGAATATCTTTCCAGCGGTAAGTTCGTGAATTGTTGAAGTTCACGAAACTGCTCTGATGATGTAACCGTGTTTGGGACCCAGAAGGTCTGCCTGCATGATCCGCCGCTTGCGGCAGCCAGAATGTATGGGAAAATGGCGGACCTTTTCCTCTAGAGTTAGTATATGATCTCTATGGTACTTAGCGACCCGAGGCCAATGTTGCCGGGCGGAGCCGAAGTTTCAGTTTCGATTTCCGCTCGTGTTAAAAATCAGATTTCAAAATATATATCCCATTTTTCGCGAAGCAAACGACGTAGTGTGTTTTACTAGGGCTTTTTAATTCGAAATCAATCATAATCCCGAAACCTTCGGAATTGAGCGGAGTTGCCCTTTAAAATATGATGCACTGATATTTAGTTACTCTCTCCGTGCCCGCTGGCTTGCCCGAACCCGAAGAGACGTGGAAACCGTAAAAAAGGTAGAGGCTTAACTCTGCAGTCATATTTAAGCGTCCTCTTTTTGCGATTCCCACGTCTCTTGGGGTTGGGGCAAGTCAGCGGGCACGGAGTAACTAAATATTATTGCGTCATATTTTAACCGGACGACGCGGAAACTTCCTCCACCTACGGGGGCGACCGGCGGTGCCGAAAGCGCGCGATATGTGGTCTTTGCTTCTGGCCTTACTACTAATCAGAGCCGCTATTTTTTTTTTTTTTTTTTTTTTTTCGAAATGCAAAATATAATTGGCGCGAACCGTTTTAATTATTTATGACAGTAGTTCTTGTTCAGTATTTTAGATCAGAAAAACAAATGCAGCTATAAAGTACAGAAACAAGAAATGACCCGTCGACATACCCGTCACCAAGCGATGGAAAAGGCAGCGCATACTAGAAAGAGGCAGTGGGATCAGGCACCGATGAGCGGTGAGCGTAGAAAGGTCCAGGATGTACGCGGCGGCGCTGCGGTCGTATACGGCCTCCAGGATCCGACCGGTTCCGAAGGCTCGGAACGGGTTTGTTTGGCTTCCGATTTGGACGTTTGGCGGTATGGCAGCGCGATGTGGCTCCCGTTCTGAACTGACCTTTACCCCGTGCTTGCTGTCGTTTGTGGCCAATGAAGTGTCATGCCGAATTAGTCGTTAATCGCGCAGCAAATGCAATGCGAGCCGCCCTGGCTGCCCGCTTCATAGTCTATCCAGAACATGCTTTAGTGGCGCCCTCTCGAGCCATCGACACAAACTGCGGCAGCCGTGAGCGCTCGCAGAGCTCACTACCCCTCCTCTCGTTCACGGCCACTCAAGCAACCAATGACGTCATGCAGGTTATTTTTGCTTGTTTTTATAATTTTAATTTGACTATAACTTTTAAAATAAAGCGAAATTCGAGAAAACTGTGCACTCAGGTTCAATGCAAATTAAAAACCAGTCAAAAAGTTGTTGCAGGGACCCTTTAAAGGGCAACTCCGCTCGATTCCGAAAATTTCGATAATGAGCTATTTCACATTAAAAAGCACTAAGAAAAGCCACTTTGTCGTTTGCTTCGTGAAAAGTGGATATATTGTTAAATCTTACTATAAACATGAGCAGAAATCGAAACTTCGGCTCCGTCCAGCAACACTGGCCTCGCGCCACCAAAAACATGGCTCGACATGGCTATCAATCACAGGGTATGAGATGCCACATGATCCACTACGCAATGACAGGCGTGATTGGGGCAAGCCAGCCGGCCATTGTTGGGGCGGGCTTGTGCCAGGCTCAAGTGTCGTCTGCACCGCACCCTTCACCACGTCATGGTATCTACGACATCGACGCCTGCACAACTATGACAACAGCCTGTGCACGTAGTGTGAACGAAACTCTGGGAGAATAATCACAAATGGTGAGAAGACAACGGTGGTTGTCGCGAGGGACACGGCTATAACGGCAGGACAGCCGGACAGCTCCCAAAGAACACGCTGCACAGATGCGTTACGCCAGTCATGTAGACACCGCCGAGCGCCAAAAGGAAACATTGCTGACGTCACCCGTAACGCTTTCCGGGAGCAGTAAAAACAAACAAAAAGGGGGGCAATGGAGATCACATTTAGCTCAATGTTGGTAAACCAATGCCGTAGCCCTGACTGGGCTGTTGGTTGCACCTCAATTCGCCCGCCAGAGTCAGCCGATTTCGGCAAGCTGGCTCCTTGCAAAGTTTGCTGGACTGTTTAAGAAAAATTTAGACAGAACTAGGTCGTAATATTTGACGCGTGGATGATACTGAAGAGGACTGCATTGTATTTTCAAAAACAAAACGAAGAGTAATATTCAGTCGTGTAAGCTCGTAAGCGCCGGTTGCATAAGCTCCGTTCGCGTAAGCGCCAGTCACGCAAGCTTGTAAGCACCGCTAGCCGAAACTGACGTGACCTAACGTCGTCCTTGAGGTCGTCCTAGAGGTAATCCTAGATATTGTATCTAGTACGACCTCTAGGACGTCCTCGAGGTCATCCTAGAGGTCCTTCTTGATGCCGTCCTAGACATAGTTCTTTTTAGTCATCCAATACGTTGTTTTTGATGTCATCCTCGATGCCTGTACGGTATATTACAACCATTTCACCAACGTACAATTTCCTTTCCTAATTGTATTCACTAAAATGTTTCTGTAAAACTACCACATCTCATGAACAAAAGGTTAGGGCACAAACGAGTTGGTGGTGGTTAAACATTTTACTAAAAACCCAGAGACTGGGACGAGAAGGGAAGGACAAACACAGTCTCAAAATTTGTTTGTGTTTGTCCGTCCCTTCTTGTCCCAGTCTCAAGGTTTTTAGTCAAACACATTTCATTGCATAAAGAAAGCTGCGACTTTTTTTTTTTTTTTTCTTGTTTTTAACAGGCGAATTTACCAGGGGTTTATCTAGTATTGTGAATCTAAGCGCAGAGTGAGGCACACATTTTTGGAAGGGACTTTGGGGCATGTATGCCATAGGTTTGTGTACTTTGTGTAAGGAATGCGTTAGAGGTGTGCGTATAAAGTACCAATGTGTTCAACAAAGACCTTTAAAACATTTGATTAAATGTATATATAGGTATATATATATATATTTAAACTCTAACCTCCCCCCATTTTTTGCTTTCAAATGGCTTCATTTATTGAAACGCAAACCGCAGGATTCATAGCATTCACGATTATAGCGGCACTCTCGGGTCGACTCTGCACCTCTTGATTGCCTTTTCTTTCAGTGTTTGATTGCGGTTTACACACACATTTGTTGGGGAAATTGGGTCATTTGAAACAGTACAACTACTTACTACTTCCCTGGATTGGACATTGGTTTGCAAGTGGAACTCCATACTGTCATAACCACTCGGAAATATCTTGCAATGTTCACGTCTCCAAACATACCTCGCGGTTTTGTGGTTGGAATCCTTTGCTTTGGCGTAAAATAATGATCTACTATTGTTTTTTTGCATGCCGAGTTGTGCAGATAATTGTGTTTTATGTATGAAAATTTCTTGCACAATTGATATCCATGCTGATTGTGAGTTTCCAGTTCTTTTGCAACCTGCATTCCACACCATCAAGATTGCCAGTCTTGACTCGTTCTGAGCATGTGCTCTGAACCACACCCTCAAATATGGTGTCCCCTATAGCGACAAGTAAAAATTAAAATGTATAAAAAATCTCGGACATTTGTTTTTAACAGCTGGTCTTATCTCTACTCTAATTAGCAATGACATTGCCGTGCAACCCATATCTAGTAACGTGATGTAAAGCGAGAAATACCAGTAGACTATAAATTGCCACTTTTAATTATCTAAAAAAAATAACTTAAAATCAAGGAAATCTTTATGGAACACTGCACAATAGGCAGTTTTAGAATAGTGCATGTTAAAGCTTTGTGTACGAAAAGAATAGCGTCGTCGCCACTGCACATGCGCCGAACGCTAACCACATTCTGTGCTTTGCGTGCGCTATCTTTTGGAAATTGTGTGTGTACAAGTTACAGCATTTCGTGCGTGAAATAAAAATTGTGACTATCTTGGTGGCGCTGCAAGCACGAGATGCCTGGGCTTTTGCGTCGCGGTGGAGAAACGCTATTCTAAAACTCTCTTGTGTAGCGTGCGCTAACGCAAGCGCTAAACTTAACGCTAGCATGCTTTAAAATTGCGTACGTCATTCTAAAACTCCCTAATAAACCCAGGAATGGCATTTCTGAAAGTAAAAGATTGACAGAAAAAAAAAGAAGAGAATGGCAGGCACAAAAAGGGAGCCAAACAAACGAGCTATAAAAAATTTCCAGGTTTTATTATGAAGTGCTGCAAAGGGCAAGGTAACTGAACCTCATGTTTGTCAACATCGGGATTAAAAAATGATAATGGCATGGCACCAGTGCCTATACACACACACACATAAAAAAGGAGAATTCCCTTCGAGGAAACACTGCAAATGCAGGAAGCTTGGAACATATTAATGCCTACCATGAGATACTTTTTTTTTTCTTAAATTCCTGGAGTGCACGAGATGCCAGTGGCTGGACGTGAAACATCCTAGGGCCAGAACGGAAGATGGTGAGAAAATAAAAATAGTAGACACCATCTCGATTTAACGTAAGTATCACTGCTGTGGCAACTGGCACCAATTACGTCTCCTTGCCCCGCAAGGTGTACAGGAAAATAATGTGGCTCAAACCAAACGTACCCAACCCACCTGTCGGGAACAACTCTGCAGGTAGCTAACGCAGGCTCGTGCGTGCGCGTTGGTGCGCGGGAGGTCGACGTCAAACCCTGTTCGGGTTTGATCGGGATCCCCCTAGAACCTACCAGATCGCTTAACACGTTCTCCAAACAGACTCTGGCGATCGTCTCGCCGTCCCAAGTCGGCTCGGCCGAGCGGCAGATTCGAAACACTCGAGAGACCTCTCTGCTGACCAGAAAAAACGGGGGCTTACAAATCAGCTCAGTCGCTGAGAGAAGCTAAGCACAAACACGCCGAGAGAGCTGCAACGGGCGGTGGGCTCTCTCTCCAAACTGGGGAGCAGCTTCCACAGTCGGAAAATGTAACAAGTGCTGCGAGATATGGCACAACGAAAAAAAAGAAAGGTTGGTTGATTTGTTTGGCATATGCGATGTGCGTACCATGTGCGCTCGTAGGTAACACTGTGCTGATGACGAAAGAAAACAAAAATGCGTTTCTGCCGGAACCCGCTAGACCCGTTCTAGCGCTCTAGCGTCGGAACTCGAGACAAATGTGTCCAACCTCAAAACCGTCCCGGGGAAGCTGACAAGCAATCACACGCGAAGCGACAACTCCTCGAACGAAAGGAAGGATGCGCTCCTATTAATGCGCCTCGGGTGGCAGGTGGGCCGTCCTCGGGGGCTCTTGATACGGTAAACGCTTCCGGCTCGATTTGTACTACTACGGCGGCAGACTTGTGCGGGAACAAAAACTGCCCGTGGCATTGCAATCGGCGACCGCGACGCAAAAGGCGAATGGTACATAAATAACAGAAGTCAAACTTGGAAGCTACCAGAAATCTTCGTGGCAGTACCCTGTTTCTAAAAAAAAAAATTAGGAACCGGCTACAGATAAAATAGAATCTTGTTTGAATCTACAACGAAAATGAAGTGAGAGCCATAAAAAAACCTATATATAGACCCACCGATTTGAGATGCCATCGTTCGAGCAATCTTTGTTTGCTCGGAGCGAGGCGACGGGCGCGCAGTCTTCGCACCTTCCCAAAATCGACGCTCCGCAAACGAGCGGCTGACAAAAGAAACAGAGAACTCTTTTCTGGCTACCGGCGTTCTTTTTCCCAGACTTCCGCGACGTCCTACCACGACGGGCACAATCTTAGAAAGAAACGAAACAAAAAGCCGTGCGCACAGAAACCGAGAATCGCGTCGACGGAGGGCCTCCGCGATCCGCAGGCGGGTGTTCTCGGGGGCGCCACTACCTCCGACTCCGGGGAGGTGTTCGTCGCTCCGGGTACGGGCACCGTCGCCCGTCTCCGAGAGTAACCGGAAGGGGGGGCGGCCTCTCCAAAGTGGGAACTACATTCGTCCGATCGTCCTTGCTTCCCAGTGGGGGGAGGGGTTTTGGGTTCCCTGGGCCGTCCGTGCGCAGACCTCTCCGCTCCCTCCATGGGTCCCCTTCAGCACAAGGCGTCGGGTCGGGAAGGCGTCAATGCTTCGGTCGTCTTCTCACTGGTCGTCCAGCCTGCGTGGGTTCTTCACTGCGTGGCCCCGTCCCGCCACTGCTTCTGTTGCTCCAGCAGGCGCTCCAACGGGGACGGACCCGGCCCGGACCACAGCGACTGCGGCGGAAGGTGGGGGCGCCATGGTCAGCCGCGTCTGGTGCCCGCCTCGCTATCGAGCCCTCTAGAAGCCGCTCTCGGGAGAATCTCAATGTGACAACAAGTATTTCTCTTTCATTTTTGCTAATGCTAGTAGGGGTGTGCAAATACTCGAATATATGAATTTGAATGAAATAGGAAGTTCCCGAATAATTCAATTCGCGAATCGAATTCCTAGTATTCAGTCACTCGAATATTCAATATATTCGGCCAACGATACACAGTCGGCGCGGAGCTGACAAAAGAGTCGTTTTTCCTCCCGATGTTAGCGCCGTGATGTTAAACAGACCATGCGAAAAACACGTATTGGTCCTACCATTCCACAAAAATCTAACGTAGAGGTTAGAAAAAAGAGAAGTAATGAACGCCACAAACTTTATAGCAAGCAGATTTACTCATATTCGTGACACAATCTAATCTTGAATCACAACCGAAACATCCCGTTTGCGCCACTTCCAGAGAGGAATTGTTGGGAGGCCGAAATTCCGCGCCATGCCTAATTCTTTTCACGAGTAAAGCCCCTCCTTTCAAATTGAAGCGCCGATATAGAATACACTTTCCACACTCACAGAAATCGGCGACTGCAAGATCACAAAAAGAACCCCACGTTAACTATGCCGACAACCCAGCCGAGTTGTCGTCATCGTTCTTTTGGAACCACAAGCCGCAAATTCTGATTCGAAACGAAACGGAACGGAAAACTAGTGTGCCTAGACTTGAGAGGGTTTCCAACCGTTCGATAGCCGCGTTTGAATTACGAACTACGAGAAGGTGACGAAAAGGACCAAAGCGTCGATCGGGCAGGCGTCGTTGCTCTTCTGCTCTTCCGTTTGCTCGCCTTCTTTTCCCGCGACAACACAACACATGCGCACTTACGACCAGTCTGTGCACGAACCATCTCCACGGTTTCAGTTTCGCTTGCTCCCTCTTTTAAATCTAGGCTCTCTAAAGCAGAATAGATGGACAGAGAAATGGATGCATAGCGGCAGTTGGACGGTGACTTGCGCCACCTAACAACATGTTTTAGAGCACAGCTCTTAGGCGCCCGTTTCCGGTTTAAGCAACGTCGGCGTTGGCGTCGGCGTAATTGCGCGGTGCATGATGGGTAAATTTCCCTGCTAAATTTAGCGGAAAATGTTCCCCCCTAAATTTAGCGGAAAAAATTCCCGCTAAATCTAGCGGAAAAAAATTCCCCGCTAAATGTAGCAGAAAATTTTCCCTGCTAAATTTATCGGAAAAAATTCCCCGCTAAATCTAGCAGAGCATTTTCCCTGCTAAATGTAGCGGAAAATTTTCCCCACTAAATTTAGCAGAAAAATTTCCCCACTAAATTTAGCAGGAAAGTTCCCCGCTAAATCTAACAGAAAATTTTCCCCGCTAAATTTAGTGGAAAAATTTTCCCGCTAAATTTAGCGGGGAATTTTTTCCACTAAATTTAGCGGAAAATTTTCCCCTAAATGGGAACGAGCAGAAGAGGAGGGGCATAGCCCCTCTCCGTACCTTCCCCTTCTCCTCCTCAAGAGCTGCACTCTAATTCGGCGTTACAGGGAGTTGTAAACGGCTTTCATTTTTTTTCTTTTTCTTACTCCAGATTATATTGTTTAAGCCTGTTTACTTAGATTTAACAGCTATCTGTTTATTTATATAAAATAAAAACCCGGGTGCCCTTTTTCTCCCTTAAAATCGAGACCAAATATAGCAAAATGCACCTTTTTCCGAGATATACAAATATAAAAAAAAAGGACATGTCGCAGTGTTAGGTCGTGCTTTTAACGAGGAAAAAAGGCACTGGGCTGTAACTTCAGATGCTTAGAGTACATAAATTAAGTTTGCGCTATAAAATTGGATATTTGGCGCCCAACGTCCATCAGTAGCCGTTTTTTTTTTGTTTTTTTCCACCAGAATTTTTATACATATGAGTTTTTGTTCAGTACGAGATGCATATCCTGCACCAGGTGCATACTCTCTACATATAATAATCTCATTCACAGCACAATTTGCAGAATTCCTACAAATAAAATCACTATTAGATATTCGGCTTTTTTTTCTTAATTCAATTCAGTATTCGATTCGATAACTACTATTCGGTATTCGGCACACACCCCTAATTGCCAGCAATCCTCGGCATGCACTGTTCTACTAAGAAGATGGCGAGATTGCGTTGGTACATGTAGAACGACAATTCTACTCGTTACTAAATTGAGCTTATAAAATACCAAATATTTATCAAACATTCCAGCACTCTTTTCAATCATGTTGAGTTAACCTGAGACTGGGGCAGAGAAGAAACATCAAAACGTAGAAGGGACAGAAAATAGACAGGACGACGTCTCTTTGAGACAGCTCGCCTGCACCCTTACGATTTTTTTCTTACTCTTTTCAAGATTTTTGGCTTCCTCATTTCAACACAATGGACCGTCATTCCATATTTGCACGAATGTAGGTCAACCCCTTTTTTAATTTGTGAAAATCAGAGCTGGGGGGATCGAATTACAATCAAACCAAAACATTCCACGAACAAAAAGAAACAACAAAAAACAATCACAATAACAACAACACCTCGGCTTGTTACGGGTTTAGCCAGCTGTACCTGTAGCATTGCACCATACGGTACTAACCAGTCAATAAAAATGGCACTCAAAAAGCGAAGCATTTATGGGTCCTCTTTGCCTCGCAGTGCTTGTCATCATTGCAGCGACGCCACTTCTCTGGGATGTCAGGCAACACCGTAACTCGATGTCACCGTGTCATATCAGGGCGTCACCTTGATGCCACAGTGTCATCTACATCACGCTGTCGTGAGCCATCACAGTTTCACATGACCACAATTTTATGTGACGTGTCGTCGGCTCACTTTGTATGACACCATGATATCACAGCGTCACGTAAGATCGTGGCTTATTGCAACCTTCTAAATATACAGGTGCCCTTAGGAATGTGAGCCAAACCGTTTCTGCGAAAAGTATGCATTGCACAGAAAAAAGTTCAATGTCGTATTGGGCTTTGTCAAAGGGCCTATTTGGGAAACTATATGATGTTTGGTATACAGTTGAACCTCAATTTAACAAAACCCGATTTTATGAATTTCTCGATTTAAGGGGAGACACTGCCCAGAAAAAAAAATTTCTGCAAAAAAAGTTGAATTTGAAAAATGACATCTTTACATCCACCAACATCTAGAGAGTATTCCCAAAAAGTTTCATTAATTTTCACTGTATAGTTAATTTTTTATAAATTATTTTCCGTCCACCAAAGCTATAGAAAAGGTAGGGTTTGGAGCACTTTGAACACATTTTTCTCCGTTCCACTTTTTGGTATAAATTCCATTTTAGTCAATCTATCGTTTGATAATGGCAAAACAGGGAAAGCTCATTCTTCCCTTATCCTGACTGAAATTTAATAAGGAGTGCGGCTATGGAACTTTTTTGTCACTTTACGAATGTCTTTTGTAAAAAATGTTGACATTTTGGCGAAGGCACAGAAGACCAAAAAGTTGACCAATTTTGCAGAAGAGAAAATTTATAGAAAAGAATTACTTTTTAGAAAAAATGTTCCATAGCCGCACCCTCTAGGCATTCTGCTACATATCTAGCAAATAAAAATCTTTAATATCGCAATAGTTTTCTGACGATAGATTAACTAAACAACGTAGGCGTGTTGCTGATAGAAGATACTCTTATTTCCTTCTTATTTAACCGACAGACCTGAAATTTTGTCATACACCCTCTAGCATGACCACCAGCCTACCCTGTAAATTTCGTTAATTTTAAAACAAGGGTTCAAAAGTTGACCCCCCTAGGGGGTGTGCCCCCTTAACGAACAAATACGGATTCCCCATGCAGCCTATGCACGAGGTCTCCCTTCCTCGATTTTACGAAGTTCCCGATTTAACGAAATAATTAACGTGTCACGGTGACTTCGTTAAATCGAGGTTCAACTGTAATTAGCTTATTAATTACTTCCGAGTGATTAACTTTTTAATTTGTGAATTTATAGGTATGGTTTTTAGTGAGGAAATCACCCAGCATACCACCCAACTTCAGTGAGGAACTTGCTAGGGATTATTGAAAATTGCTAAATCAACCTATTCGAGAAATATAGAAATAATAACTTTTTTTTCCGGAAACTGCATTCCGAGAAAAAAAAGTTTAATTTGGGCGCGTTTCCAGGTTTCAGCTTCCCATTGGAGTGCATCTTTGCATTAGCAATCCTGCCCCCGGGCTGAGGCATGCAGCTACCGCTTTGCCTCTCTCATAGGAGGAAAGGATCAGTGGCTCGTGTGCACATGCGTGGCCAATGCACGAGTGTGCACAAGCATAATTGAGGCGCACACATGCGTTGCACGCCTCGGTCATGGGGGGCAGGACTGCTGGCCAAAACTCTGCTCAGACAAGAAACTGAAACCTACAAACGCGTTCAAATTAAGCACTTTTTCGGAATGCAGTGAAATGCGGTACATGCCTTCAACATTTCTAGAATAAGTTGATTTCGTGGTTATTCATGATCCTCAGCAAGTTCCTAATTGAAACCATACCTATAAATTAACTAATTAAAAGTTTAATTACTCAAAAGTAATCAATAAACTAATTATATCAAAAGTTGTTTATTTTTCCAATTAGGCCCTTGGCAGAGACAAATACGAGATTAAACTTTTTTTCTCCGTGATGTATACTTTTTGCAGGCACAATTCGGCTCACGTTTCGAGAAGCACCCTATAGACTGGACTATTGTGTGCAGAGTGCAATGTAAAATTAATATTTGCTGACTTTCAGAAACTGAACAGACAATAATGTTTAGTGTTAACTACTGCTTTAACCCTTTAAGTGGCCGCTTTTTGGTTCAAAATGCCATGGACGAGCTTAGCTCGTCCTGTGGTTTTTTCGGTAGCCCTTAATACCCAAACGAGCTAGGCTCGTCCGAGTAGTTAGCGGCGCTGCTCATAGATGGCAGCACTCATTTTAGATAACGCCTTTTTTTTTTTTGCTGCTGTTGATTTTTGCATAATAAACTTTTGAAATTTTATTTGTTATACTAGAAAACTATAACTTAATAAAAAAAATACATGGCATTTTCAGGTTGCTTTTTTAAAAAACAAATGTGGCACTTAAGGGGTTAAACAACAAAACCCGCGATGAGTGACAAAACACTGTTCTATAGCCCACCTGGATTCTGGAATGCATCACCATGGGGTCAATGGCCCCAGCTGCTGATCTTCCTCCTGAAGAAAAGAACATGACGAAGCTGACATCAGAGGCCACACAAGGACAGGGCCGATTCAAGTGGGGAACAGCTTCACTAATGCAGTATGCAAGAGCCACCGAGGGAACAAATAAATGCTCTAGAAATGAACAAGGCCCAAACACAAACTCACTAAGATGCCCATTAAGTAGGGGTGTGCGAATACTCGAATATACAAATTCGGATTGAATCAAAAGTTCTCGAAAAATTCTATTCGCGAACCGAATCCCTAGTATTCGGTCACTCGAATATTCAATATATTCGGCCAAAGACGCGCGGTCGGCGCAGGGCTGACAAGAGCGGTTTTTTCTCCTGATGTTAGCGCCGTGATGTTCGACAGACCATGCGAGAAACACCTCTTGGTTTTACCACTCCACAAAAGTCTAACGGACAGGCTAGAAAAAAGAAAAGTAACGAACGCCACAAACTTTATTAGCACGCAGATTTACTCATGATCGTGACGCAATCTAACCTTGAATCACAACTGAAACTTCCAATTTGCGCTGCTTCCAGAGAGGAATTGAAAGGCCGGAATTCCACGCCATGCCTAATTCTTTTCACGAGTAAAGCCCCACGTTTCGAATTGGACCGCCGATGTAAAACACTTGCCACACTCACGGAAATCAGCGATTGCAAGATCACAAAAAAAAACCATTAACCACGCCGATCAAACCGGCCGAGTTGTCGTCGTCAATCTTTCGGAACCGCAAGCCGCAAATTCTGATTCAGAACGAAACGGAACGAAAATAGTGGGCCCAGATTTGAGAGGGTTTCCACCCATTCGATAGCCGCGTTTGAATTACAAACTGCGAGAAGGTGACAAAAAAACAAAAACGCCGATCGGGCGTCGTCGTTCTTCCGTTTGCTCGCCACTTCTTTTCACGCGCACTTACGACCTATCTACGCGGGAGCCGTCTCCGTGGTTTCAGTTTCACTTGCTCCCCCTTTTAAATCTAGGCTCTCTAAAACAGAATAGACGCATGGAAAAATGGATGCACAGAAGCAGTTGGACGGCGACTTGCACCACCTAACCACATGTATTTTTTTTTTGTGACAGATTTACTCAGATTTAACATCTATCTGTTTATTTATATAAAATAAAATCTCGGGTGCCTTTTTCCTTCCTTAAAATTGAGACCAAATATCGCAAAATGCCCCTTTTCTGAGATATATAAATATAAAAAAAGGACATGTTGCAATGTTAGGCAGTGCTTTTAACGAAAAAAAAAAAAAAGGCATGCGTGGCTGTAACTGAGTTTTTTGTGATGCTTAGGGTAAATAGATTATGTTTGTGCTATAAAATTGCATCTTCAGTGCCCAATGTCCATCAGCAGCTGTTTTTCTTCTTTTTTTTTTCTTTCTTCATTAAAACTTTTATACATTTGAGCTTTTGTTCTGTACAAGATGCATATTCTGTTTGCACCAGGCGCATAGTCCGCACATATAATCATCTTATTCATAGCACACTTTGAAAAATTCCTACAAATAAAATCACTATTAATATTCGATTCAATATTCGGCTTTCTTTTCTTAATTCGATTCAATATTCGATTCGATAACCACTATTCGGTATTCGCACACCCCTACCATTAAGTAGGAAAAAAAAATTTATTTCCCATTTTTAAAAATTAATTTGTGCACAATTTATGAGGAGCCCACTCAAATATTGTCACGAATGACAAGTGATGAGGTGACAGAAACTGAAGTAAACTAAACGCTTAATGGGGCAAACTTGTGCCCAAAACAAAAAGGGAATAGAAGATAACAATAAAGCATGCTCGAGCGTTGGGGCGAGACTGACCCCGGCTCGCCACGCGAAGAACTTTTTGTACCTGCATGTGTCTCTGGAACATTCAACCTAGAACTTTCGGCGCATAGAACATTTGGAACTAAATCAGAGGAGAATGTTCTCAAACTTACGAGAACACCAAGTTGAAAGAATAAATAAAAGGGCAGTCCATTGACTGGAATCGAACCTACACCTTTCGCGCGACAGTCAAGCGCGGAAACCACTTGGCCACGCACAGGCTCGCTCGACGACACGCATGGAAATATGCTTTTTCATGGGGATATATAAGCTAATTGCTGCAATGCATAAAAAAGTCTGATATAAAAAAATAACGAAACAGGCAGAGATAATGAATGTTCTGGCAGAAAAAGAGTACACTAAAATGACTGCACTGTGACAATACGCGTGACATTTGACATGTTAAGAATGAGCACATATCTCCTTCTTGGGAATAGACATGTTCCAGGGTTCATCATTCACTACACTCCTCCTGCAAATCACATTGACTGGTTCTCCTAATGATCTGCAAGAAGGTAAACACAGAAACCCTTGTTTGCAAGCTATGCATCTATTAATCAAATAAATATGAAAGTAGCTAAGATCAAACCCGAAGTCATCAATGATGCAATGATGCACCGGTTCACATAGCCGCTAGTTCTGACTGCTAGTTAATAAGGGGCTCAATACTGCTTGCTCTCCTCCACATAGTTTTCTTTTTTTGCAACTACAGTATACACCAGAAGTGGCCAGGCCGACCCGGCCTAAGAGCCGCAAACAAAACCATAAAACTTCCAAGAGCCTCAGGGGGGGGGGAGGGGGGGGGGGGAAGGGTTAGGGGAGGGAGCCGCGGGCCGCACTTTAACAGGCGAAGAGCCGCATGCGGCTCGCGAGTTGCAGCTTGGCCACCCCTGGTATAGACCAACTCATGTTTACAAACAAACCGGAGCGCCGCGCATGTGTGATGGAGTGTGGGCAAGAAGCTTGCCGTCGCCCATAAACAAACCATTGAAATGCGATGTAGTCGGCGTCGGTGTGAGTCTTCCCGCCCCTTTCTCACATTCAAATTGTTGATTCTATGTCTTCCTGGCAATGCCTGACTACTTGAGCGGCCTTAGCGAATTTACCGAGGCTCGTTCACTGCAAAACTCCGCGTGAATAATGTGACATGCAGCGATTCATTCCGCATGGATGCCGGAGAATGTACGCTAAAGCCTGATTCGCGTGATGAGATTTCGCTCGCAATTTTCAGTTGCGACGTCGCTCGGGCTGCAAAAGCGTGAACCGTAGCTGAGATGGTCGACGTCGATACTGAAAATTGCAAGCAGAGTCTGACCAAGTGAATCAGGCATAACAAGTCGGTGATGGCCACTGGTAACAATGATCAACATCATCTTGTATCTACTCTTTACATCGAGCCTGCTTACCAATTTCCAAACTTAAGTCTTTTGAGGCCTGCACTTACTTCTTATTGCAAGTACCGGGCCAACATTTGGTCTACAGGCCGGTGTCGTCTAAAAAAGCAGACGACAACCAGAAGCGTTTGAAAGAGCAGACGACAGTTCGAATGATCAGGCGGCCGTTTGAACTTGAAGACGCACTGGACGTAGTCAGCAAGTGGTCCGTACAACTTGACGGTTTTCCAGCGTTCATGTTGGATCAAAACAAATAAATCTGATGACCACAAGTATCCGTGAATTCAACCCAAAGTGCTTCCCACCCAAGCAATCACGGTACGACGGCGTCTGGTTTTACATTTTCCCGGCACATATCCACGTTCTCGGAGGAACCGAGCACATAAAAACTGATCTTCAAACCTCTCTCGACTCTTTTAGTACAGCCCCAGTTGCGGCGTTTTGACGAGAAGGTAGGTTTTTGTCAGTTTCCTTTCAAAACAATGCAGTAATACACGTCTCGCATGGGGACTTCCGCCCACAGCCCCAGACCAAAAATGCGCCCGACGTGCCACCACCGCGCTGTCACGTAACAGAGATGAGTTTGTGTATAGTGCATGATGAGAAAATCTAAAGGGTGTTCAATATTTTTAAAACTTAAGTGATTTATTCTAAACAGGACTCTGAAAGGTCATAGAATATTTTCACGGCCCATTGAATTGCCCAGGATCAAATATCTGCTGGACGTCAGCAACAGCCATTCAAGTGTACAAGTGCTCAAAAACCCACGAAATACCTCGAAAGTAAACCACCTTAGCCTAAGGCACACATCTCTCTAAACATCTCTCCAGGGCAAACATTTTATTTCATTGAGCCATTTCACGAGGGAATGTTGCACATCAAGCGTGTGGTGTAGAACACCCGAGCTAAAATAGCGAAGCGATTATGACGAAGCTGGGGAGAAAGGACAATGAGATGATGGGAAAACGAGAGAGATAAGCCCACCGTCTTTGGCCATGTGCTGCAGACCAGAGGGCCACGGAGAGTTGAACAGCGAGTATGTGTTGGCCGAGAGGTCGGATGCTGAAGGCTGCTGTGCCGTGCCAGACGGCATCATCTGGCAGCCGTTCACCTGGAGCAAAGCGTTTCTCAACTCCACAGACACGCTGAAACAACTTGTATAATCACATTCCTTGCCACAATAAAAAGAAACTGCAAGGACTCCAACAGACTCATTCACCCAAAAAAACACAAAGTTTAATTTATTTCTCACTTAAAAAATTGCATCCTTTAGAATCAAAGTAGAGAGCACAATGAAATCAAGGAGGGTCACGTCGAAAAATATGACATTATTTTTCCCACGCAACTTCATATCACCTTTGGGTGGACAACTGCTCCTTCAGCAAACCTACAAACTTATCCCCTCCACCTCCCCAGTTGGCTGTAACCCCTCCAAAATAGCTTTTCCTGGCTATGCCCCTAACTGTACAGTCGCAATGTATACAAAGGCAAAACCGCAATCGTCAACTGCGCCATATCGGCAGTGTCGTAAAGTGGCAGTCGGGGTGACTCGTGTGCTTTGCAAACCAAGCGTGGCAAGGCGTGAGATAAGATGAGCAAGCCGTCACCGCTGCCTCTTCACACTTTAGCAATACGGAACATTTGACGACCGTACGTTTGCCCTCGTATAGATCTTGGCTACGTCATCTCCATTGCTATGCGGCACACGACACACCCCCCAAGACTACCTAAATCATTCCCCACTTCTTCACTGAGGTACAGTGTAAATCATTTATATAACGATAACGAAAAAACCTGAAATTTCAATCGTTATAACCGATTATTACTAGAAACTCTAGAAACTGATCGTTACAAGCGATACATTGCTATATGTGGTATCGTTATAAGTGGATCGCACTGTATTCCAGCTGCGCCTTGTTGCCCTAAAGCATTTTGATCCCAAGGAGCCACTACCTCTCTTGAATGACAGCTGAGCAACCCCTCTCAGTCTTGGCAATAAAGCAGTGCAGAAGCCTACAGACCTTGTACAGTAAAGCACACACAGGAAAGTGTTTTGCACATTGTTATGCATCATTGGATGACTCAGATCAACTAAAAACATGCTCATGGAGGGCACTACCCAGAGAAAAAAAAAATTCTGCAAAAAACATTGATTTTGAAAAATTACACATTTGCATCCATCTGCATCCAGAGTATTCCCAGAAATTTTCACTAGTTTACAATTTATAGTTAATTTTTAATAAATTATTTTCTGTCCACCGAAGCTAAAGAAAAGGTAGGGTTTGGAGCATTTTCAACATATTTTTCTCAGTTCCACTTTTTGGTATAAATTCCATTTTAGTCAATCTATCGTTTGATAATGGCAATACAGGGAAGGCTCCTTCTTCACTTTTCCCGACTGAAATTTAATAAGGAATGCACCTATGGAGTTTGTTTGTCACTTTACGGATGTCTTTTATAAAAAATGTTGACATTTTGTCGGAGACACAGAAGACCAAAAAGTTGACTAATTTTTCAGAAGAGAAAATTTATAAAAATCAACGACTTTTTACAGAAGCTTTCCATAGGCGCACCTCCTAGGCATTCTGCTACATTTCTAGCGAATAAAACTCTTGAATATTGTGATAGTTTTCCGACGATAGATTAACTAAACAATGTAGGGGTGTGGCTGATAGAAGCTGCCCTAATGTCCTTCCCACTTAACCGACAGACCTGAAATATTGTTATGCACCCTCTAGCATGACCACCAGCCCACCCTGTAAATTTCATTAATTTTAAGCCAAGGGTTCAAAAGCTGACCCTCCCGGGGGTGTCTCCCCTTAAAGGGATACACAACGAAATTTCGGCGCTCATTTTTTGGTCTATATGTGTTCGAAGGAGCAGCATCACATCGAACATACCAATGTCTTGTTAAAAAAGTCACGAAAAGGAATTTTAAAACGAATTAAATGATTAGCAAAGAGCACCTGGTGGATGTCGCTAACGCCTCGTTTGTAATGCCCGTCTAGGAACCTTGACAGCTAGTGACGGAGGTTGTCTCGCTTACGGCCACGGCGAGGGAAAAGGGGCAGGAGGAACTCCCCTCTTCCCGAGAATGCTTGTTGTGTGTCGCAGAAGTCTCTATAGTCCCCCTAGAAGATTAGAGAAGATTAACCCGTCACTCAAAATTCGTACAGAAGCAGCCGCTTCGGTGGCTGGAACGCCTAGGCCATCCTCTCGACGTCAGCCTCGCCGTAGCTTTGCTCGTCCCGAGATGACCTACGTCACGATTGCGTTAAGTGTCACGTGGTCTCCACTGGGCCTTCTCCGAGCGCTAGCCAGAGTGGGCCGTTTATAACGAAAAATACAGCCACCAGGCGCAAAATACAAACATGCGATTGTCATTTACGGATATTGTGGATCATATTCAGACTATTTTTGAACACGACGGGAATATTTCAAATTTCGTTGAAGTATCCCTTTAAACTGGAAAAACATTTTACTCGGGAGCAGGAACGATCGAGAAACTTTTGAAGTTGGGGGAATCCATCCGGGGAACCTTTGGAATTTCCGCGCAACCCAAGTTGAGAACCCGTGGCCTGAAGCGGCAAGCAAGAGACCTTTATTTTATATTGATACTGGCTGTCCCAGAAAGCTAAATAGACTAAACCATGTACAATGGGCAAGCGGGGATGACTATTCCCCATTTCAGAGCTTCAAAGTTGGTTTGCATGCATTCAGTTTTCTTCAACTACCTCTTGTGCGCCCTCCTCCCCCCCCCCCCCGATGAATGGAATCCCCCACCACTTCCGCAGATCTACAAAGAGACCCCGAAACATCGGTGGTTGAGAACCACTGGCCTAAAGCAATCTTCCCAAAACTTTCCATCGTGCCGATTACGGCCGCACCACAGTCCCGTTGCGTAAAGGATGGTTCACAAACTTGAGACTGCTTATGACTGTGTACCTTAAAATTTCTTATGACGAAAGAATGCACTGGCGCCATCTACCAGGTGGCTGTCGAACACTCGCAGTTCCCGTTTATTTCCTTTTTTTTTTTTTTTACGCATCTTTTTTTTTTTCTTTTTTTTTTTTAACTTTAAACAGTGTTATAAACGACCACTTCTCATAGATAATACATACATTTGACCTCGAATATATCGTAAGACCTTCACTCTAGTGAAATGCAGTTACCGGGGTCACCTTATAGATGGCACCCAATGTGTCCCCTCGCTGCAAGAAATTGCAAGAACTCGGTCCTAAGGTCCAGTGAGTGAACGGGCCTCGGACTCACCTCTATGAGGTGCGGAGGCACCCAGGGGGGCTGACTGCCGCCGCCGGCCACGGCTGGGTGCTGTTGCTGGTGCTGCTGGAAGTGCTCCCCGGCCAGCTTGGCCTCAGCCTCGGCCACGCTCTGCTGCTGCTGCCTCAGCAGGGTCTCCAGGTGGGCCATCGTGGGAGCGGCCGCCTGCCGGGGCAAGGGGCACCTCATTCGCCGCTCGGGAACTTTCTGCGCTCTTCTACGGTCGGCGTAACGGGGCTCGAGTCGAAGCCTCCGGTCCGCCTCTTCCCCGATAGACCTTACGCTAAATTCACACGACTCCCAAAAATGTAGTTACGTGCGCTGAACGCCTTGCGTCTGCAGCGGCAACGGTTTATTTATTAACACCTCGAAAGCCCTACCTGGGGCATTACACGAGGGATGGGCTGCCAAAAATTGCGATACTAAAAAAAGTAACAAATACACCCGAGAACGACATACCTATACTTGGTTTCACCTTAAGGGGGGACACCACCAATTGCAATTTTTGAGAAAAAACAAATTTTCCTATTTTTGTGTATTGTGGTTCCACAACTAATAGTGTATACTCCTCCAAATTTTTGTGCAATATCTGAAGTATTTATGGAGAAATAAAACATTTTCGGTCAGCCAACGATGCAAAATCATGTATTTTTGAAATGTGAAACTTCCGTTTCCTATTTTAAAACTGCGGTAGCTTTGCACCGGTATGCTTTAGAATGATGATCATAGTCTCATTGGAAAGAGCATTTCTTCACAGTTTCAATGCATTAAACATCTTTGTTTGAGAGTAAACTCTATTCGGGCAAGAACACCATAAAAGTCCAGCTTTCACGTAGAAGAGGCCATGCATATGGCCAAGAATCGAAAAGCCCACCCTGACTGAACACAAAACTGACTAAAACCAGCATTCATCTATAGAATGTCACGTGGGTTTGTCTGCTTTGTATTTCGATGATGCTTGCCCTGCCCATACTTCCTGATGTTGGTTGGTTTATTGCAAGCATACCCAATTCCTCACTTGTTTCACAATCAATGTCCAGCTCCAGATGTCGACAACAGAATGACATACAAACAAAGCGTTTTAAGCGCGGACTCACTCAGCAAAGCCATGCTGGAGATTGGGTGTAAGCAGAAGGCACCATCCACGCTCTTGGTGCCTTTTACGTAGCTGCCACCACCACCAGTAAGAGCAAATGTAGTGGTGTGGAAACTTCAAACAGGTTTCTCTCAGTTACACTTTTTTGCAGCAACTTTCGTTTTAGGAAATCTATCATTTCAGTGAATTGCTGAATGTATTCTTTGCTGTGGATATTTCTAAACTGAAATTTAATGAGGAACGGGGCCAGACAGGGGCGGATTTAAAGGGGGGGGGGGGGGGGGGGGGGTCCGGATGTCCTGACCCCCCTCTTGATTTCCGTATGTGTAAAATTTAGGGCATGAAACGAGGGAGAGGGGGAGGGGGTTCCTAAACATATGGTACGTTGACCAACACCTGACCCCCCCTTCAGGAAATTTCTGCATCTGCCCCTGGGGCTGGGTATTTATTTTTTTATTTAAATAAAGTTCTTATTGCCAACAAGTAGAGTTTTGATGAGGAGAAAATGCCCCATTATGTGGAATGCTTTTCAAATTGACATTTTGCATTAAAAAAAACATGAATTTTAAGGTAAAAAATAAATAGCCCCCCCCCCCCCCCCTCCACCCCCACCACCATATGTTCTAGTTAAGGCTGAAGCTTAGAAATCCTTAATATTCTCCAGCAATTTTATATGATAGATTTCCTTGCCAAGTGAGGAGACTTGCATCAATAGCTCTGTACTACCTCCCCTTGTAGCTTATCGGAAAGTAGTCCTACAGAGATGAAATTTCATAGAGTGCATTTAGGCAACGAGATGAATAGACCCTCCAAATTTCACCAATATTGAGACTGGTTTAAAAGCCGACACTTGTAGGTGGTGTCACCCCCTAAGCTGAAGTATAGGCATTAATTGAAACAGACAAAAGCTGTACATACAAAGAAATAAACCGAGTTCTAAAACAAAAGTCCAAAACAAATGGCACCTTGCACATGCCTTTGTCCATGTCTTATTTCTATTATTTACTTGTAATCTTTTATGCTGCTCAGGCAGGCGCATGCAGCGCATATACCCGTGCTCCAGTGTTCTGCTAGACACTCGGGTAATTTCGTGAAAGGTCTATTCCCAACAGTGTCTCTCTCAAACTCCAAAGCAGAATGTGTTTTAGGGCTGGCTTTCAAGCTTAGGGTGTCGCGAAAAGTCGTTATGAAAACATAATAACACGGGTTCTCTCGACACCCGCCGGATGCCGAGAGAACCCGTGGTTTCTTCCTCATTGGGAATTGAACTCCAGACCCCTCGCTCCGTGGTCCTACGATCTACTCCTGCACCCGTGGAGTGAATTGGATTGGTGATGTTATGGCCACTATGTATTTGTGTTGCCGCAAAAACGTCTTACCTCGGCACTTTGCACAAAGACGAATGGCGCGAAATGCGTCGTGTGTTTCCGTAGGCATCCCTGATGGAGTACCCCAAAAGCCAAATACACAAAACAAAAAGTTAGAAAGTCGGTCGACAGTTCCCCAGTCGTGCACCTTTGTTAATTTGAAGACCCGAAACAGCAGCAGCTTCACAAAGACTCGAGGGATTAAAATCCCTCGAGTCTTTAGCGTAATGGCGAGCTTCGGCAACCCGTTTCCCGCATGCCTCGTGGCTCGGATATTAGTTGGTCGTGGAACGGGTGCTCTACCTTCTCCTCGCAAGATCTGATCTAGCAAATCTCTTCCGCATTCAAAGTTGCGGAGGGTGCAAGTTGCTTTGTCCTCGCGCTTGACGACCGTCTCAAAGTCGATTTCAAAGGAACCGTCCGGTACCCGGATCTCAAAATCTTCATTTATCTTTCCAAGCTCATCGTTGTTTGCATGCAATCGTTCGGCTACGGCGGTAATGTGGTCAATCGTAGATTCACCGTTTTGCAAAAGAAGAAATTTCCTACTTTTCGTTTTGCATTTTCAACACCTTGGCAACACCCAGCTTCGCGGCAGACTCTCCACAAGAAAGCAATCTGTTTGGCGCCAAATCGACCCCGTCACACTCACCTGGTGGGGTCCGTTGGCCCCCAGGTACATGAACGGGGGCGGGCCGTGGGTGGGCGGCATCCTGGGCACCATGGGCGACTGCTGCGGGGCCGCCGGCTGGGCCAGCTGGCCGCCCGGCACAAAATAGTTCCACAGGTACGAGGGGCCCGGGCCAGTGCCAGGCACTGCCGTGCCAGTCAGGAAGGGGGGCGTCTGCTGCACCCCACCACCCCCGGCACCCTGGAAGGGAGAGACCACCACCCGGAAAGATTGGAATCGGAGGCCGGCAGACGACTGTACCCAGCCAGAGAGAGAAATCTATGCCTTCTGGTAATGTTCTAAGGGTCACATAAAGACACTACATAAGCTACACTTCAGAGTGACGACTCTTCGGCCATCTTATTGCATCAAATAATCTAATTAATTTATTTTTATTTATTTTTACTTGTTTGATGAAGGAGGATCGACAGTTTAGGATCTTTAGGCTATGCATGAAAAAAGGGGGACTGATGCGAAGCAATGCAAAAATTTGTAGAGCCCTTCCACTTCACGTGAAGATGGAGGACCAGTGAAGCTGTTATTTTTAGGACGTCTAAGACGATGCCCAGGGGGAAATGTCTAGGACAACCTCAAGGACGACCTTCTAGGACGATTTCAAGGACGACGCATAGAGGACGACCTCAAGGACGACTTCGAGGACAATGCCTAGAGGACTATGTCTAGGACAACTTCTAGCACGTCCTTAAGGACGACTTCTAGGATGACCTCGAAAACGACGCCTAGAACGACCTCTCGGACGACTTCTAGAACGACGTGTAGAACAATCTCAAGAACGACTTCTAAGACAACCTTGAGGACGATGCCTATTGGGCAACCTCAGAGACGACTTCTAGGACGACCTTGAGGACAACGTCTAGGACGACGTCAAGGACGACGTCAAGGACGACCTCAAGGACGACTTCCAGGACGACCTCGAGGATGACACCTAGAGGACGACGCCTAGGACAACCTCTCGGACGACCTCAAGAACGACTTCTAGGACGACCTCGAGGACGATGCCTAGAGATGATAACAAGGGATCAGGACCTCACTGTCCAAAAATGCCAAGGAAGGCTGACTCACGCTGGTTGCCCCCTTTTTTTATTTTATTTATTCACGCTGGCCACGACCGATGGAGAGTTTTCTGTCAACACCCGTGGACACATCTTTTCCAAGATCCTAGCGCATAACAGCTTCGCTGTAAAAATACATTGTGGTTCTATGTGGCAGAAAAACATCTACAGTAAACTTTGTAACGGAATGTCTGAAGCTTTATCCAAAAACACAGAAAATGCCTTTTGACCCAAACGACTTTCATTTCGGTCAGTAGGGGTCGCTTGCTAAAGCCACACATAATGAAAACATGTCACACTAATGTCGCTTATATCTTTACAACCGCACTACCCGCGCGTCTCACTTCGGTATCGTTGTACAGAAGAAAGAAGCCATTACTCGATCACGCGTGTCGCAAGCGCAGATGTCGTGCCACGCACGATGCAATTGAAGCTAAATTTATCCTCGCGGGTGCCGTTTGCAGAGGCGTAGCTCGGCAGTACATTTGTCGATCTGAGCAGAAGTGGTTGCATTTGAGAAAGCTCACTCTGCCACAGTAGGTATAATCCATCAAACTCAAACCAATGCTCATCGGGAGTCACTAGGCTTACAAGTGCGTAATTTGTTGCAGAAATATGACGGTTGCTCGGCCATGGTGCCCTTCACGTTCGGCACGTAGGGTCCAGAAATGGCATGAAGGGACTCGGGCGGCGAGACAGAGGGATGCCGATTCTAACCTACCCCCTTTGACCACGGCAGAACGTGTTTGTCTCCATAGGAAGCAAATAGGGAGTGAGCATGGTTGCACAATTAGACTGAATACCTCCCTAGCTGTAGCATAAGTTAAGCACGTAAGCTTCGTAATGTGTGAATCAATGTAAGTTGTATATCTAGTTACGTCATTTCTGTACTTTAGTGCCCATACACCCTCTGCAGCATGCACAAGATGTTTCGTACACTCCACTGCGGCTGCATCCCCTACACAGCCTAGCCATTTTTTTGTCCTCCAGAAATTCTGGAACAGTCCGTGAAGAGGCACAAAAGGCAAAATGATATCACCGGAGCTTCCCAACACTGTATCTAAAGCTCAGGAAGTTTCATCCCTTGTTCATAACTATCACCAACTGTGCCCTGCAATAGGCAATAAAATGACGGTGCCCACGAGGCAATTGGGGAATGAAGTGTCGATGCTCTAAGCAGAGTCTCTAAGGTCACACATTTTGACGGCATCTTGTTGACATTTGTTTTCCCCACTGACACTCAGAATTTCAAATGTGCCACACTCGAATGATCATAGGTTGGCATAGAAAAGAAACTTGCACTCGCGAGCCCATCTCACAGCACGTCATAAAAGAAATACTGCACCGCACAAACTTTGTGAATGAAGAAGCTCCTTTCAGATAGCTGGAAGTATGAATAGTGGCAGTCCACGTGCCTGCATTTCTTTCACGGTGGACAGCTAAAGCCACTGCCTTGGAAAAGCCTGTTGTTCCGATCGTGAGTGTCCCTTGTCACTCGAGCCCACAACCGAAATACAAGCTCAAACACAACTTTTAACACATGCTTAGTTAATTTGTCCATTTTGTAACAGCCTTGCCAGTAAAGAGAGCCCTCAACTTCTACAAGAGAGCATGTTGGAGGTGGTACTATTAACTCTGCAGCCAACTGTACATATCCCTCGTAATAAGATAGCTAGATTTCAGCGGGCAATATACCTAAATGTAGATGCACAAACTGCAACACAATTGGCGTGCGGACACAGAAAAAAAAAAAGATGAAAATTAAACCACTCTAAAACACAACTGTGTAGTCACGCGACGCAGTGAGGTTACAGGACCCGACACGACGTGTAGGGGACCCGACGTTACCCGATTCAATCAAATTGTTGGCGCCGCGCGCGACACCATAACTTCACACCGTGACATCAGGTCCCATGACACCCCATGCAAGCCATGGATGAACACGAAATCCGAGTTATCCTCCATTAGAATGCAACTGTGCGTGAAAAATACCACCGAAGTGAGCTGAAAGAAAATGCCTAAATGAGTTGGGCAGCCCCTCACCACCCCGAGATGCGGAGGCTGCTGGGGCGGAGGAATCTGCGCCACGCCCGGGTCGAAGGTGAGAGGCGGAGTGGGCCCGCCCAGTGGCTGGGGAGGCCTCCCGTTGGTTGGCAGGTAGGGCATGTTCACCCTGCCACTGCCAATGCCACCGTTTCCCACTGCATGTCTGCAGGCAAAGGGATTATTTACAAACTGAGTCCAGTCCTATCTGAAATTTGGCTGCTAGTCAAACAGTAGCGTTATTCACAAAAGGACTTCTTGCAGAAATGCCGATTGGTAGATCAAGTTTTCCCAAAGAGACCTGGGCCTCCGAAGAAGTTAAAAACTTCAGAGGCTCCTGAAGGGTTCCTTTTAGAGCTCTTCTTACCAACTTTAGGTATCTTCATGCTTCGATCTGCCACGAGACTAACATTAACACTGAGACACTTCTTTGTGACAGACGCTAATCCTCCTTCACAGAGCACAGTTATGCTTCAATTAAATCTAATGCAACGAATACAGATTCCAGAAGTTGGTAAATTTCTATTTGTGTGGCAGAAAAATCCTCCAAGCCTAGAACAATACTAACTCGGTACGGTTTCCACTGGAGCTTCCCCACATCCCCAATAGTGTCGGATACAACCGTATTTACTTGCATAATGAGCGCACCCCCCCACAACAGGATATCTGGATTTTTTTTTTCTCACATAATGAATGCACTTTTAGTTTTCGGTTTCGCAAGTCTTGAACTGTGTCCAACTTAGCCAACTAGCCACCAAGCCCGCCAATTTTCTTTTGCCACCAAGCGGCCAGGCCAAGTCAAGCCAAGCCAAGCCAAGCCGCTCCCGTAAAGGCTGCAATAGACCCTTCCCGAAATTCAGTCTGGCCACTTTGATCACTATCATCATCATCGGAAAAATGGCATATGTGCCATACCAATGGCGGCATTCTATTTATTGATGAAGGAACATGCTAAAGATACTCCTAAGCTGAGGATTCGAGGCCTATACATTCTAGACGTTAGCACGTTGCAAAACCGGAATTGAATGCAAGCGCTGCGTAAGTGTTCATTTCTCTAATTCGAGCCCAGTGAACCTGTTACTGGCACAAAATCGACTTCGAAACCCCTTGACTTATAGAACTTTATCAAGGCGTCTGTCTGGGTTGGCGCTTCGTTCTGACTGGTTGCATCGTTGTGGGAATCTAGACTGGATGATATGATCCAGAAAAAGCTGTATAGCGAAAAGTTTATTCTCGTATGCCGTTGACATGCAAAAGTGACGGTGCCCGATAAAATACTGCAGGCTACGGGTTCATTGCCGCCATTCGTATGGCAGAAGTTAAACCGCCATTTCAGCCACCAGATGGCGCTGAATTTCGGAAAGGGTCTATTGCATGGTAGCAGAAGTAATCAACTGTGAAACGGAGCGGCGTGCATGCCTAGCAAAGCTGGGGTCAAGGGATTGCCCAGCCCCGGACTTGCTTTGTCCATCAGATGCATTGATGTCAACAAACACGCTGTCGTCCGCGATCCGCTTTCGGGCAGTGATATTGTGAAATAAGGTTAAGCCTAAGAACGGTCATGTTGCCCTCCATGCTGAGTGAGCTTCGAAGGGCGCTTTCTCTTCGGCAAAAGGCATGCCAAAAGCACCCTAAAAAAGGTTTGAAATTTATAGAGCATGGTTACTGTGTGCACCCACGACCAGCAATGGGTGCGCCTCCGTCAGTGGAGACATGCCGCAATAACCTGCCATGTCATATTGGCAACTAAAATGACATTTCCGCAAAGTGTGTAAATGCAAAAATTTTACCCCACGTAATGAATGCAGCACCAAATATGTGCCAATTTTTTGGGGAAAAAAGTGGGTTCATTATGTGAGTAAATACGGTATAGGCAATTCACCAGATGATTCTTCTAAGAAAATAATCTTGTAAAAAACAAGTCCCGGCTCATTCCCCATAATTTTGATGTGTCGGCACGACCGTTATACGAATTCCTGTTCACTCAAAATATACATGGTTGCAGAAGGTATAAATGATTGTTACCCTGAATTTACAAGGAATGAAGTAAGAAGTAATTGATTTCAAAATAGAACAGGCGGCAAATAGAACAAGAACAAAGACGAGAAGATGAACAGATGAGAATGGTGACTTATAGCTGACCTTTCTTTGCAATGGCATTGAAGTACAAGTGCAGTAGATGCCATACAAACAATTTTTTTAGCTGTAAGCCTTAGCAAAACAATTTAGTCTAACATGGTTCAAATTCACAATGCCCCATGGAGCCAACTTTCCAGAACCTAAAAATATTTAAAGAGAAAGACTCACTGAAAAGACTGAGGTTGCTGATGCCAGCGCATGTGCTCAGGCTTGTCATCCATGTGGTGGTTGTTTTGGGTGGGAAGGAGCTGGAAAAAGAGCATTCACCTTCACTGCTTCTGCTTCAACCGAACAGGAGTAAAACTACTGTCACAAAGGATTCCGGAACAAGACTACCTCCGGCAACTAAAACGAGACAAATATAGTATCAGAGTAGTTCCTCTATCAGTTTCTAGAACACTATCTCTTTAACTCTCAACCAACTTTCTGCAGCAAACCTTGGTTTCTTTGTGCACTGCATAGGAGAATTTCTTGCATCTGGACTAAGCACCAGGCGCGACTGTCTAAGGAAAGTATCTTTTATGAGCCCAAGTTTGACCCGGCGGACAACAGACTAGGTGCAAAGCCAGAAAATACGGTACCCGTTATGGGCTCCCAAATACGATGTAAAAATTCCCACTGACCATTTCGTTGGTCGTTGGCCTCCTGGCACCGTGATTGTCCATGACAACTGGTGTGCCTCTCTGCTCCCTTTGTTGGAAAATGGCCTGCCCACATGCACACAAAAAGAGACTAAAGTATATCACACTGTACCTCTGGAATTCCTAACCCAGAGATATAATGCTACTCAGTGTCAGTACTGAAATAAATCAGTGTTCCAAAATTCAAAAATCCAAAGGGCATCCTAGCACCAGTGCCAAAATCGACAAGAGCACAAATGCACGTTCCAGAAACAAGCGTGGTTGCACGCAGCTCTCAAAGCACATATACCGGTGTCTGGAAAAACAAAAACTGCAGAGCTGCGTTTCAAACACACTTTATGCGTGACACCTCAAGTTTGATCACAGGTAAAAGCCGGGACCAACCTGAACAAATCTGTGCAGAGAGGTAAGTGCCACGTCACGAGTACATTTTCAGAGTTTAGTTTCATGCGCTGATTGCGATGCAAGAAAAAAATCGCCTCGATTAGACATTACGTCAAATGCAACAAACGTGCGATGGAATTTGACGGGGTCTTTGCCAAGCGGCACCTATTGGAACAAAATGCGACCCGACGCGTGACAAACAAATTGCAAACGTATAAAGGACTTCTCTTCTTCCTCGTTCGTGCATCTCTTCTTTGGGGACATCGCATCATTTTCTACAATGTGCTGCTGCGCGTAGAGTCTGACGCCGTGAAATGTCTCCGAGCCTACTGAATTATTTCACTAATATGCAGTTCCTACCCCATAGGTGGCAGAGGGGGGGGAGAGGGGTGCATTAGCACACCACTATCTTTGCCCCCTCCCTCCGCACAACCTATGCATGGCACTACATCATTGGTCGTGCGTGCTACATTAAATCAACAGCTGCACTCCGTCGCTGACACTCTCCCGTGGCTTTGCTACGGTACGATTGACATCAGTGAGCGAGGTCCTTGCAGGGTTCTCTTACAAAGCTGTCACTTTCAAAAGTAACATAAATACCTTACCTCTATGTATAAAGTCGGAATTAAGCGGAAGGTGTATTCGCTCGGCTCGTATATTTTTGCATGTGGACGTAGATTTGTCCTTACTTGTGCGGTACTTTGGTAGTGCCTGACCAAACTGTCACAAATAGCGCGACAGCCGTGTGACTAGTGCCACTATGGGTCAAGTGGCAATCTGATGCGATGTCGGGTCACCTGACGCAATGGTTACACTTTGGTGTCGCAGCGTCGTGTGTCGCGCGACGCAGCGAGACGTTACAGTGTGGCGACACCGCGACGTCGTGGCATGACTGCCTTCTAGCTAATGACGTCATGTGATCGATGATGTGCATTTCCAAATGAAATAAGCAAAAGTAACATGTCATGGTTTGATCGCCCAATGCTTCACAATAGCATGACGTCGCACTGCAAAGGCCGACCCTCATAACATGCTCAGCATTAAAAAGAAACTCCAATTTCCCGCTTCTTCAAACAGCAATAAAACTCCAGTTGAAACTAGACACAAAAATCACTTCAGCAAGAGGTTTACAACCCGTGAGGAAAACAGACACTTGCCACTGAAGGAAAAAAAAAAAAACAGCAAAAGGGGGGATGAGGTTCAAAGGGACCATCTGGTGCCTGGAGGACCGACCTGCATGGCGGCATTGCGCGTGGGTCGCCGGTCCTTGCGCTTGCCGGCGTCGTTGACCTTGCCCAGCTGCCCTTCCGCCTCCAGCTTAAAGCGCACCTCCGGCACGGGCCCGCCGTCCGAGCCAGGGCCCTTTTCGCACGGAGACGCCAGAGACGACACACCTGCAAGAAAAGAAGCGGCAGCTCAGCTATTTTCATACGACGCGTAGAACATTGGATACAATCTGTCCCAAGGGTTATCTAATGTCTCCAAGAAGCGAAAAAACCCGCATAAGCGCCCATTTGCCACTCAGCACAGGGAAAGAAGGCGGGTGGGGGCTACACACGGGTGAGCTAAAACATGACGAAGGACAGAGGAGAATAAAATAAACTATGCACTCAAAATAGAAAGACGATACAAGTAGTCCATAAAAAAAGAAATTAAGTGTCACAGTTTTAATTACTGCCGCATTTAGTAGGTAGAGAAAACGAACGGGTGAAATGAAACCACTACGTATACAGCTTCTTCGCAAGACCATGGCCACTAGACAAGCTACGCTTCAGAGTCGCGGCACTTCTGTCATCTCGTTGCTTAAAATCATTGTTGCCCGAATACCTGAAACTTCATCCAAAGCCGCAGGAAGTGTCGTTTCGTCCTCCGGAAACATTAAAACGGTCCACAACAGAACAAAACGACATTGCCCGAGCTTCTCGACGCCACGTCCAAAAGTCAGGAAGTCGAACTGTCGAATCGTGATTACAGCCAATTGTGCCCACTCCGCAGTAGGCACGAAATTCCCCGACCCCCCGCAAGGCGGCCGGGAAATCAAGTGTTGTGTGACAAACTCAGTTCGAAACATTCTTCCTTAATCTCCCCTAAACAGCCCAAACATACATCCATTGTCCCAATCGCAGCCCAGCCACCACAGCGATGCTCTAGTGCAGGGGTTCTCAAACTGGGTTCCGGGGAACACAAGGGTTCCACGAGCTGGTCTCATGGGTTCCGCGAACACTCAAATTGCAACCCCCCTCCCCCCCATGCTGCAGGCTGCACAGCAGGACTATGCAAAGCGCCTTCATCTCACTTTGTACTGACATCGCGATTGATATGGTGGGGATATATGGGAAGCAGCACAAGCCAAATTGCCTACAATTGTGCATCTGTTTCTTCTCGGTCGGCAAATATAGAGGGGAGGAGGGGAGGGTTCCGCGGCAGTTTTTGAGGCTTCCTGGGGCTCCGCGAGACCAAAAAGTTTGAGAACCCCTGCTCTAGTGAGACTCCGTGAGAATTCCCTCGCCCTCTACTGCGTCCACAGACAGCCGCTAGCGGGCACCTTAGTCGGGCCAGCCCCGTCCTTTGTATTTGATACTCTAGGCATACCGTTATTTGGGCACGACTTTCCACGCCCCCATCGTAAACGTCCCTTTCGGATCCCTCTTCCCCGAGAAAGTGTGAAAGTCCCACGGTCGCCCACAGCCTGAGAAACGCGGGGCATGGTATGTCAATGGCATCTAACGATCGCTCCGCAGTAAATACGTAACACTGCGGCATTCACCAATGAGAACGTAGAAGGACATATTACGACGCAAAAAACATGTCCAAAATTTCGGCGTCCCAAAAATTGGGCGGCGACCATAATCACCGACAGCTTATGATTCAAAAACATGGGGCGCGATTTATTACACTGAGATTTCGGGCATGCCCAATTATTCTCACAATTTCAAATGGGCCATGAAATGAATTTTGGGCTGGGATAGATGAATTTAGATTGAAATTTTACTATTTTCACATCGCTTAGTGGGCGAAAAGAGTCAAAAGAGTGTCAAAAGTCAAAAGCCAAAAGCCTCCTTTCAGTGATGCTACTGCGAAATTGTGACTTGGAGCAATTTTTGGAGCACTTTGGAGCACCTAAAATTTATCTTGGAGTACTTTGAAGTGCATAAATAAGAGATATTAAGCACCTAACTATCGCTTTCCAAAGTACTTTTAAGCATGCAGTGATGAAATATTTAGATCACCTAAATTTGGCTAAAAGAATTTTTAAAGTTTGCAAATCTCCTGCCAAGTTGTTATTTTTTTTTTTTTTCGCTGTAGACAGTATAAGTTGTCTTGCAATGATGGTCTCTAGAGGCTTAACTACGAAAACTAGTTCTTTCATAGGAATCCAATGTGAGGGATTACTAAACAGATCTTCCTGATATAAAACAGTTGACACGACTGTTGACTTAAGTGACTTTGCATTGTTTATTTTGAACAGAAAGAACCTATCAAAGATCCACTCCTTTTGCAGCTTTTCGTTCATGCCTGCCTGCTTATTAATGTGCTCAGAAAGGCTTGCATTTGCCTCAGAAAGAAGCACCTACCCCGGTTAACAGCACAGCCGCTAGGTGTCCTTCACTTTGTTGCGGCTCAGGTTGTGTGTGGCTAAGATAGGTGGCGCAAGTCGCCGCCTAATATGGCCAGTCAAGCAATTTGGCGCAATATGGCGCATTTTTATCAGGATAGCGCAGGAAGTTGCCTCTGGTGCAAAATAGCACATTTGGCGCAAGAGTAGAGTCACTGTGCTCTTCGGTACAAAAATTTGAAAACATAGCAGACTATTTCGTGACTTCTTTCCTTCGAAAGCTATCAGCCTTTTCACTCCGATACATCCGCAATACCCAAAGGACGTGAGCCAGCCATAGCTCACGCATTGGATATGAGCACTCCCCTATACTATTCCATTCACCCCTAAGGTGACAGTGCGGTGGGAGCAACGCACTTGTTGGACCAATCAGCCGCCTTCCTTTCATCACCTGCCCCCTCTCTGCACGTGGGTATGCACAAGGGAGCGTGATCGCGCAGCAAAAAGATAGTAGTGTAACTGGCCCAACAAGCACTTAACTTCCACAGCGCTCAACTTAGGAGTGAATGGAGGATAGTTGCAAGCACTAAGTAGTGTGGGAGCCACGGGGGGAAAGCAACTTTTGAGCGAATTTTGAGCGAAGGAGCGAATCTTCTAAGGTGATAATGGCTGCATGCGGGTACACAAAGAAAGGTCCGAGCAAGAGGGGAGTTCCTCTTCCCCTCCTCTTGAACTGCTGGCAATATACTCTCGCCACTGTACCTTCAGTAACTTTGTGAGATTTATGAGTTGAGGAGGAAAGCTAAGAATAAAGTTGAAAAATCATTTCATAGCCCCTTTAGGAACTGCCACTCGCCCCATAGAGTTAATGTATAACAGTGACTGAAAATCCAGACAATGTAGACCTCGTTGCTAGATTTTTCTGACTTTTTAGCGGCCATGGTACCGCCACCGCAAACCGAGTCGCCACAATTTTTTGTTGTTTCAGTTCCTGTAGCCTCGACACCACATTCTACACGTCATAAGCCAGGAAGAGGCGCTGTCTATAAAGCACAAAAGCTGGAGTGAGGCTATAATCGAAATGGTTGCTTCTTTTTCGTGCCATGGAGGTTGAATTGATTGGCGCTTTTGTTTTGTGGCATCCACGGAGGGATTGTGGTCGTCTAGATGCCCGAAAACCGCTTCGCTGCCAGCCGCCGTTCTTTGTTTATAGTGCCTTTTATCGACAACCTGACTGACGCTGTCAGACATTCGAGAAGTTCACGGACGTGGACAGTGACTCCGTGCTGACCTGTTTATCCAGACATTTAGTATATACTTCAAAATACCGCGGAAGCACTATTAACATTTTCCAAACTTGTGAATTCTGCAAATTATATGTCAAGTGCCCGATTTCACCTGACAAGCGTCCATGTCTCGATCAACCCAGTTTTCAGTGAAAGTGGAGTGGGAGCTCCCCCAGTATTTTACGGTAAAGGGGCAGCACAGAAATTTCCTAACCGAATTATTTTTTTTTGGAACGCTGGGTTATTCAGATTTTTGCGCGATCCCAATCAAATCCCAAAAATTCGGTCGGCGACTTATAAAGTTGCACGCTCACCTTGCTTCCTGGGGTCCGCCTCGGGGTCGATGGCCAGTTCCTGTATCTGCTGCATCACCTGGTTCGACATGGCCTCCGTGTAGTGACTGGCAGTGTATTTGGGGGGCTCGTCCGACGAAACTGTGATCAGGCTTTTGCTGCGCAGCAAGGTCAACAAACACCCCCCTCAGTCGAGGGTCATTTCTTCCGCAGAAGTGCACCGGTTCCTCCCTTGCGTGAGGGACAGAAAAGCTACCACATTCGCATGGGGTTCGGACAACCACTCGCTTCTACCAAAAAGAACTGAGCCAGAACGATCGGCTTGGGCTGTATGCGAAGTTGGACGACGCTGGCAGGGCTACAAGAATGTGCCGCGGAAAGTGCGCCACGGCTCTGGCGTTTTCACATGACACAAACATGGTGTGCAAACGTTGACCTAAAAAGAGCTTGGCCATCAGTGGAGAAAACTGAACCGATGGACTGAAAACAAAAAATTAATCTTCCTTTTTCTCGAGAATTAATTCTTCGGACACAAATCTCCTAAATAATGAGTGTGGTCTTCGTCATTCCAGTCACTGGGTTCACGGTGCAGTGACTATGTTTTCTATTTTGTCTTGGCTGCCAGTTCAAGTTATTAGCAGACTCTTTAGCATGTCGGCATCGTTAGAAAGCTTAGATTTAAAATATAACTCAATCTAAGCAAAGCATTTGCAATTCAATGGCGGACACCTCCCACGCAGACTAGTTGCATGTGCACATGCGTGTGCTTTCAGGTGGCAAGGAGGATAGTGGGCAGAGAGCCTGAGCAAAGGTTGAAGATGCAGACGATCAATGCTTTCCCCTCCTCCTCGCACCCTGTGTTGCCAACGCGGTCCACAAACCATGTGACACCAATCGAGCACTTGGAAACGCTCTCAGATCTAGGCAGACTAATAATAGTTAGTTGTTGGCATTCTTACCCCGTCATGATGACCCGGCCGAGCATCTCGGCAAGGTCGAGCAGCCGGCTGGCCCTCAGGTCGCTCGTGTCCGCCTTGCTAAGGATGGGGCTGCCGTTGTCAAAGTGCAGTTTCCTGCGAGTTCGAAATCGGTGCCCCCGAGACGACGGTAATCACAACCAAACCATTCTCTCCCATTGGCTCAACAGCCCAGCCGCAGGCATAGTTAACGACATCAAAGAGGAGTGCGGCGAACGTTCCTGCCGTTGAAGAACTACCACTGATCCTGCGAGATCTCTCTCTCTCTACAGATAGTAAATAATAGTAGTAATAATCTCTACTATTGGCTGGGGAGAGCCGCAGCACCACAGAAAGGCAACAGCTCCTACCACGAGGCCTGCTGTGCTGCGCCTAGCGACAGTGACTACACTGACGATACCGTGTTTGCACGATTCTAACGCACACTTGTTTTCGCCAAAATCGGTGCCCAAAATTAGATGTACGTTACAATTGAAACCAAAAACCGAAACTCAAGAAAAACGCAATGCTTGGTATAAGGTGGCTAGCTCCATCGCCATCGTGACCGTTTGTTTACGTTTGCCATTTTGGTATCCGTATCATGCCCATTTTCTCGCATCTACGGACTTGTGTCTAAACAAAAAAAAGAACTCCACTAGGAGGCTTTATTTAAACGAAAGGCCACAACGCTGCCAGAAAAAGATAACAACAGAGCAGCACTGCTTGGCTTCGCAATCCCAGCCCCCCGACGAGCTCGCAAAGTGCTGTTTGAAAGACTACCATACCAGAGGCGACGGCTGTGCACTTGTACATGTGCAAGAAGCGCGGCCCTTTAAAAGCTATAGATGAAAGCACGCATTAATTACCTTTCCGGACAATGAAGAACCATCGTTGCACTCTGACAACGGCGACTAGTGCACGGCATTTATTTATGTGTTGACATGCGTTTCATAAAACCTGTTCTATGAGGTATGTGGTCAACTTCTTTTTTTTTTTCCTGCGTGGTATAATCAACAGCAATTTACCTTTTAATTATCAGGAAGCTAAATCTGCCTGCACATTAAAATTGGGGGCACGTTAGAATCGTGCAAACATGGTACAAGGAGAAGTGTGGCTCACAGCAGTGTACTCCTCCAGTTTAATGTTTGGCATACAACAGCGCAAGGAAACAAGAAATGCGCCCAAACGGCAGGGACAGAAACGTGAAGGACAAGATTCGAGACAACACAAAACTTTCTCTGTGTCATAAATTTTCGTTTGTCTTTTCGCTGTCTGCACAATTGCTACTATTACCTCACTGCTACGGTAGGTCTTTGGCATGCTTGGCGCTTACCTGTGGGCTTCTTGAAGAGGAAGGAAGCACTGCAGGTCCCAGTCCTCGGGCAGGGGGACTTTCATGACTGAGGAGAGATGTGCGAAAATAAGAAGTAGCCCAGGCATCGGGTTCACACCCACAACTAATGGAACGCCCTTTGGGACAAACTGGGGAGAGCGGCCACGCGACAACTTACACTTCTCTTTTGCAAGGTCGGCGGGAAGGACAGTGACTAAGGCGTTGAGCAGCTTGCAGAAGCCGTGCCAGATCCTGCGTGGTTAATAGAAAGATACAATGAGATCTTCCCTATCGAAAGTTGAAATAACAGCAGAAAGTGGGGCTTCGTTTCTAAATATTTATTAAATTCGAACCAAATAGAATTCCCCAATACTTTGTGTGAATAGGTACATATTGCAGGAGCAAAGGTGATTATAAGCAGCTGCAATGAAGCTTGAAGCAAGCCCCTACCCAAGTACCCACAGCAAGTAAGCTGTGGATCTTTGCTCAATTCGGATTTATAAACCATCTGTACAATCATGACAATTACAACATGTAACTAAATGAAACACAGTGGAGCAAGCTCCCACATGGTATTTTATGGACATTTGTAAAAGCCATTTCTGAAACAAGAGTTTTGTGTTTGTTTATTGTCTGCAAGGAAAACGCAGGTGGATATAAGCCCAAAGAAAATTGAGTCATTAACAAAACGTGAGCACAAAAAATTGATGTCGCAATATGGAAAAAAAACACGCTCGTAACAAACGTCTCCATTTTAAAATATCTCTTGTTACGTGAAGAGTAAGCGGGTGGGCATTTACATAAAGCAAGCCCACTGCGAACCTAAACAGTTTGTAACTATAATTGTTTCATATAACAGGAACCTTTTCTTTATAAGGGGGGCTGTAACGAGACTTTTAGAGTGTTTCACGCACGAGTACTAAGCGGCCCTCACTGTGGTTTGCGAACAAAAGCCTCGCCATGCAGCAGGTCTTGCTTGTGCAAGAGCCAGTCGAGGATCAACTTCACCACGGGAACGCTGCAGCAGTCCCGCATGTCCCTGGGGTCCTGAAGCGCGTGCATGGGCAGCAAGAAGGCGTGCAGCATACTCGCTGAAACAGGAGATGAAAGGCGGCACGGCATTCAAAGCAAGGAAGTTGGGCAATTTGAAATCTCAATTTCATGGGGCATTTGAGACAGACGCATCCTGCATGCAAGAATCAACTTCAATACAGCATTTAAACGTTGAGCAACATACGCCGAGAGGCTAAACATATTTTTTAATGCCCGTTGCTCGTCGACTAAACTCGCACGGTTGTCGGGGAATGTTGGAGCTGGAGCTATCGAAGGTGCAGATAGAAGAAAAACCTATGCAAGAATATTCAGTGAACTTTGCTAATTGACCATTTATTAATTTTTAATGGAAAGGCAACTAACCTCTGTTCGGCAGTTTTGTGCTTGCTCATTTCACAAACTGGGAGCTTGCCATTCGCTGCGTGTCTAACTTCCCAGATTTTCGCAAGTTTTTTCCCCAGCAATTTGAAAACAAAATTTCTTGACAACTAGAGTAAAGCAAAGAGGTTTGATTTCCCTAGAAATATAAGGAAATTCAACCTGCATGAAACATCCAAAAATTTTGATCCCCGGAGCAAAATAATCTCGCATATAAAATTGGGAGACACGGAACGCCCGAAGCATGTCTCGAGCTCCTCCCACCACCAAGGCCATATACATATTTACCAACTATAATCACGCTGACCAAAACTGCTCCATTAGCCCAGGGGATAGGCTATCGGATCAGTGAGTGAGAGGTCGCCGGTTTGATTCCTGCGAGGGAAGCAGTCCCTTGTAGGGACAACCGACCGTGTCAACTATACTTCTATACTTCTGTTACAACGTTTTGTGATGCCCTATGGTCACCGACAACTTACAAAGTGAGGATGGCAGGCCGTTTCCTTCTAACACCCTGCCTCCGGCACACGCTCTTTGCCCTCCTCCTTGCTTTGGCTGCACGAGCAAACTTTAAGCTCACGAGACGCTGAAATGTTATCGAAGGTGGCAAGCTCGCGCTAAAGACTTAAACTTCTCCCTGCCCTTCTCATTCTGTCAGTGACTATGGTGCAATTTATACCGATAACGAAAAAACCTGACAATTTAAACTTATGACTGATTATCGTCGTATACTGACTAAAAACTGATTGTCATAAGCGGTACATCACTATCGGTGGTATCATTATAAGTGGGTTGCACCGTATAGGCTTTCAACCCGGCCCTACCCGTTGTGCGTTAATACGGTCGGTGACAAGTTGAGACCGGCAAGGAGCAGCTTCGGTTGTCCCGCCTACGGCCCAAGCTTCCTGCCTTCAACTATGCTTCCACAACTCGTGCGCGTGCATGACCAAAGCAAGGCGGAAGGCCGGGAGTTCCGAAGACTCGCCTTACTGTTCTCGCACTGTCAGTGACCGCAACAAAGCCCGTTTGGAGAGTGGCCACGGCCAAGACCGACAGTAATGGCAGTCACCGACCAACAAAGTCCAGCAGCAGCTGCAGGGCCCTGGCACGCTCCCGCGGCAAGGCGGCGGGTCCCTCCTCCGGCCGGCCGTCGGCCGCGGCCTCCCCGGACTCGGGCAACGTCCTCGGTGACCCCCGGTGGTGCCGGGCGCAGTGCTGGTGGCCGAACATGGACACGGCCACCATCTGCAGCAGCTGCCAGGTGTCCAGCTTCTCGGCAATCACCAGCGCCGGCAGGCACGCCGTCAGGGAGCCCAGCAGACCCTCTGCCCTCTTCAGGTCTGTGCGTGGAGCGGGCAGTCGTCGAGCAGTTAGCGGACACCCGACCGCCGCGGTTGGCGGAACGGTCGACAAATTTCTCCGCTCTGGGCCGTTCGTGCGGGACCGGGCAAGCCCTCCGCGGCAATTAGATTGCACGCTGCAGCGCCGTTTTGAGTAAAGAGCTCCCACTGCTCTCCCTGACACACTGCCGCCTGCGTGGCCAAGTGGACAGCACACACGGCTCTCGTGCAGAATGTCGGGGTTCACATCTCGCTACAGTATAATCTCGATGATAGGATCACGGTTGATCCCAATTCCAGGATGATACAAATTTCTTAAACGCCCCGGCCAAAAAGCCTTATTCGTAACGCGCTGCATATCGGGATAGTGCTAATGATCTCGGGCCACGGTAGACGATACCAGCAAAAGCACCGACCTTGAAAAGGGGAAGTTTCTCAAAAAGGACATTGAGGTAGACAACATTGTGGCACTTCCCACCACTGAAGCAGCTATAAAGGTATTTCGAGAATGGGCCCGTTCATATTCCATTCTATTAGCTCAGATCACAGTCCATTAAAGGGGCACTGACACCCAAAGGTCATGTTTTTTTTATTCTCTAAAACAATGCAAATTGTAGTCATAAACACGCAAAAAAAAAAAGCATAGCAAAAAAAATTTTTTTACGCGCGTGCGCCTTTTTGTTTTTGTTGCTTTTCTCCCTTGCTGTTCACCTTCTCGCTTCTTTTGATTGGTGACGTCAAAAATCATGAAATTTAGAAGCTTTGTAGGTGGCATTTCTATAACATTTAATAACGGCAATCGTAAAACATGTTTTTTAACTCAATTGCGAACACACTACGGCCCCTCTTTTTGAAATGCCGAAAATCTGAGTCCGGTGTGATGTCGCTCCCTGGATTTGTATCCTCCCTCGGAAAACTTGGCGGCGCTCGAGCAGAGGATGATCGGTGGGTCGGGGAAAGAAACCGTTTTTTTCCCAGTCCGCCCGGCGCCCTTCTCTCCCTCCTCACTGCGGGTCGCGGTGGCAACGGCGCTTTGCTTTGTAGCATGGAGCGGAGGTTCAAAAGAAAGTCGACTTGCAGGAGACCGCAAAATTTGATGTCACTCCACTGGCGCAGATTGCGCGGGAACTTCAATTCGGCATTGTGAAATTGTTTTTTTACGTCACAAATACTGAATTCCCAAGATTCGAATTTTGGGGGTAATGTCCCGGCATCGTTTTCAATCGTTTCGGACAATAAAAAAAATATATGATTTTGATGTGTCAGTGTCCCTTTAAAGGGGTACGGAAACAAAAATTGAAATATTCAGATTTCGTTCGGAAATGGGTCAAGCATGACGGGTAATAACCGTAAATGATAATCGCACGTTTGTATTTTGAACGACTGGCTATATTTTTCGTTCCAAACGGTGCACCCGAGCAAGCGCTCGAAAAGAAGCGAAAGGAGAGCGTGATGCGTCATGGGGATATTCGGCGCAAACAAAAACAGAAAGAAAAGATTTCCCGCGTTTGTGGAGTAGCAAGCAGGCGTGGTTATGAGCTTTGCCCTTGGCGACGTTGTCAGCGTTCTGGTGGTGTCAATAGCGTCAGCGCGTTACAACCGAGCCGTTTGAAGTGCCCGAAGGGTGACGAGCGTGTGGCTGGCCCAAGGTGAACGTAGCTTCCACAACCCTGGCAGCTTAGGGTTGAACGGGGTGGGGAAAGCAACTTTTGTTCGAGTTTTGAGCAATGGGCTAATCTTCTAGGGGGAGAATGGCTGTGTCCGGTTGCACGAACGAGGGTCCGAGAAAGGGGGGAGTCCTTCCTTTCCGTCTTCTTGGACCGTTTGGTGCAATGCGCGACTTGTGAGCTGAGGAGGAAAGCTAAGAGGGAAAATGTTGAAATGCCAAAGAGTGGCATTGCTTTGAAGGAATTTGCTACGTCATGACTACGTAGCAGATTCCACAACGTTGCTAGACTACCTCTCAAATAGGCTCCGCATGCATCCACCAGGTGCACATTGAAAGATTGTTTATTTAGCTTTAAAATTAGTTTTCTTGTGCTTTTCAACGGAAGACTGGTGTTTTTGAGGTTAGGGTGGAACATACAACACATTCAAGCTAGAAAATGAGCGCTGGAATTTCGTTCCCTACCTCTTTAAGCCACGAACCACCCCTTTGCGCAGCTACAGTAGTCACGGCTAGACTCCACGGCGGGATAAATCGCGACTGCCACGGGGCCACAGTTGCCATTGCTGGGGTGGTACGGCTAGGGCTCAGGTATTCTACACTGGCCCCAGCTGAGGCTCTTTAACTGCGTCTAGGGCTAGGGTAGAAAATACCTCAAGAAATAAGAGAAGTCAGCCAATCCCAGAGGCAGTGCAGTACCGGCAGGATTACACTGCCTCCATGATCGAAGCAAGTTTCTCATCCACAGCCATCTGTTCTCATTGAGCATGTGTGCGTATTTGATTACCTTTTTGGAGCCAGTTTTAGATGATACGATTTTCAGATGATACAAACATTTTCCGCGACTCTGAGAGACTCGGATCATTCGAGTTCTACTGCAGCCTAGTAGTTTTCATTTTATCTTTCATTGCTTCACTCGAAAGTGCCAGTGTATTCTCTACAAGTATAAAACCTTCGTGAACACGAAATGTGCATAGAAGCAGTCGTAGCATGCTTCATCGGGCCAGTCTTACGCTAGCGCTCGATCCTGCCATTAAGCCGACATCGACGCCCACGACGCCATTTGTTGTACAGTCGACTCTCGGTAATTCGAAGTCGCATAATTCAAATTTTCGGTTAGTTCGAAGCATGGGCCTGGTCCCGGCAATCGTATGTACAATGTTATGGGGAAAAACACGCAGTAATTCGAAGGCTAAATGTTGGGAGCTGGTTAATTCGAAGGATTTTTTTGTCTGCGCGTAAAGTCCGGAAACCCCGGGAGCGAAAAAAACGAATGCCAAGCGCCAAGCCGTAACGCCACGACCCGCGGCCGCGTCACCGGCGTCGCCGCACTAGGGATGATGCAATCCGATGCAATGTGCGATGGTGCCACAACAGCCACGGCGCGCTGCAGCTCAGTGGCGAGGAAGCAAACAGCCTTGCGCGCGCGGCTGTTTGCTTATTTGCTTTGGGCTCTGCTCTCCCACTCTGCGCTCTCCCCTCAAGAGGAGAGAGGGAGATAGGTGGCGAGAAGGTTGGGTTGCGTTCGGCGGAACCGCGGAACGGCGCGAGCGGGAGTTTTGACAACGAAGATCCGAAAGTGTGTTGGCTCGTTCGTCACTGCGGGTTCGTCACCGTCGACGTCATCAGCGAGGCCAGCGAGACTGGAGATATCGCCGACGAAGCTGGGCCAGAAGAGGTACCCGCAGGTAGTGAACTGAGGGAAGCCCTTGGAGATGTTCCGGTCTGTAGTGTCGTCAGACTATTTGCTGGCGCACAGCTAGCGCCACCTAGCCTCAAGACAATAGGACCTGTAAGGCCAGGCCTAGGACGGGAGCAAAAAAAGGGAAGACGAAGCCAGGGCGCGGGGTTGGTCATGTGCTGGTTTGCAATCCGGCTTTGTTTGCAATCCGGCTTTGAGTGCCTGTATCACGACGCCTCCACCGAGGCCAAGACACCACACGGTCGATGTTGACAAGCACGTCGAGGTCTCTGGTCCGCTTTCGGACGTCGAAATAATCAAAGTGGTTAGGCCTGGTGTGGTGGTGCAAGGAAGTGACGATGACTCTGACGACGAGGAACTCTCACCGCCGTCGATTCCCGCGTCGAGTGCCGCTGATGCGGAAACTGCATTGGGCGTCGTAGAACGTTTTTTCTCGGGCGAAGAGAATGCCGAAGACGCCTTACGATGCATACGGAACTTGCAGAGCCGAGTGACGGTGGCGCGGATGCGTCGGCGAAAACAATCTAAGATCGACCAGTTCTTCTCCTAAGTGAGTGCTGAATAAAATAAACTCAGTTTTATATGTGCTTTTTTAATTCGAAGTTTGCTTAATTCGAAGCATTTTGCTGTCCCTGTGAGCTTCGAATTACCGAGAGTCTACTGTATTTTTGTTTTGGCAGAAGTCCTCCACATTAAACCTTTCATTTTCTCAGTTCATTGTTTCGTCACATGTCATCTGTGACAATATGTAGTGCAATAATTCCACTCTAAGCCATGACAAAACTTTGTGGTTTCCTCCCTGAGACCAGACAAGATTGAGTATCCCCTGTTTGAGAATTGAACATGCTTGTGTTCCAAGGTGATTAATGAAAGGCCTTCGGGCACCTTCTAACTAGGGTGTCTTCATACAAGCAATTAATGATAAAGCCAACAGTAATCAGAATGGCATTCGTAATCAGGCCTTTTTTACAGCAATGTAAGAAACGGAAAGGATTCAGTGGGCGCGCGGATGGAACACGAGAACGGAGGGTGCTTACCTGCGACAAGATAGATGTGTGCATGGAACTGCAGGAAGGCTGTTGTGTATTCGTAAGGGCTCATTTTGGTCTTGCCAATGGAAGCAGAACTGCAACAGGGCACAATTGTCAGGACAAAGTTCAATGTGGGCAAGGGTACTAGAGCTAGGCTACATTTCCGAGATTTGTCATAATGCGCATGTCACGTCATGACAAATTCAGGTCTTTGCGTGCATGTGCACACAGATTTCCATGTTTCACATAGTTTTCGGCAGTCCTTTTTGTTCCCTGAATGCCCTGGTAACTCGCAGTTGTCCGATAATGTATAAAAAGTGTAAGCAAATGCTCCAGTGTGAGCACGCCTTTATACTGCACGCATAGATTAAGTGAGAACACTACTCCAAAAGGCAAACTTTTTCCCTGTTTGTCTCATTTGTATGAAATTTGCAGTACATATTTTGTATCACATGGCTGTAGAAACAAATGACAGGAATTTGCACTTTTTAATAGAAAATGTGAAAAAAATTCAGTTTTTTTTGCATGCTTTAGATTGAAAGGATTCAAACTTTTCATGACAGAGGAGCATAAAAATGAAGAAAGTAAGTTCACAGCCATGTTCCTTAAACAATTTCAGTACAGACACTCTATAAACTGGATTCATACATAATTTCATCATGAAAGGAGAGCTATCCCAAACCGTGCTTTAAAGTCAAAAAGTGAAACCGAGATAAACACATCTTAGACTTACTTGCAGCATCCCCCAGTAGTCCTACAAGCTAATGAGACTACTTCATAAAAGTTACTTTAAAACGAAATAGAGATCAGTGAGCTTGATTATGCTGACAAAAGACTGGTAAATGCAAAATGCCTGACAGGCCTTCCAGGGAAGAAGAGAAGGGCATCTGCACGCGGGCCTGCGAATGCCCGGGCCCCCGACCCTGGACAGCTAAGTCGGCAAAGCACCTTAGCTCACAAACTCAAAATGGTGAGTTCGAATCCTGCCGGGGGACATAAGTTTTTTTACGTGGTCCCCTACAGGCGTAACGCTTTTTCGTGTTGTTACCGACAACTGTTACAGAACTTCGCGTAAATCGGCAGATAAAACACGTTCTGCAATAAAAAGGCACGGCAGTCTTAAGGCAGCGTCCCTCAAGATGCGTTGAATGCCACATAGTACATGAGAAAGCCAGGCAACTGTGAACAAACAATCTGTAAGAAGGAAAAGTCACCTGTCGGAGACCATCTTGGAGTAGAGCTTGGACAGGTTGGTGGCGGCAGCGGGAAAGGGGTGCTGCAAAGCGAGGCTGCGCACGTGGAAGAACACCGCCGACAGCTTCTCGCCACTGGCCGCCTCCAAGAGGGCCAGCTGGTTGTAAGGGTGCCCTGCACACGCATGCAACACACACGAGGTTGGGCCCAGACATTTACACGCGCCGCCCGATTAGTTTGCACCCGAGAGAAGAGCCTCAAACATTTTTTTGCAATTTCACACCCAAGCACAAGAATGAAAGGCGTGTCCCAGGCCAACTGAATGGGGATGCTAAAGTATTCTTGAGCGTAATTGTAATAATGTATGCTCTGCTGCAATTCGGGGCATTTCAAGGAGTCGGGCGACTATGCAAATGACGGACGAGCAGATGATCAAACGATACCCAGCCAACCAAAACAAGTGGTCCAATATTATTGGACAGCTAATTTGTCGTTAAAAAAATTCCTAAAAAACAATCACGCAAAAAAAAAAGTCACAGGCAAGTGTTTAGTTACAAATAAAAATTTGTGTAACTTAAAAAAAAAAATTTGCTTTTTTAATTTTGAATAAACTTCCAGTTGATAAGGAAACACTCGTCTGTTGTGCTTCTTAATTTGTCTTTATCTTTTATGCACCTTTTTAAAATTACTAATTAGTGCCAACTAGCCAAACCTCCAAACCTTTTGGGAAACTAAACACAATACAATGGCAGAAAGAGCAGAGCAGCTGCATGCCACAAGAAATGCCGGTCGGTGAGCGATACCCCGGAACTACCGTTTAAGCAGTTTGCTTTACTTCCTCCTATGTGCTAATACGGACTCACTTTAGATGTGCCAACTCGCCAGTTAACTCCCAAGCACGCACACACATAGCACTGTCAGTACACAAAAGCCGAAGTAGACCGAGGGGGGTGCGCTGAATGCCAGCAATCAGTCTACAAAGGATGATTCACACATTTGTGTCTCTCCCAGACCAACTGCATTGCAAACGCCCGTGGTTGCGACGAGATAACACCTTTGCGCAAGCCATCCAGGTGCCCCGATATGTGTCGATGGGAACATATTTCCTCATTTTTTAGGCATCTTTTTTTCGCCATGGGCATAAAATAATTCCGACAACGTTATCAGCGACTATTTCTCATAGAGAGGGGATAAATTTAGTCTCACAAATACTCCAAAGCCTTCAAGGACAAATGCAAAGGAAAAAAACATTTTTTTTAAACGGCTTAGATGGAAAAAGGACGCCATAAAACGATTTTACAACGAAGAAAAAAAATGTTTAGAGCTATATTTACGGCGCAAAACGAATTCGTAGTTGGCGCCCGCGGGCACCGCGGAAAAGTGGTCCGTATTTATCACGTGACTGGTCTTTATTTATCACGTGGTGCTTGCGCTCTTTCGGAAGCTTCCTATGGCCTCTAACAGTAACTTATTCATCTTTGTTTGAAGTATAACAAAAAACTAAGACGAATAAGTAACTTTTAGAGCCCAAAGGAAACTCCTGAAAAAGCGCAAGCAGACGTGATAGACCTGTGCGCCGGTCAGACGACGGCGGCGGCGCCCCGAAGCAGACGAACTTGTGCGGCGGCGGCGACGGCAGCGGCGTGGAGAAACGCGTTGAAGCGGCGTTCGCACAACGCTCAGCGTGCGGCGGCGACGCAGCGCGGCGGCGCGCGTGCCTACCACGTGACCAGCGGCGGCTCCCGCGAGCGCCAACTACAAATTCGTAAAGCGCCGTAAATATAGCTCTAAAAATTTGTTTTCTTCGTTGTAAAATCGTTTTATGACATCCTTTTTCCATCTAAGCTGTCTAAAAAAAATGTTTTTTTCCTTTGCATGTGTCCTTTCAGTCTACCGTAACGATCCGAGATAGCCCGCCTAAAATCGAGAGCAAATCAGGTAGAAATAGTGAGTGGGCAAACTTTCAATGTGCAACCAGGAAAAGTAGAAAAAAAAAATGCTACGGTAGTTTTTGATTTTGTGATTTGCAAAACTCGCGATTGCAGGCATGGGTGATGAATCAAAGACGGTTGTCCTTCCCGGTCAGCAATGTTCGCTTATCTCCCGTCGTGGCTAAGTAACACCATTCCTGCCGAGGTCACCATTGGCCGGGGCTACGCAAGCACTAAAAGCGGACTATCTTTCTGCACCTTTTTAAAAGACAGCAAGTCGTACCAAAAATAGGGACAGGTTATCTTTCAGGGGTAGGGCATGCCTTAGGATATTATGGTAGTTAGCCAGCACCCCTAGCAGTTATCACAGACTCTCATTTGCTCGTAGGTTTGCACAACATGAAAGAGCCTTAAACCTATGGTCTTTAAGAGCCGTTCTAGATTATGCACAAACCACAGTCTATGTCAACTGCTGCGGAACATACTCACCGTTTCTGGGTCCCAGCTCCACGGCGTGACGGTAGAAATTTTCGGCCTGCAACGACTGGCTGCGGTAGCGTGCTGGTCGGAGAGTAAAATACTGTTGCTAGCGGGACATCTCTAGGCACACTTCCTGTCCCATTCAAATCCCATAATGTTCCAGAATCTGTCAAACAGATACCTAGATTTCAGCCCCGACAAGCTGCATTTCTCCTGCACGTCACGAGATTATTCGCCGTGCCTTCTAGGCCGTGGCGCACAGAGCGTACGCTTGGTGCAGACTAGTCTGGGAAATAAGATGGCAGATTCCGTGACGTGCTACTCGTGAAATGGTTTGTGTTTGTGGTGACGGAGAGATGAAAACGGGCAAATTATCTATGCTCATTGCTCACACATGATAAAAGCCAGTACATTCATTTAGCATTGTAACGCGGACAGGGGTGTATTTGGGCCAAGTTCTCCAGAGCCCCGTTGACTAAGTTCTTGCACCAGTAATAGGATGCTGGTTCGCCCCACGGCAAGAAGCCAATCCCCCCAAACTTTCTCATTGCTTTAGGGAAGCTAGGATCTCGGTGGTCTCAGTGCGATAGATGTTGCTACCCCTTGCAACTACTACTCTCGAACCACAAGATGGCAGCACTTCACGCAGGAAAGTACCAGGGTATTGAACCGAACCCGAACTGTAAACCTAAAACCGGAAAAAAAACATCTTTTTCGCGCGAACCGGAGTTGACCCGGAACGAAATAGTTTTTCTTGCTCCAGAATGGAACCAATATGTTTTCCCTGCAATTTTCGGTTCATACGCGAAGTCAAGTTGCGTGAAAAGTGTGTGGCGAATAACACAGTAACCTGAAAAGTAAACCAAAAAATGAAAGAAAACCTTTTTTTTGTGCAAACAAGGGAATTGAGCCAGACCGAAATAAGTATTTTTTTCGTTCCTGGGCAAAATTGATCAATTATTTTTGCATTGTTTCGTTCATAGAGGAAGTCAAAAAGCAAGGAAAAAAAAGGGTAGCGGAAAGCTCTGTAACGTTCCTTTGTCAGGTTTTCACATAACGGTCGTCTTCATAATTTATAAAGTTTGTCTCGAGAACTCACACGAAATGAGCACAGTAACTATAAGTTCTCCTGGATTTCTGGACTTATGTATTACTTTAACAAATGCCTACATTCATCCCAACCTTTTCTTGGGGACCGGAAATGGCTTATCAAATAAAATTTAACACTAGAACATACCCAATTCGTACGTCAGAAAAAGTGACCAATCAATGGGCCTGTTTGGTGGCAAAACGGTGAGTTGGGCTAGTTGGTTTTTCGTATCGAACTAAACGCAAAAAAAAGGACAAAGAGAGGTATAGACAACACCCCTAGTGTTGTCTATATCTCTCTTTGTCCTTGTTTTTTTTTTTTGTGTTTAGTTTAAGTTTTGCTTCGTGTTTCTTGTCTTCAATGTTGTAAAGTTGTGTGCAATTTACTTTAAACGTCTTGATTTTATTGTACAACTGATCGGATGAGAAAGCGATACAAAGACCGATGGATATTTTAGAATCTGCGTTCAAAATAACTCAGCGGATTTAATAATCTATCCGAAATTAAAGTCTACCACCGGGGAAAAAGAGGGGGGGATTCAATCAACAGTTACAGCTAGAGAAAACAGCAAAGCGGCTTCAATCTCTGGTAGCAGAAACAGCAAGGACCAAAACGTTTTCTCCTCAGAAACATAAACATCAAGGCGCTCAGCTCTTCTGAGCATTGCTAGACAAGAAGCCGTGGCTTTCAAGGAATGCTAACATGTTAGTTTTGGGAGGAGAGAAGGGAATGCCAGCCAGAACTCTACCCATTGGCGCAAGTAGCCCTGGGAGTGCCTGCGACCCCGGTCAGTGTGCAGCGAGCCTTTTCTGCAACTGAAGTTCAATCTATTGTCTCAGAGGGGCCGTCTTTCCCCGGATATGCATGACAACGTCCTGCTTCTTTTGTCAACTGCCTGACACTGAACTGCGCTTTCACCCATGTCCCGAGGTGCCCAAGCACTAGCTCGTTCGTTCCACACAGTGATGTGAGCCTTTGCTTTCTATAGACCGACACGCTGTTTACAAACAAGGTCGCGTTTGCCCACATCAAGTGTGGGCACTGCGCGTGCGCAAAAAACGAATTCGCGTGAAGTGAAGTGTCCGCACATGCGCAGTGCCGTCGACAGTGCCACTGCAGCTGCATGACGTCAGGGCCGCGTGTTGGTCTATATGTAACAGTTTTATAAAATATCCATAGTTTATCTTTTGCTGTCGTCAATTGTTTTTGTAGCATATGAGTACGAACCGGTTTGAACCTTTATTTTTGCACTCTAGAATTGAACCGGAGCTGAACCGTTTTCCCTGAACTGGAACGAAAACCAAATCGAAAAACATTTCGGTTCGACACCCTGAAAAGTATGTTCCTCGTTGCCTTGACGACTGACTGCGTGATTTTTCTCGGTGGAAAAGGCGTGAAACGCTGCCAACTTATTCCAAACGTGCCAACAATTGCACCCTCGTATATAAAATCAGAAGGGCTGTATTTATACAGCAATACAGTCATTCTGTTTAAAAGCAAGAAGCAAAAGCATTTTAGGGGCGAAGCTCCTTAGGGTCTAGCCTTGTCCATCGGGCGTCCGTGCTCACATCAATCTTGCTGGTGCTCGTGCTCGTAAGCTCAAGTGCTCGTGTAGGGCAAAAAAAAAAAAAAAAATTAATAAAAAATGATGAAAAAAAAAAAAATGTTAGCGCAGTCGACAGGACTCGAACCTGAGCGTGGAGACCCCAATGGATTTCTAGCCCATCGCCTTAACCACTCGGCCACGACTGCGGGACGAGTAGGGGGCTCCGAGATGTGGTAGTAACTCAAGAGCTGGGGATGTCATGGATGAAACGTTGCATGTAGCCACTCAACCTCTATACAGGAGAGGGCGCTGCGGTCAAATGCGTATATAATCGCGTTAAACTTTGCATGCATTGGCTCAATGTTTATAGACGAGAGGGCACTAAGGTCAAATGCTCAAATGCGTATATAATCTCATTCCATACCACACATTCTCTTTCTGACATGGATGAAAACGAACGAAAGGCTCGACATGCTGCGCAGCGTCTACGCAAACAAACACTACCAGAGCTTCGCCCCAATCAACATCATTCACCACGTGGAAATGCGGTCAATTTTTCTCTAATGTTTTAAGATGGTTGACACGTATAAATTATGCAACACGAAAAGCTAGTAGAGCCTCGAGTTTTCTATGGAGAAACTTCTCGAGCGCCTTGCCATCTTTAAAACAGTTTTTTCTTTTTGCGTAAAACCTATCCTAGAATAAGCTTCTGTTATATGGGACTCATTTCATCAGCACCCGACAAGCAAAATTGAAAGAATCCAAAGCGTGCAGCTATATTTGTTAGAAATAACTATAATTTTCTAAGTAGTGTCACCGTAATAAAAAAATTATGTGCAATGGAAAGCACTTGCTGCTAGGCATAAGCGCTTGTGTCTAAAATTTCTTCACAATAATTTTTATGATTTGTTAACATTTAAAAAATTGCAATATTTGTTTGAATTGTTGTATGTATCACGCAGAGTAAAGGCCCATTCACACACTTGCGACTTCTTAAGACCGAGTGCCCTTGGAACCTCTTAAATCTCTTACAACGAGAGGACACACTGGCGCCATCTATTGGGTAGAATTGGAAACTTGGCGGTCCCGCATATTTTATATTTCTCTCGCGCATCATACTTTTTTTCTTGGCTTGAAAAACTTTTGTCAATGTTATAAACGAGCCTTTCTCATAGGTATTACGCCTATTTGACCTCGGAGATCCAGCAAAACCTTCGCTCTCGTGAAATGCAGTTCCAGTGTCACCGCACAGATGGCGCCAGCGTACCAGTGTGTTCTCCCATTTTAAGAAATTTTAAGAGGTTTCAAGGCATGCGTTCTAAGGAGTCGCAAGTGAGTGAACGAGCTTTAAACACAAACTAAAAGTGTGCACATCAAAATTTGATTTGTTCCGTGACTCTTTTTTCCCATGAACAATAAAGGAATGGAATAGTTTGCCAAGTGCAACCTGTGATGCCCTTTGGGCATTGTAGGTAATAGATAAATAAACAAATAAAATAAAAAAAGAAGACAGATATGCATACACTACGAGCCTTCGACACACCGCAGTCACAACGGCTGCCGTACCGACTTTGAACAAAGACTCACCAATGTCTCCCAGATGTACGAGACAGTGCTGGCAGATATACAAGACTGAGGATTTCTTTGGCTTTTCGGCATTCAGGTCGTCATGCCTGTCTACTGCAAACAGACAGAGAGAAAGCGGACAAATGATGAAAACGGGGGAATACACCTAAAGACCGGTTAGCAACAAGAGACGATGCTGCACTGCCTCTGTCACGAACATGCGACTGAGTGTACCAAAGTGCTAAAAGGGCTTCAATCATGTGGTCAGAGCTCACACATGGTCGAAGCACCACGCATTCTGTAAGTGGGGTCACCAAAGTGTGAAACTCACGGTCATTTTACCCCCTTAGCTGCCAAAAATTAACCTGGCTCAGTCAGGTTAATTAAAGCTCAGTCAGCAATGCTGAGCGCAAGGTCACCGCACCCTACGTTTTTTTTACCGAGAAGCAATAATAAAGTCAGGGCTTCAGTGCAAGCACTTTGGTTTGAAACTACACAGTACTTTTAGAGTTACACAAAAGAGGGTACCCACAGAAGCTAGGTGTCTGTGTCAGAAGCTAACCTAGGATAGTGAACATGCACAGTGATGTGATTGGCCTAAGCCATTTTGGAGCACCTTTCGGAGCAGCCAAAACAGTGTTTTGGAGCAGCAAAAGTGGCTTTAGGAGCAGCCAAGACAGTGTTTTGGGGCAGCAAAAGTTGTTTTCGGAACAGATATTCTTAGAAAAATAAATATATTTGTTTTAAGTGCTGTAGAAACGAAGGGCACTTTGTGTTGTGTTCTGATGTGACATGTTGTGACAGAACTCGCTGCTTGTGCTTTTACTGCTGAGACATCCCACAAGTGTACAGTGTCGTAGGCGTTGCCGAGCAATCCCGAAAAACCGCTTGCCACCGTTTTACTGGTTCCCGACGTGCCAGATTTTCGTGAAAAGTAAGCAAACATAAAACAATGAATTGTAAGCGTCCCGGCTAGTGCCACTGCCGTGCAATCATGTTCGCCTGCATGTGAGGGCAACTTCAGCAGGCTTGCAGTTGCGCGTGCTTAGCCGCGCAAGCAGAGACAACGGCTGTTTGATCGAAACCATGCCACTCCGCTCCGTCGCCGACTGATTTCCAAAATTGTATGCAAAATATAACTGTCGAGCATATGCCAAAAAACAGTCCAGCGGCGCGTATTTGCCAGGAGGGCAAACAAGGTACAAGTTAAACACACACCCACACACACAAAGAACCTGAGCGCATCAATGAAAGACATCGCGAGTCAGGGTAAAAAATTTCTTAGAGTGCTCTGTGCAACGACTGAACTCAAACAAGCGTGCTGTGCGGGTTCAGCATGCAGACGTTGCCTTTTTTGCTTTAGCTCACTTATCTTCACCAACTTTCTTTCGCGGCAGACTTTTCACGTACCGGGGTTCCTCTCAAAAGAAAGCCCACCGAGAGAAACCTAGCTAATTAATACTTCGACACAGCAGTCTTTGAGTTAAAGGGGGATTTTTGTAGTAACCTATGATTTCAACATGAACAGGAATGTTGATGAACATGCGGCGGTACTTAGTTTAAATTTAGAAAGCGCCCTATCTGCAGCCACGTGGGGCGGCAACACCCGACATCGCGCGACCACGGTGACTGGAAGGCAGAACCAAATATAGTTTTCCCACGGCCATTGCTTTCAGGAGCGAGTGCTTCAGCTCACAAAATAACTTCCGCCACGCAAAAACGTGGTTTTATTTCACAGCATGACGGCATGACTAGTGCCCGGCACGCTAGCGTCGGAGCGTCCATACACACGCACGTCTATTATTGAAAATATATATACACAAAAAAAAAAAGACGCGAGACGAAACCGATGAGACCCATGGGACAACGAGAGCGCGAAACGCAGGAAGGCAGGAAAACCATGCACGACCGGATAGAAAATTGATGCAAGGTACTTTGTGTCACACGGCCGCTTGCGCCACATAGCACACGCATGCTCAATTAGGGTACTCAGTTTAGTTTCGATTTTAAGAGGCGACCGAAATTGGATTTTTGGCGCAGGCTTGGCGCAGATTACCTATATTTTGGCAAAATGTAGCAGGATGTAGCAGGGTTAGCCACTTGGCGCAATTTGGCGCAATTGGCGCAGCAATCACATCACTGCATGCGTCAATCAGTTTGCTTGCACCCTTACTACTACTTAGTCACGAACTAGAACAATCTTAGCTGCTGAACATCCGAGTGCTGTGAACGGATATCTTTATGCTGACCCAAAAACATCACTTCGAACAGCATTTAGCTCAGGATTCTACTTACAATGGAGGATGCCAAAATTGGAGTCTTTCAGGTGGCACCTGAGGCTGACGTCATACACGCAGCAGAGTTTCTGCAGCAGCTGAAATCAAGACGGCAGCAGACAATTCAACCAGCCACAAAATGAATAAGGATGCTTTTAAATGCTAGAAGTGCTACGAGCCCTGGCTCTCAATATGTGTACACAGGCGACTAATTCATCTCCTTTGTGCCATTGAGGTTGTCAATGGCACAAAGGAGCTTTCTAATGCAAGGATTGAATGTAAGTTGACACAAGCACCCCATGAACGAATACCTACATACCGAAAGTATGACAATAAAAAGCACAATTTGAAAGCTACTGAATTTTTTTTTCTTTTTTTACCTGTCTATGGATTACAGGCCTTGGAGTTGCAACTGGAAACACTGACACTTTTTTCCTTCTTTGGAAACTGTCATTAACTTAGCTAATATATGGAATAGAAGCTGTAATGAGAAACAATGTACATTATTTATCTATGAAGTTCTTGAAATGCCCACCAAAAGGCTTAACTATTTCTGATGGTGCACCAAAGCATAAATGTTGTTAACATCAGAGGAATAATATAAACTACAAATCTAGATGCTCACCTTAAGTCAATTCTAATATCAGCAAATTTATTTTTTTAATTATTAAAAAGCATAAACATCTATTCCATGCAATAAAAATATATAGCACAATACTTCTATTCATCTGAGAAGCAAAAGCTTTGGATTTATACCAACATTGAATAGTTTGGAAGATTTTGAAGACTGAGATGATATACAGGGTGTTTCACGAAAGGTGGACTAATTCAATATTGTGAGAACTATGCAGTGCACCAAACAAAGGCTTGTGTCGTTTTGGTCCTAGGCCAGGAGCCTATCTAGAAAAATTATTAAAGTTTAGGATAATTAAGTTTTAAGTTTCTTTGCATAATTAATTTTTTTAAATATTGAGTTCAAAGGCATGGTTTCATTTAGAAATTGCATAGCATCATCGAAAAACACTAAATAAAAAAATTGGAGTGCGATAGAAGGTATGCGCTGCATGTTACAGCTTTCTGAAAAACAGCACAACTTCAATGGGTTGTTAAGTTTCTGTTTGCAATCGGAGCGTTTCATGGCATCGACGGTACCGCGCCCCATGGAGAAATAGTGCGATTAACATCTGCTTCGCTGTCCTCGCACAACGCAGCAGAGGCAGGTTGCACTATTTCTCCACGGGGCACGCTGCCATCGTTGCCGATAGCACTCCCGATTGCAAACCAAAACTTAAAAACCCGTCGAAGCTGTGCGGTTTTTCAAAAAGCTGTAACATGCACCGCCTGCCTTCTATCACGCTCCAATTTTTTTATTTAGTGTTTTTCGATGATGCTCAGCAAGTTTCCAAATGAAACCATGCCCCTAAACTCAATATTTAAAAATATAATTATGCAATAATAATCAACCATTTAATTATCCCGAACTTCAGTAACTTTCCTAAATAGGCCCCTGGCCTAGGACCAAAACGACACAAGCTTTTTTTTGGTGCGATGCATAGTTTTCGCAATAAAGAATTTGTCTACCTTTCGTGAAACATCCTGTACATGAAAGCCAACATTTATCGGCAGGCCTAGGCAGGGCATACTACTTTCCAGTCCAGGGGGATCCCTTGGGGACCAGCCAAAGTGATGGGGGACCCCATGCCAGCGGAGGAAGGGGAAAAGGGGGGGGGGTTTAAAGTAATACTACTAAATGCCATGTGAAAAGGGCATCTTTTACTGTTACAGACAGAAGTGAGCAGCATCAAGTAAAAGGATGAGCGGATGGATAGATGGTCACGGCTGTATTCTTTACAAAGGGTGGTAGCTTGCACCACATAACCAGTACAACAAAAAACTTTTTTTTTTTTCAAGAAATAAGTGGGGGTGGGATTGAGGGTTGAGGCAAGGGCTTCGTGGGCCCAAAAAATGGCTTTGCAAGCCCCAAAGGGTCTGCAGAACCCCATTTGAGAACCCCTGTACTAAGCAAACGGTTAGTCATAGTGCCGTTTCTTACAGCTTATTCATCATAAATTAAGCATATAGAGCCTTTCTGAACACCTTCAGTTTAATCTAGACAAAGTTAATAAATTCTGCACAGTTGATACTCATTCTAATCCACAAGTTTCCTGAGTGATTTAGAAAAATTAATTATTGTCAAGTGCTTGAGTTACTGATGAAACTACTAGCACATCAAAAAGATGCATTATCATTTCTGGAGATACATGCAACAAAAGGATGCCACAAAGTAACATACTGCACTGATTTCGCTGGCTAGCATAATGTCTTGGCAAAATTCCCAGATAGAATTGTTTTGAAAACAGTGCCATACTTTGCACAAAACCAACTGGTGCATCGTGTGTTTAAGTCCACCTATCTTGTGTGCCACTTTAGCCCGCTTGGCTTTTAAGATAATCTGTTAGGGATGCCAATACAAACACACAATGCACTCTGCATTGGCTTTACGCAAAGTTTCAAGTTCAGTTACAACATTTCCTGCCCAAACCTAAGAATGTGATCACATGACCACCTGCGCGTGATCATGTGAACCCTCCCGACATTGGCGAGACAATTTTTGCAGCAACACGTGTATGCAGCAGCTGTAACGAAGTCATCCAGGCTGTTCTGCTGGCAAAGGGGTACAGCATGGGACTACAAGGTATGAACTCCGAGATTCGATTCCTAGCAAGGGACCAAGTGTTTTGACACAGAATGTGCTTTAGGGATGGTTCCCGAGCCTAGAGCGCCCCAAAATGTTATACGTAACTAAAATATCATAACACAGCCAGTTATCTTTACAGAAAACTGCATCCCCGGCAGGAATCGAACCACAGCCCTCTCGCTTAGTAATGCGATATCCACGCTGGTGGAGCAGCTTTGGATTAAAGTATTTAGATATAGGTGGTATATGTGTAGTTGTGTTGCTGCAAAACCTTTGTCGTTCCAAAGGTGGAAGAAGCTCAAAAAGCTGAAGACACGCTTGTTTCTCGACTTAAGAAACATGCACCAGGGGAAAAAATTAATCTTAATATTTACAATACCTAAATTAAATTTTTACAGTTTATAGTGCTTGATCTGCTCCTTATAAATCGGGTGTTAGATTTGACATAACTTGTATTTTATATTCTGGATGCAATGCACAAGCGTAACGCACCACCTATGCTCCTCGTGCCTTTTAGTTGGCACCACCACGAGTAAAATCAAATGTAGTGGTGCAGAAACTTCAAATAGGTTTATCTCAGTTTCGCTTTTTTGCAGCAACTCTCGTCTTAGGAAATCTATCATTTCAATGGATTGCGGAATTTATTCTTCGCTGTGGATGTTTCTGAATTAAAATTTAATGAGGAATGCGGCTAGATGTTTATTTTTCTACTTAAACAATGTCAATATTGCCAAACACTAAGATTTTAATGAGCGGAAAATGACCCACTATGAGGAATGATTTTCAAATTGTCATTTTGCACAGAAAAAGCACAGATTTCAGGGTAAAAATAGATAGCCCCTCCCCTCCCCCTCCCCCCCCCCCCCCTATGTTCTAGCTGCAGCTGAAGCTTAGAAAGGCTCAATATTTTGCAGCAAGTTTATACGACAGATTTCCTCGCCAAGTGAGGTGACATACATTGAAAGCTGTATACCTCCCTCTTTAGCTTATTGAAACATTATCCTATGGAGACGAAACGTCATACAGTGCGTTTGGGCAACGAGATGAATAGACCCTCTAAATTTCATCAATATTAAGCGACTGGCTTAAAAGTGTACAGTTGAAGGTGGCGTCACCTTTTAAAAAATTCTTAAAAAGAAAAAAAAAAAATTTTTTTAAACAGTCTGGTTGGGTCACGCGTGTCAAAAAATTACTTTAACGTAAAAGAAAAATCTTTTTTAGAGCAGTACTGACGGTGCGAGACGTGATTTAGTCGGTAGTCACCTCTTTTCCACTTGTTTTCTCTCTCGGCATTTTGGGCATGTGGAGGAGAAGTGGGTCGGCTTGGCCTTCACATTGAGGTGGAAAGACCGAATGACCATCTCGGTGAGCGAATTACCATTCCGTGACGCGATGAACTTTGGGCACAGAATTTCAAATAAATCTCTTGCCGTCAATATGACTCTAAATTTTTTTTTTTTTTTTTCACATAAATTTTTGTTTTTTTCACACGCATGTCCCAATTAAATTGTTATTTTTTTTTTTTCAGGGTTTTTTTTTTAATTTTGTTCTTGTCTTGTTCACTCTCCGTTTCAAAAAGTGCATGGAGTTTTGTAAACGCATGTGGTGGGCACCGAGGAAGACTTGGCTGTGCTAGCATAGTTGTGTAACAACCTCTAGCGATGCTCTAAACTTAAAAACTGGCTCTAAAATGCATTCTGGACTAAAAGTATGAAAACAATAATAAAAACATAAATACACCAAAGCTTACTTGAAGGTAGAAGCCACTGGCAGTTTCCAATAGAGTTGACAGCATGGTCTGCACTTCACCATTCTGATGTTCCTAACAAACGAAATGGTTTCATATCGACAGTTAGTTGCAACAATTGGTCATGCTTGTCTAAATTGTCACAACTTTGCCACCTAGAATTTGTTCAATACACACCTTACGAATTCATAGTTCATCTGGCCACTGAAAACAATTACTGCTCTAGAACTTTATTTTTTCCCAACAAACAACTGAGAAGGCTTGTCGCCAGTTACATCTACAAGGCTAACTGCATCACAAAAAGGAAGCAGAATATGATGGCATGAGTTGACATAAAGAAAAAAAAAAAGTAACTTGAGCTCAGATGCATCACATCTCTTCCCTTAGGTCATAAGGAAGTGGCATGCTTTGGTGCCTTTATGTTGAGGTATTGTTGAATCTTATCAGACTGGATTGCGTGACCCGTGAGATTCTCGAGCTTCCATAGACAGACAAACCATAAACAAGCAATTGGTTGGCAAGTTGTTTTACAGCAGGAGATATAGATTAACAGAACGGAAAGAAACAAAGAAGTGTAACAGGAAAATGAAGGCATTTGAGTCAGTACTTACTAAAACATACATATATGCATATGCCAACATAATAGTAGCACCAGATAATTGTGTCAGAATTATCTGGTGATATCTTGGCGTAAATATCTGTTCACTATTCTTACACTACTACCTGGAGCTAGGGACGTCGCGAACCTTCCAAAGTTTGAGTTAGAATAGGTTTGACTTTTACCCACTCTAACACCAAGTTCGACAAAGTTTGTTTCAAAACTTCAACTTTTGTGCGCATGCACAAAACGTTTTACGAGTTGACACAACTTGGCAGAGGAAAAGTACAGAACTCTTTGACTAACAAACTAATCAAGGCATTAAGAGTTTACATATTTACTTTTATAGGGGGTATTCGTACCACTTCTGGTCGTCATGACAGGTGGAGAGAAATACTTCCGGTTCTCCTCAGTTTACCTTCTGTTTGGGTGGGAGCGCGACGGCTCTTGGTTCACTAGCGAGCAATTGCATGAGACCTTCACCCTAGAAATGGTGCCCCAATGTCTTGCTTTTGAACGGTTGATGCGCACCAGCGCAAAACGAAATGTCATAAATGACGTTCCTTCAATTTTCTCGAAACAAGGGATGCTACCAGGCTTGGGTGATCGCAGCTGAGCAGACGGTGATTGCCTACTTCGATGTGCTACCAGCAGATGGCGCAACGTGAGAAATGAGAGCCTGAGGCGGCTGCGGCGTCTCGACCAACTATCTCCATACAATGACAGGTGCCAACCTGGCCATTACAGCACGTAGAAATGCAAGGTGACACGGAACTTTTGGAAAGAAACCTTAGATATCAAGGCGAGCAAGTCAAAGCATTAGAAAATTGTACATTACAGACTCATGTCACATTGAAGGAAGTGCAATAAAAGCTTTCGGTAAATCGTCAACTAGAACGAAGACCCGACTTGGTGCGCCTGTGGAAAAGCTCTGCACGTATCTTCGGCACCTGGGGAAGGTAGGTGCCCATTCTTGCTGTTCACGAAATAGTTGAATGTGTTTAGGGACTTATAGGTCTTATGTCGTTTTTTAGGAATGTGGGTCAGATGGTTCGAATAGGTAGTTGTGAAGATGCAACCACGATGCCTTTGGCAGATTCGTCATTTCTTTGAGAAACAAGGGCTCATTCTTTTCATCCAAGGAATCAGGAAAGCATGTCGATTCAGTATACCGTAGAATACCGTGCATCCGCCCATTCCGCACTAAGAGCCCACCCCCAAAATTTTAAACATTTGAAAAAATATGCACAGTACATACATATATAAAATTGAAGACCTCATATGTGCTCATCCCCTACTTTTTTGCACTTATCTTCAAACTTTTAATGGGCGCTTGGTCGGTATTTTACATTAAGTAAAATTCTGGACGTACTGTAGTCTTTCCTCGACGTTGAGACTTTTAAAGTATGCGCTACTCATTGCAGGTACTCAGAAACAAGCAAAAACAATGGCCAACCAGAAGCAATATACTCCCCCTTCCTTCCTCCTTCCCTCCCTCCCCCCTTCCCCTCCAAAAGTTTGGACATGTTTCTTTTTGTTTACCACTGAACAGTCTAGAGATTGGTAATCATTTAATAAAATAAAAAATAAACTACTTTATAAATTACTTGTCTGCAAATAGTTAAAAATGAGCCAAGCTGGGCATTTAATGCATTAGCACTCTCGTGTGTCGAGAGGAAAATAACAAATTCATTTAAACCCACACGCTAATATAGGCACAGTTCTGTGGTGGGGCGTTGCTTGCTCGAGATTAGCATGGTACATGACAGGCACTGCTTAAAGATACTTTATAGTACATCACCTGCACTATTTACAGATTCTTTACAAATGACACATCTCATAGAAGAATGTAGAGTCCCACTAGCCGGCTAAAGCGACTAAGGCTTTTTTCATACGTGCCAATTCTTTCCGATGGGCCATTCTCAAGGCAATAAGCAGTCTCTGAACACAACCTTCTTCAAAATCCGGGACCTTGTGAAAGTACTAAGCATAACGTTGGAGGGTCTGGGCACCTTCTTGTCAGAAGCCTTGAGCTGGAAGGCAGCGATGGGGCTGCGGAAGGCGCTGTTCCACAGCTCCTGCTCCACCTTCTTGTCCAGGGCAAACTCCAGGTCCGTTAGCAGCAGCTCCTCCAGCAACCAGCACAGGCGCGTCCGCAGCTGGAAGGCCCGGGCGTTCCTCGGGCTGTCCTCTGCGGAGCCCCAGGCGCGCTTGTGACGAGGAGGTACGGACGCATGCCACAACAAAGCGAGCCGTCGCTCAAATTGCACGCATGCTATACGAAATTTGGAAGCTATCGATCACTTTAAAGCGACGGCTTTATATGAAAACCCTACTCGGACCCTGCTTACTCGTGCTAGCATGGGTCGCAGCGTAGCAAGACCACGGTGGAGAAAGTCAGTAACAGAGCGCAGCTGTTGGTTCGATATCTTAACACGTGCAACCAATGGCATTGTGCCACGCGGAGTGGGAAGTGGAGGGAGGTGTTAGTGCACGACTTAAGCCCCCTCCGCACGACAGTAGTTCTGGAGCTGCATGTTGCCACATAGACAACGGAGTTGGCAACGAGCAAGGCTGCCACCCAGAGGAGCAGGGTTCAAACCCCGATCGGCCCGCCTCTTTTCTTTTTAGTACTACGTACTCTTCTGGAAAGTTCCGGCTCATTCTCGGCTGTAATCGTGCGTTCTGGTTCGAAACGTTCAGGAACGCACCACGTGTATAAAAAAGCGGCGAAGTGCCGGCTTGGGCCAGTCACCCTGGTGTTGCTGTCGCAAGACGCGCGCTACTTTTCTCTTAAAGTTTGTAGACGCAAGTTTGCCTCATTCATTTTCGGTTTTGAATTAATCTACTGTTCTCCATCCGTGACAACGTCGGTGCTGCCACATTTTCGTCGCATTTGACAGAATGTCTAAGCCAGGCAATTTTTGTTTAGTTCCATCTTGAGGTGATTAAGACCGCCAGGCTGTGGCAAACCCATGGTATGCTACTGGCAATAGGACCTTCGTGCTTTCTGATGCTCCTAAAGTTGAATATTTAACACGTGGCCTGCCCCGACGTCAAATCAACTGCCTTTGAGGCGGCCTCGCTGTCGAGTGCATACCTTCTGCGGCATTTGCTTCGCACCACCAAGCCTCCTCATCAAGAACAAGTATGGGTGATCGCCAGCGTGGTGAGATGACGTCACATACAAGTCACATATTGATTTGACCAATAATTGACTATGTGGATTTCTAAGATAAGTAAACAAAAAGACAGCGTGTGGGCCAAAGCAACTCCCGCAGGCAATGTTACGAGGCTTATTGCTCAGAAGCATTTGTGTGGTAAGCTTGGCAACGACTCAATGCAGTGCCAGCTCTGGCTGATAATGCTGTTGGCGAAGACTCAAAAGTATAAAGCTAAGCAAGCCTGTCATGCTCACTCTATTTCAAGTTTATGCACACTTGTGAAATTAATGCTGCTGTGTGTCCCATTACACCTTGTTCTCAATTGATTACCTTTATAAATAGCTGATATAAAAGTAAAACTGAAAAACAAATCTACTCTTGGAATTTTTTTGCTCCCATCATGATATTGGTTGCAACACTACATATGTCTTGTGGCAGGGTTTCTCAATCGTTTCTATGTCAAGGAACACCTTGAATGTGGAATTACATGTCAAGGAACATGGAATTATGCTTGGCTTCAGCTTTAATGCAATAAAGCAGTGCAGAGGCATGTAGAACTTGTAAAGAACAAAGTATGTTCTAATGAGTGTTTGGCACATAATTATGCACCAATAGATTTAGTGGCGTCGGAACACAGGTTATTCTTTCAGACATTTACAGCTAGGGTTACGCGTTTTAGATTCCCAATCCTCCGAAATTCTAAATTTAATTTTCAAGTTTTTCATTTTTTTTTTTTTTGTTTTTGTTTGATGTGTAAACATCTGCTAGATATACTTCTTCAGCTAGATTTGGCGTTGGCGATATTGCCATCGGCAATACCAATTTGTCCCCCAACAAAGATGTCAAACAGTTGTTGCTTCGATAAATGTCAATACCTTAAAATCACTAAACTCCCAGATGTATGTAGACAGCTCGCCACTCGTCTACACTTCCGGAGGTAGTCGCCGGGAAGCTTGTTTTCATTTTATCATATGCCATCACCCTAACCTGCAGCTACGCGGAGTGGACTGCTGAAGGGTGCAAGAGGGAAGCTTAAAGTACCCCCCCCCCCTTTTTACCCTTCTATGAAATCTCTATAATTCGTAGCTTTCACTTACACAACCCCTCTTTCTACTAATAAACACAAATAATATGGTCCAAACTGGAAACCAGGACAGCGGCTTTTGTCACGTCAGAGTCAGAAGAGTAACCGCAATCGATTTATTTTTGTATAATAATAAGGACTGGAAAAAAATCAATTTGCCACCACAGTTCATTTTTTATTTGCACAATATTAAAAACATATTTTTTCCCTTGTTCAAAACATGCGCACCAATGCTTAACCAACCCGGGGATGCAGCGAAAAAAAGAAAGTCTTGTCGGTGCCTCCGAAGTTGATAGTGCCGCTTTTGGCTTTCCCCCCCATCCTCTGTACGGAACTTCACTCTACCAAGAACTGCTCCGAGGGCCAAGCAAATTAAAATCACTTGGTACCAGGTCCTGAGAGTGTTGCGGATGCGGAATGCATTCAAAATACGGACCCTCGATTTCGTTTCCTGTCGCATGTGCCGCAAGGGGGCGCGCACTATCGCGCTGCAGTAGCACACCAGTGCTTCCAGTCGTTCTCGAGTAGATCACAATATGGCGTGCTGTTGACACCGAGTCTCCTAGGTATGTAATGTTTGACTATTGGTCCTTTATGGACCCGGAAGACCATGGGCATAACCTTGCTTTGCATCGGAACTGCCCGAAACTTCTTCGGTCTTTGCGATGAAGTGTGCCTCCACTCATTGCAAGCCAGTTTAATCTCTGGATGGGCATACTGAATTTCAACATTCGTGTCCATTGAACATTGAATTTGAGGATTAAAAGCGCTAAAAAATGAAATACCAGTAAAAGAAGACACACACACACAGTAGAGTGCTCTACTGTGTGTGTGTCTTCTTTTACTGGTCCTCGTTTTTTAGCACTTTTTATCCTGAAATGTACCACCAAGTAGCCCAAGTGAATGCCCTTTTATAATGCACTGAAGAAGATTATCTCCTTGGGCTTCATGGCGTCAGAGCAGCGTTTTGCACCCGTCCACACGGCGCTTCTTAATGTCTGGTATAAGTTGTCATGAAACCCACCTGGCGGACACTTTATGACACTGCAGAATATTGAGAATGATGTGGTGCACTAAACGATGACTAGTGCTAAATTTTTGCAGCCATTTCAATGACAGGAAGACGGCGGTTTTCATGTACAAGCCGTTGGACTGCGGCAGCGGTGAATTGTGAGCCTCGCCGGAGCGAAGCGAGTCGGTCAGACTTGACCTTTTAAACCTTTTGTACCGCTCGCACACCCACCGAGTCGACATATAGGCATCTGCATACTGCTTCAGCATCCTGCGATGGATATCTGTAGGCTATTCACCCCCTGCACCCAGGAACCGGATTACTGAACGCTGCTCCTCCCTGACGCACGCTTTGAAAGCGGCGGCCATTTTGAGAGCGCTATGGTCACGTCAAATCTTCCAGCAGGTCATTGGGCCAGTATGCTGAGCTTCTCTTAGTGGAGGGCCGAACAATATCTGAGGCACAGCAGTCTATCTTGAGATTTTGATTTCTTACAATTAAATTGTGGTTACTTTTTGACTCTACCTCATACAATGACCTGTGGTCCTGAATGAACCTTGACTAGATGAACAGTAAGACCCCTTTTGTAAATTATTTGAGATTTTAAAGGAAACTGGGGTGGCATTTTCTCAGGACCATAGACCCTGTGCTCTGACCAAACTTAATTGTAGAATAGCGTCTTCTTTCTGTTTTGCATTGGGAAAACGAAATTTAGTTTATCAAATATCTCCGAATTTACGAAAATGTTACTGGCAAGTGTTTTTATGGTTTTTGAGATTTATCAGAAAATGTGAAACCCTATGTATAGCCAATGATTGGGAGAATGCCCCCTTCCCCCCCCCCCCCCCCCCCCCCTTCCAATTGAACCACTGAATGGATTGCTCATATCTACTAAAATAAGTATGCTTCTACTTCTTTATGTAATATGCCTGAGCTTGCCATAGCGTGCTGTCTCCTTGGAAACCATATGCAAAGCTGCTCATATTGATTGAGCATAAAACTTATTACACTCTATTACAGCCCCATTTGAGGGTGCTTTTTCACTAATACTTCCTTTGCAATATTTTGACTCAATACCAAAGCTGAATGCTGCTAAAAAAAAGTACAAGAAAATGAACTAGTACCACAAACAATATAGCTTTTACGGATGTCCTGCTCTGCAAATACTGAACGAGGATGGTGTCAGGCCGTGTAGATGCTCCTTTAATTGAACCATTTCAGAAAGAACCCTAAAACAATTTGAAATTTGCCTCATTCTTGAATTTTTAACCGGTAAAATTGCTAGAACTATCTTCAAACCAGTAAGCATTCGAGGCAGTAAGTCTCCCCAGGTTTCATTTTCTCAACCACTGAGGGGCATCAGCTTTGGTTCTAATTATTTTGTGATGAACTCTCTGTGCGTAACTATTCTTTTATTGTCATTTGCATGCACTTGTCAGCCCCATGCTGACCAGCTAGAACCGGGGTGGCCAAACTGCGGCTCTCTGCTGGCCCAAGTGCGGCTCGCGGCTCCCTCCTAAAGGCACCCCCCCACACCCTGCCCCTTTCTGCATTTCCCCAGGAAAAAAAGAAAGGATTTCAGAATAAAGCATGGCTCGCGGTTTGGCAGCCTTGTACCCCCATACGTACAGTCAGACTCTGAACAAAATTTAAGTTTGCCCCCCCCCCCCCCCCCCTTTCCGCGGCTCTTAGAGGTTTCGTGATTTCGTTTGCTCCTCTTAGGCCGGGTCAGCCTGCCCACCCCTGATCTAGACAGTCACTCATGGGCAGTGAGCTGCACCAACTCTTTTGCCTCAGGTCTCCAGCCTTCCAGCTCCAGTCAACAACAGTCAGAGTCCCTGCTAAGGTCTGAACACCACACTATAGAATAATAAGCCAAAAACAAGAAAAAGCATTTCCGTGATATCTCACAGGGATGCTGTCCACTGGAACCATGCTGTGAACTTCACTGAATGGCACACATCTCACAGTACAATGAGTGAACTGGCACCCAGCTGCTTGTCTTGAAGTAAAACTAATATCTGCCACTGCACACCTACTACAGGGTGATTCAAGGAGACGCAAGGCTCTTTAAATCGACCGCAAAATTCAGTTCCTTAACCTATCGTGCTACGACTTTGTGCAGTGTTGAACACAGATGGTGCTTTTTTTTTTTTGTAAAATTTGCAAAGAGCGAACTTACCTGAGGAAAAAGTAAAGAAAGAAAAAGGCTTAGCTCCTATGGAAACGCAGCGAAGCCACCGGTCTTCAAACAACACGGCGCCGTTTCGCACGGGAGATAAGAGATGGCGCAAGCGGTCGCGACGCCAACTGCAGCCAACGAACAAGCATACGATACTGAGAGCCGGCGTCTTTAGCAGACAAGGAACTGCAGTTCCTTGTTCGTTACCGGGCCTGTTTTTGTTTCTGGGACTGTCACCGCCTGCAGAATGCGCGCCGCTTTTGAGTCGAAAAGATTGACTGCTAAATACGCCGGCTCTCGGCGCCGTATGCTCGTTCGTTGGCAGCATTTGTTGCACCACATCTTGTCTCCCGTGCGAAACGGCGCCGGGTTGTTTGAAGACCGGTGGCGTCGCTGCGTTTCCATAGGAGCTAAGCCTTTTTCTTTCTTTACTTTTTCCTCAGGTAAATTCGCTCATTGCAAATTTAAAAAAAAAAAATGCACCATCTGTGGGCAACGCTGCACAAAGTCGTAGCGCGATAGGTTAAGAAACTGAATTTTGCGGCTGATTTAAAGAGCCTGGCGTCTCCTTGAATCATCCCATAAAGACAACCCCCCCCCCCCCCCCCCCCCCCAATGTTTGCAGTTACAGTTCAGAAATCAAAGAAATCAAACAAATGGAAGCTTCTCCATCCAACAAAAAGCCTTCCTAAAAAAATAGTTTGCAGTAAGACCTTTTTTGCAAGGAGAACAATAAAAGATGGCCTTGAAAAATAATTGGCTGTCATGATAAGACTCAGAGGGCTGGAAACGGCTAAAAAAAAATCACAACCTATCTCTTACATAACGGAAACTGCACCATCGTCCTGAGCCTGAGACTAAAAAAAGACAGAGCAAAGAAAATAAAAATTAAAGCGAGTTACAAGTTTTGTGTTTTCTTGTGGTATGTATCACGTGATTCAAGGTGTCAGCCAAAAAAGAATTCATAGGAGTGATCCTTAGAGGATTTCACTTTAAGTTTGAGGTTAAAGCTCTATACGTATGGAGGTGAAGTCTTGTAGTCTTGTTAATTTTGTGAATTCCCCTGAATGCATCGTGCGAGTGATAAGTCAATCGTATCCCACTAATCCACGGCTCAATCGTTCAAATGCCTAGTAGGCACACAGCACCGCGTGAACGACGTCGTTCGAGTCACGCCGACTGGAACAGGACACTGCCAACAAGCACACCAAACGTACACGCTCCAGTTCTACGCAATCCAAGAAGGTGTTAATAAAATAGGCACCAAGGAGCAGCGACAGATTCTAAAAAGGTGTTCAGAGAAGTTGGACTGGAACCACGCTGCTGACCACGCTCTCCCCACTCAGAAGTAGACTCGGCGATAAAACGTGACGAGCACCGCAGAAACGCAAACTCCAACAGAAGGCAAAGAAACGATAGAAGAATGGGTCCAGCTATCTAGCGTTCGCGCGCACGCGTTGTACCGCGGATTAGAACTCCGCGCGTTGGCGCCGCGTATACGTTGCCACGCCACCGGGCAACGGTGCCGCACAGATCCAGCCGCCAGAAAAAGAAAAGCCGGTAACTCACCAGCCAACGCCATCTTCACGCTTTCGACTTCCCTGGAAGAAAGGAGAGAAACGAAGGCACATTCAGCGTACTGCGAAGTACCGACGTAAAGCAAAAAGGAGTTCTGGAGACGGCGCCAATACGACGCTCAAACAGAATCGTCGAGGGCCGCCGGAATAAAAAAACAAAAACACAGAGACGAACGTCCAAGAAATCGACGTCTTTATGTAACGAGGTTGAACGGGAGCTGCTTGTATTCCTACAATCTGCGAAAACGGTCAGAAAAAAACGGAACGATCAGCTGCGCTGTACACAAGACAATCGCGTCGAAGCGGCAAAGCGCATTTGCAAGTATGGACAGAGCAAAGATCGAAGTTTAACAGGTCGACCCGCTCACTACGTTACGTTATTTTAAGTAAGAAACGTCGCGTCGAATCTAGCTTTTTATTGTCGTGGCCCAGTTTCGCGAAGAAGCCTCGGACAGTTAGCGTCTAGCGTGCGTAAAATCGTGAGTTGTTTACATAGATAGCGGCTCGAACGTAGAAAGTGCAAGTGTTTCATTTGCTCGAGTCGCCCCGAGAAACACCGGCAGTAGACAAAGGGTCACTTACTTCAGTATTTGTGAAACAGAGGCCTTCATGTTCGCAGTATCAAAGAGGCACCTCCGGCACCAAACTGACGGCTTTAAATCCAATTCGAGGGATCACAGAACATCTCAAAACATTTATTTCCATCTGGCGAGTGTTTACAGACATAACCGTCCGCACACAGTCCAGACTCGCCTCGTTGAGCCCCGCAACGAAAAACCTCTTGGTTCTACAGGGGGCGCTAAGTGCTGTATAAATATAAAACAACAGACGACACAACTTACAAAACTGTGAAGAAAGTGATTAAATTCAGCTATAAAATTATTTTGCCGCCTTATTTTAGTCTCTGAAACGTTATTCAATGTTAATAACTAGGTCACAAAAATTAGCGCACTTTTTAATCTTAAGAATAAAAACGAAACCAATGAAGCTGCGCGTACGCGCACACTGCGCGTCTCGAGTGGCATGGTGCGCGTGACTGAACAGCGAAACCAGATTCGTTGGTCGCATTCGATCATATCTTTAGTCGGATGTGCAACAATATTGGCAAACATTTTCATTTCCTGTTACTGCAATAAGAAACGGTGAGTAGTAAACACTTACGCTTTCGATTGTTAGTTTCTATACCGATTTATTTGGCAACCTGTTCATGCAGTTGGAAGGAATGCCGTCGAAACGGTTAATCCTGCGAGAAGAGGAATATTACATAGTTCATCCCCAAATACAGCCTGCTAATCCAATGGGGTATGTCAATCGGTGCGTTTTTTTTTTTTTTTCTTACAATTATTACTTAGAGATTGGCATGTGGCCGACAATACTGTGCAGGTCTCCACTGACAGTGACATATTTAATGGGCGTGCTGATGTGCCTGTCACTGTTTACCCTCGCTGCCTTTGTGTTCGCATACATCGTCTACAAGGAGATACCGGGTAAGAATGTTTATAACTTGCAAGTGTCGCCATTGCTGGGTACTGACGGTTATTTCTACTTATACCATGTGGTAACTTCTTCGAACTACAACATCTGCGGTCTTAATTAAACACGGCAAACCAAACGCTCGCGGCGCATAAAATACTGTCGTGCGTGGCCGCGAATGACGTCACATGCAAGCTATGTATATTATATGCATGCCAAAATGTGTTACAAAAGAAATAAGGGCAGCACTATAGTACCCCGGTTTACGCCGCTTCGCGGCAAGGGAAGAAAAAAAACTTTATTGAAAGTTAAAAGGCCCTCAGTCTGCGGCAGCATTACGAAAATGTTAGGAAGTGCACATTCTGCCGGCAGCCGGCACGATAACCGGGGGGAAAAAGTGCCGGCAGTAGTCGCCTATTGGGTCTCGTATAAAACAGATTGTAAACACGCCTATTCTAAGCTGTGGATCAGCAGAAAACCCCCGAGGGAATTTTTTTTTTTTTTTGAATTTTGTTTTTTGTTGAGTTATTGGGCGATATTTACGACATCTCTCTTTTAGAATTAACACTGAAAAAAGAACACAAAAAAAAAACAAAAAAAAACACGAATGTTGTTGACGAAACACTTCCTTTTCGGGGGTGGAGGACAGCGGGGCTTGGGCCGGCCGGCACGCCGCCACGATGCGGTGGTACTGGTGGGCCAAATAGGTCAATATATTTCTAATGAGCAGCCGCAGACTGTCGCCGCTAAAGGAGGGGGAGGGGGGGCTATGTTAACGAGCTCCCCACTGATACACGCGCCGTCCGAAACTGCCGGCATTTTTTTCCCCGGGCTATTGTGCCGGCTGCCGGCACAATAGTCTCACCCAAAATGTTAACCCCGCTACGTGTGCTTTTAAGGCGGAAGCTTTATGTGTATTCCCATTACGCGAAAAGGCGTCGGCGTTGTGCCCGAAAGATGGACATAAAAATACGTCATAAAGCCCGCGCCGCTCAAGGTCAAAGCGGAAGCGCCTCAGAAATAAAACAAAGAAAAGCACAGCAACGCAGATGCTTCGTGACGGAAGCCGCGAAGCTGGCGGGGGCGCCGCGCCTGCGCAGCGGGGGAGCGTGACGTCACCACCGCAAAAGCAGTCTCAAGTCTCTTCGGCGTGTTTTTTTTTTTTTTTTTTTCATTTTATTGATACTGCTTAATCTGTCGTCTGAATTGTCAAAGCAGTACTGGTATATCTTATTAAAATTCAAAGAGAAAAACACACAAAAAGATGTCTAATTATATATATATATATATACAGGGTGTCACAAAAGAAAATTTACATGGTCTTTTTTATCGCAAAAATAAACTAGGCATCGACGAACGCTCATTCTGCGCCCAAAGGTAGAGCTAGAGGTCACAACCAGATGCCAAAGTTTCAGCCCGATCCGATAACTTAATCAAAAGTTATAAGTGATTTTCTGAAAATTTCAATGGGAAAATGGCGGCCGACGGAATTTTCAAACACATGGAGCTCTATGGCACCAGAAACCGAAAACGGGCGAAATTGGGCTCCATTTTCCCATTGAAATTCTCAGAAAATCACTTATAACTTTTGATTAAGTTATCGGATCGGGCTGAAACTTTGGCATCTGGTTGTGACCTCTAGCTCTACCTTTGGGAGGAGAATGAGCGTTCGGCGATGCCTAGTTTATTTTTGCGGTAAAAAAGACTGTGTAAATTTTCATTTGTGACACCCTGTATATATACCTGTTTATATAGGGGAAATGCAAAAACACTGAGCAAGTTTTTATTTTTCCTTCTCTAGTGCTGTAAAGTAGAAGACTATGAACCTGTACCCTTCTCACCCATTTGCCGAAGAGCAAGACAGCTTTTAATCCTCAAATGTTCTCCCAAACATTTTCAGAGCAACAAAAGGTGAAGGTTGGACATCATAAAGGTCTTCTAAATACTGGTAAGTAGTAATCAGCAATTATAAATGCTGCCACGTAAAAACACTGGCCATCTATACAACAGCCATCAAGTACCATGTTTGCAACCACACATACTGCAAAGCGGCTGGTGAGTGCCTGGATAATTTCAAGTATTGAAGTAGCACGTACACACCTGTTGCGCGACTCTTTTTCACATATGGTCTTTCAGACAGTAAATCTTAGAAGTTTTGGTGACCAGCTTCAAGAGAAATTTTGACAAAAAAAGTTTGATGAATGAATCGAAATGTATTTTTCCAATTCACTATAGAACATAAATGCGCTAAATTGTTCATAAATATATCCCCTATAAATAGCGAAAAATTCAGGGCACTGTATTTTTATATATATTTTAGCACGACAATACTCGAGGCATGTGAAGCTTCCCCTGAATATGTGTGAGCAGCTGACACAGTCACTGTGCGATAGGAACATTATTTCCCAAACGAAGAAAAACTCTTCCCTCAGTCCACCCAGCATGCAAAAGGGACGCCTGTTTCTGGACGATCTAAACATTGATGGTGAGTGAAAGCAGTTTTACATGCCTTTGTGTTGTTGTTATCCTTTTAAACACCAGCTTTCACCTTTTCACGGCAGCAATACTCAAGGAGAATTACTTTCCCACCGATCAACTCAGGGAGTTCCTGCACATGTGCGTCAAAGCCACCAAAAATAGCGGCAAGTATTGTTTCTGTTTGAGTTTGTGAACTTCATAGCCCAGAAAACAGCTCAGGAACAGGTGCCTGATCCTGGGATAAATGAAATGACCAGAGCAGCCACTTGCCATCCAAGATTTAATGGTGCACCAAAAATAAAAAAGGAAACACCGTTAAGATTGTCCTTAGCAATGAACAATGATGAACAAACATTTCTTGCATTCTGGCAAGGAACTTCTCCCTTGGATCTGGTAGAGATAGTTTGTAGCTGGTGAGGAGAACCATATAGCAATGACATTCGTTTTACCCCCAACTTGCCACGGCCTTGTTCCTATGCTGCCTCCCGCTGCCCTCCTCCCCCCCTTTCCCGCATGTGAACTTATTTGCTGCTATTGATCTTTTCCAGCTAGGTATGTTACTAGTTGAAAAATGCTTCATGGATGTCTATGTATAAAATTATGTGCTCTATTTCCAAACAATTTATTAAAGGTAGCTTCTGTTCGGTGACAATAGTTTAAAGTGTGACCATATATAGCACTTTGTTGCATTTTGCTCACACAAACTACCAATGTGAATGTTTCTTCCTGAACGATTTAGTCGCTCTAATATTATATAAAAAAAAATTATGTGCCTTCTCCTGGCTGCCAAAGGTCTTGGGAGCAGATTGGTATTGTCCTACATATTTGACATGCATCTGTCAGTCACAGGTCTTTCTTGCAGGAATAAATGATTTTGTGGCGATAATGCGGAAGTTTGGCTTGGAGCAGTGGCCCACAACACCAAGAAGAACCAACTTGACCAACTTGCTGGCGGCCGTCAGCACAGAGCTTGGTTACCATCCCCTGGTGACCATCACCCTTATCCGAGAAATGACTCCCTCAAAGCAGAAGCTTCTAATATGTGTGAGCTCCGCGAGTTTCTTTATAGGAAGCGGTCCGTATTAGTGCTGTACTCTATTCGATATTCGCTTGGAGATTAACTGCAATATTAATATTTTTTTCGAATTGTTGATTGCGGCAGGTTGGCCCCGTTAAGCGCGCTTCTTACCGAGCACCGGTGCACTGTGGGGAAGCAACACCCACAAAGCTCACTTTTGCGGGTATGGCTTCTCCGCAGCGCACGAGTGCTTTGATAAGAAGCGCACTCAAAGGGGCTAACCCACCGTGATTAATACCTAAAAAGTGCAAATATTGCAGCTGCGTGCTTAGAGGAGAAGCTAACCTCCAAAGCGAGATAGTTATTAAAATAACTATCTCGCTTTGGATTTTATTTTAATTTTAATTTTTTTTTTTAATTTTAATAATCATTCTCCAATTAGACAGACTTCTGTCTAATGTTTACTTTTAAAGCGAGATAGTGCACGCGCACACCTGGTGTATTTAAAAAGAACCGGGAACTTCATGAATATCAATATCTACATTGCAGAAAAATTTTCGAAAACTGGCATCTTGAGCAGAGAGGCCCTGACAACCTGTGTTAATCACCGATTGAAGAAAATATATTTGCATATAGCAAGAACATTTAATCCTCTTGATTAGGGATAGCTGGACATCTCTATAGGTCCAATTTTGTGTCAATTCTGTTGTTTAGTTGCCATCCCAATGTAGGCATTGGACTTTCCAATGTCACAATCGATTGCACATGCCTAGTGTTTATGTAATGTCCTATTATTGTAAAAGTGTTGTGCATAGATTTATGCTCTATTTTGTTTACATTGTGTACAAGAAAAGACTGTTGATAAAAATAATTGTTTATGTCTTTGACAATTTTCACAATGCACTGCCGTAGCTTTTGACCTAAAGAATTTCAAAGCGAGCAGGTAGTGTTAAAGAAAATTTTGTTTTCCTGTTGTGCTCGGTATGTTCTCATAGCATCTTATACAAAAAAAAAAAAAAAAGATTAATGAGCTTCAACAACAAAAGTCAATTCTGTTGTATTTCTACCACTTGGAATGTCATGGGTCCAGACATCCCAAACTAGCTCAATGAATGATGCAGCAAATTTCACCCATACAATCAGTTTCATCTCAGGCCTGTGTTATATGCACCTTAATTGGAAATTCAAGCAAGCAATATTGTTTACTGTACAATGCAGTCAGTATGAGCACAACATTTACGCTTTTTCATGTATCATTTAGACAGGATGGTGTTGAATACTGAATTCTAGCTATCCAGGTTGGTGCTCCACATAAACATATTTCGTTATACTCAATATGTTGACTAGCTTATCGGCAGTGACTTGTTCATGCCGACAAGTAGATTCTGTAAAAGCACATTTAAAGCATCAGGACGTAACATTACTTTACAAGAAGGCTTTCACGATCTTGAGCACGATACATGTTATTCACATGATTCAAGTACCTAGTATCATTACTTGCAAGCAAAACTGTCAATTTTGTAACTAATTCACTCTTAATTAAGTCGAGTTAATTCACTTTATTGCATACATGCGCGTTAGAGGGAACCACACATGCCTGCATACGCTCAAAAATCTTATATTAGCTTTGTACTCTGCCAGATTGACAAACCCAGGCTGTTCCTGCAGAAGCTCGGTCCCAAGACAGACACAACGGTGGCAGCACGCCTGCTTTTTGCACTCACCAAGTACCTGAAGGAATACTGCGAGCGCTTCGGCCACTGCCTGCAGAGGAGCGAGGCAGAGCACATTGTGACCACCATCATCAAGTTTGAACAGCTTTTGGACTTTGTAAGGGTGAAACCTGCCTCTGCACCCAATTTGACATACCTGGTGCCCAAGCTAGAGCTCACCCCCCTTTCAGCCACGCGGAATTGAGGATAGGAAAGCACAGTTATCTAGAAATTGCAGAAACAGAAAACATGCAGGCGAGCTGGCAAACTTTCAACATCTTGAAAACCCGAGACTGAGAAACAAAAAAATGAGACACACACAGTGTTGTCAGAAGTGGAAGAGTGCAAGCGAACTGGTTAGGAAACATAATACTTGTGAAACCTGTTTCAGGGTTTACAAGTACGACACAGGGAGACTTTACAAAAAAATTTCCGCTGCCGGAGCACTGCGGTGAAGCACTGTTCCACATTTGCTGGTGTACTGCTAAGAAGCTCCACCGCTTCTCTGCACTGCACCAGCGCGAGCAGAGGAAAGCAACTCTAGAGGGGCAAGCATATTTGTTCTAAGGTAAACAGAAAAAGGTATTATCTTATGGATTGGTCTATTTGGATGGAATCATCATACAGGGTGTACCCAAAAGGCCTTTACAACTTTAATGACTAATATCTTGAAAACAAAAAGGGATAGAAAGGTGTGGATTGCAGTAATATGTTAAGGAACACCTAAAGTTTTATTGTCACCACTTATTAAAGTTCTATGTGTGCTCCATCAGTAGCAAACAGAAGATAAAGTCAATACTCCACTTCTGCCCAGGTCAGACCCAGCATGTCCGCACCAAAAAACAAAAAAATGTCCGCATGAGGCAAAAGCAGGAAATGCCATCTTAGGTGTCTTAAACAAAACTTCAGGTTTCTCTTAAAGGGGCCATGAAAAAAATTTTCTACTTAAATTCTTCCTCCTCAGCTTTAATCCTCAACTCAAAGGCAAATTGAGAAATCACGTCATCGTCACATTCTTCAGCACCGGTGCGATGGCTGTGCTTTTTAGGCACACCATAGAACTTGTCATTCGCAAGTGACGATAAATTCAGTAAGGGCACTCATGGGCCACGAACGCGAATCCAAATATTCGTCGACGGATTGATTGTTGACGAGCATATACGTCCGAGTGACGCAGTTCTCTTGTTCAATGCGCGAATTGGTGTCAACTGACGTCATTCTGGCACCGCTGATGTGCTTCGAGTACCGCAGATGTATCATAGTGAAAAGGCAGAGGACTTTCGAAGGAAGAGAGGTACGAAATGGTCCGCTATATTTTCAAATGCCTATACCGAAAAGCTGGCTTTTGACTTTCTACCCTCCTCCTTTTGGCCTCCTAAACAATGTGATTAGTAAAATCTCAATAAAAAATCAATTATCCCAGCCCAAAATGCGTTTCATGGCCCCTTTTAACATACTACTGCAAACTGTACCTTTCTACCTCTTTTCGTTCCCAAGATATTAGTCATTAAAGTTGTAAAGATATATTTTATCGTCCGATACACCAAAATTTTGACATGGAGGCAGAGGACATGGAAGCTGATCATGAAGGCAAAAATTGTAAGTCAAAATATTTTATCGCACACTATACAGTAATATCCTGAGAAATGCCCACCCCCGAAAGAAAATCCACCCAGATTTTTGGCTTAATTGGCTACTTTTTTTGGACAACACCGAAAGATAGCTTACTTCTAGTAATTGCAAGGACCTGGTCAATGGTGACCTCCACAGAAATGGTGTTACTTAACCACGGCAGGAGATAAGCAAACATTGCTGACTAGAAACAACAGTCGAATTTGGTTCGTTGCCCCTCTCTGCAATCACAAGTTTCGCAATTAAAAAAATATAAAACTCGCGCTTTTCAACTTTTTTTTTTTAATCGCACACCTAAAGCTATTTACTCCTTATTTTCGCACTGTTTGCTTTCGATTGTAGGTGGGCTATCACTCAAGATATTACGGTATGCAAAGCATTGTTGTCGACTCGGGTGTTTAACGGAACATACTATCTTTGGGGCCATACTTTTTAACTACCCGAGTTTTATTAGTACAACATAAAATATAGAAAAAAGAAAAACGTTCAGCCTTTCCATTCATGAAGAAGGAAGACCAGCGGAGCTGTACTCGATACACTGTGTGCTTCTTCTTCGTCGTTGTCTGTTTTTCGCGCTGTTTCCTACGATGAATTCCCACCAACGCGGCCAACTATCCATTCTTCTATTATAGCTGGAAAGGTTGCCGCCAACTACGAGCGACGGCAGAAACCATACTGGTTGTGTGCTTGCCGCCATCGCTTATAGATGGCGGTAGCTGTCCAGGTAGGTTTGTGTCGACATACACAGACACGGTCCTGGGGAACCTAGCCCTTAACAGCTCTGCTGTAAAAACAAAGAGTGCCTTCATAGATAGGTTTTACCTTTTTTAAGATTACAAGGCAACTATATATATACCACTAACTCAATTCAATTAACATGTTTTCGTAATACAAATGCAAGGCAAGTTGCGCGCTTTCTTTATACCTACCAAAGTGCACACTAGTTGTGCATTCATTTCTTGTTACATGCATTTAACGAGAAAAGACAATACAGCTCACATTTTGCCCATTTCAACTTCCAGTACATGCACCAACCTGCCAAACAAGTCAAACAGAAGCTCAAGAACATTACCAACACAAAGGCAACTTTTCCATATATGCTTATCTACCATTGCAAAAAAACACTCAGATTCTGGTTGATTTTTTTTTTTTCTTTCTTTAGATTGAATGGGTCAGCTTGCTTGCAGCTGTATTGGGGAAGCGCCTCAATGTCACTGCAGAGACCGAAATTGTGGTTCGGTCCCCTCACTATTTCGCAGGCTTGAAAGAGGTGCTAGAGAAAAGCAGCGAGTAAGTATACAGAACCCACTTTTTCTAGTATCCTCGCTGCTTTTAGAGCACAGCTCTTAGGCGCCTGTTTCCGGCTTGAGCAGCGTCAGCGTCGCCATCGGCGTAACCACGACCCCCCCCCCCCCGAGGACTTCGGATACCTTCGGTGACCTCAAGGAGGGGGGGTCACGTGACCCCCCCCCCCCCCCCCCCAAGGTCTTGAGGTCACGTGACCCCCCCCCCCCCCCCAAGGTCTTGAGGTCACGTGACCCCCCCCGTACCCTTCCCTAGTCCTCCTCAAGAGCTGGGCTCTAATTCGGCGTTACAGGGAGTTGTAAACGGCTTTCACTTTTTATGAACCGTATCATTCAGTACCTCATTTGAGCCTATTAGAACATATACTCATACTAGAATCTGTTTGCCATAAGTCCACTTCTTACACGGCAGTAACCAGTGGTTCAATCAAGCAGAGGATTTATGATGCGAATTTAGCAGCACAAGCTTTGTGAAATGTATCACGGTGTCTTAAAAAGTATTGACACAAAAAGTTGAAAAAAGAATTGGAAATATATGTTGAAACTGTGTGGTACACAGTTTGTTTATCACAAAATAATTTGTTGACAAACTTGGTCATTTTAAGACTGACGACTCAAATCGGTGTAAAAAAAAAAACTTAACCAAAAAAAAATTAGTTCAATAATATGGTAAATTTTAGAGAGAAATAAATAACATAGGGAGTCATATTAAGTATTAGTGAAAAATATAGATGGCATAGGTAGTCTAATTTTAGCCTCCAATACCTGTGAAATTCAGATAGGCCAGTTCTTGAATGACTGTTTTAGCAGAAAAAAAAAGTTTATAAAAAGTATGTCTCGCTGCCCACAATAAAACATTCCAAGTGCTAAATTGTAATTGCCCTAAGCTCTTGGAAAATGTTCCAAATTCTTTCAACTCAATCTCCCTGCCAAACAGGATGCAGAAGCAAGACACTTCACTTTAGAGTGCCTTTTGCAAGTCACGCTTAACTTGGATGCAGGTCGATAGTCACCCTCTACATAGGCTACACCATCTTCTCCTGGTTCACACCACTCGTTGTCAGCATGGAGACTGCAGGAAGTGCTGTGTCGTCCCTGAGCTTTGCCCAGATGCGCCGCTGGGTCGAGTTCCAGTGCATCATGCTTTCTGAAAACATCTTTGGATTTGCCTATCTTCACGCCTTCTCGTCCCTGCCTTCTTTTGAAGAGCACCAAAAGACGGTATTTGCAATGCACAATTTCTCCCTCTGCTTGGCTGCATTTCATTTAAAAAAAGTGTATATATATATATTTTTTTTTAAATGAGGCGTTTACAGGTTCCTGTAACGTCAATATTTATAGCGCAGCTCTTGAGGAAGAGGAGGGAAGGGTACTGAGGAGAGGGCATGGCCCTCCTTCTCATCTGCACCCTCTTCTCCTCACCTCCTCCTTCTTTCACACGCGAAATGCACGCTATCCCGTGACGTTTCAGCACGGTGCCAAAGCGTCACGTGACGCTTCAATAGAAGCCACGGTGGCGTTTCGGCGCGAGTGACATCACTGTGCTGAAACATTGTGAGCGACGTTTCTCACTCGCGCCAAAACGTCACCCGTTTCGGCACCGTGCCGAAACGCTGCGAAACGTTTTGGCGTGGTGCATTATGGGACATTTCCCATAATGCACCACGTGGTTATATCGACGGCGACGGCGACGCCGCTCAAGCCGGAAATGGGCGCCGAAGAGCTGCGCTCTAAAATATTGTTATGGAGGCGGCTGCTAATGGTGTGCTGCAGAAGCCTCCTTCATGAATATTAGCTTACTAAAAAGTGGCAGTAGTATCTATTATCGGAGTCAAGCTTCTTCCTCATATCAAAACTTTTCCATTCCCATTTATTGGAGAAATTTTCTAAAAAAAAAAACTAGTTATCATTTGTTTATCTTTATTAAAGAATTCAGTTATGCTGTGTTCCATTGTCCCCTAGTTTGAGCTTGTTTTTTTTTTTGGGGTGCTTTTTAAGACGTATCCACACCAACTAGCCCAATTAGTCATTTTTAATTAATTTTTATTGTATGGTATTTCGGAGGTATGCTTTATAGTATTCGACTGACATGGGTGGCATCATGTATGGCATATACTCCTTTTCTTTCGTGTCAGATTGTGAATGCAACACAAGATATAATTGAAGTGCTGCTACACTACACGAAGCTAACGCCATGGTTCAAAAGGGAGGATGGTGCTCTGGTGCATCAGAGGGTAAGAGAAGAAAGCAATGCCTGATGTCAGTGCCATGGACTATTTATGCGTAGCAGTGTAGCAACATTCTCAGGACAACTTGTACATACTCGGCCGAGCAAGAGTGAGAAGAGAAAAATGAAAGTTGGAAGTATTACATACCAATATATCCCATATAATATACCATATACAGGGTTTAATTTTAACTCGAGCAGTTTAGTGGTTTTCAGTGACGTTCAGCAAGTTTTTTATTGGGAGCATATGTTTACCGAATTAAAAAGTTACACGAGATTTTAGTTAGGTAGTTACTTGACTTATCGCGAGAGTTTACACCCTATATTATATGTCCCCCTGGCCGGATAACTCACCTACACAAACTGCATAAGTCCATATTTCACAGATATTTTGTAATAAATTTGCTCAAATGAAAATCAAATGCCCTGTATATTATAGATATAGGTAGGTGTTCTGTACCGTTACACAAGGTGAATTGTGATGTTTTTTAGCAGGTTCACTACTCAATAATAGTAATGTTGAATGTTATAATGCCTCTAGTTACAGTCCATGGAGATCAATGCACTTGTCCCAGACGTTGCCAAGATACGTCGGTTTGTTCAGGAATACTATAACAATGTGAGTGTCAAATAGAGTTTAGGTTTTGTTTCTCTTTATGGATTTCTTTTTCTTTTCTTCACTCAGATACCAGATTATGACAAGGAGATTGGTTTCCTTTCAAACCTATATCACATGCAGAAATTCATGACCCAGAGGTTCTGGGATCGCAGCATCGACTCCAATGCTGAAGCCTACAAGTAACACGACGCAGCAAAATTAACCATACTTTTTTAATCGGCCTCTGAATTGTTGAATTGTTTACCCCAAGTAACTGACAACTTTTGTTATAGGTGGCCAATATCTTCGCTAAGGAAACGGTGCGCTCTTGACATGCGGGACAACAGATTATGTACGTACAGACTGTCTTTGAAAGAAATTGACATAAATCTTTCACATGGGCATCATGTTTGCCCCAGTCTTTTTTTATCCTGAAAGTTGTCGATAATAACAATTGTCTTCAGAAACAAAGCTGTATATGTATTAGACATTTTGCGAAAATCCCAAAGTCCATGTGCAAAGTGTGAAAGGCCGTGTGTACTTATCACATGACACTGAAGAGGGAGAGAGAGGGTAGCGGAGCTACTCATCTGCCATTGCCCATGCTTCCTTTGTTGCCTCCGTCGTTTGCCACAACCGGTTTTGTACCTACTGTTCCAGGCATTCCTTTCGGCATTGCGGATGGCGATGCACATTTTGCGGTGGGTCTGGTGCACAACAATCATCCTGTACCATTACTGTATAAGCTTCTGCTAATTGACATATACTATTTATCAACTAATTATCAGTCATGGTAGCTGCACAGCGACAGGAATGCATGTCTAATAGGTGGAGGTACTTCATAAAATTTACTACAAATTTTTAATTGAATACCATATGAAATAAAGAAACGTCAAGGAGACTGCCTTGTGACACCAAAGGATGTTGCCTTCGTAATTCATGAGACGGGGCACCTAAAACATGTATCATACTGCACCACGTATGCCTGAACATAACTAGAACACCAGCAGTCATATAAAATGTGCAATCTTCATTTCAACAGACTGCAGGTATGACGTTCGTCTCTAGTAAAAAAAAATGCCCATGAAATCACAAATGCTTGCATAGCATAAATAATGTCGTAGCAGACTGCATTTGAATTTGCATTTAATATTATCTTACATTCTATTTTCTGAAATACAGATATTCCTGCTATCCACATACTCCTCATTCAAGAATCCACTAAGAAAATGGAGCAAGTACTTCACTCAATATGATGTTTAGTAGGACTGTGTTCAGTAGCTAGATGATATCTGAGAGTACAGATAAAAGCTAAAAGCACACTGCAAATGGCCATAGTTGAAAAAAACATATGTTCTATGTATATTTGTTAAAATAAACTTGTTAGTTTGAAAGGTAATCAATTAATGTAGAAGTTTAGTTTGAATTTGCATAATTGAAGAGCCTAATCTACCCTTCACTTGGGTACTCCCAATTTTTTGGCAGGTTTCCTCAGGTTCCAGTCCTGGCTTATTACATCTTAAATGCACTGCTGCCCATGTTTTTTCAGGATGGTAATTTATGTTACTTATAAAGACTATACATAGTTTGTGCAACGCTAAACACATTTCCAAGGGGAAAAGAATATGGTACTACCCAAGTTTGGACAGAAAGTGGAGGCACTATTTGTGGCCAATGACTCAGCAAACAATGACTATGCATGCTAGCATATTTGCAAAAATACTCCAAAAGCCAAGAGACGTCATAATTAAAATAAGAGCACCAACTTGACATAACAAAAACAACAATTTCATTAGATGTTTCGCCTCCCATGCGGGAGGCACCTTCAGTAGTTACAAAGCAAATGCAAGGTTCAACCTCAAGTTAATGCTATTAATCAGGAATGTCCGCAGAAGCTTTGTAGAGAGGGCCGCGGTTTTTGTTACACATAGATGTGTCCCTGCGGACAAACCACAATTCTAGGAGTTTACAGGGTCCCCATCTATTCTCCCTCGTCAAGGTCGTGGAGGCCGTAATGTCAAAAGAATGCCCCATTGTCCACGTGTGGTCCTAAAGTTAGTCTTCAGTCGCATCGCGTGGGATGCATACGTGATGTCACGCTTGTGTTCCTTGAGCCGAGACTCTCTCTTCCGTCCAGTTTCACCAATGCAGGATGCCGGGCACTCAATGCAGGGGATCTTATAGATAACGCCTTTCTGGACGTTCACTGGGGTCGAGCTTTTTGGTTTGGAAACGGAAGTTCCAATGGTTCTGTACAGCTTGTAAACAGTTTGAATACCAAAGGGCATTAAAGCACGACTCAGAGGTTCGGACACTTCTTTGACATAGGATATGCACACTACATTCTTGTTTCTTTCTCTTTCGTACAATTGCACATTTTGTTTGATTTGGTTGTTGACCTCGTCAACAAACCGCTTTGAGTAGTGACTATTCTTTAAGGCTTTCTGTAAATGAATAATCTTATTTGCACCATGGAGCTTGTTTATGGCACAGTATTTAATCTGCGTGCAAATGATCACACTACTGATTTCTTGTGTTGCACTGGGTGATAGAACAAAAAATAAAAAAAATCATCAGTTCCACATGGTTTGCAGTACACACTCATTTCAATCCTGCAGTTCGGTTCGCCTAGTCTTCATTACACATACATCTAGGAAGGGCAACTTGCCATGCTGTTCCGCCTCCCAAGAAAACTATCGCGGGGTGAACACAGTTTAACTCTCAGTGAAAATCATTAGCATGACCTCTATCTACAATGATTAAAGTGTCATTCACATATCGGCGGTAAAATTTGACCAGGAATGCAACTTTTTTCAGCACTTTCTCCTCAATATGCTCCCTAACAAAACTGGCAACACTGACAGATACCGGGCTTCCCATCGGATGCCCGTTCACCTGATGATACATCTCTCCATGGAAGGCGAAGAAACATTGGTTCAAGCAAAAACGTAAAAGCAAAATAATATCAACATGAAGTGATGTGCGTGTTACCAGGCTTTCATCATCAAGTAAACATTCACGTGCGACATCAACGGCAACATCGTTAGGAACATTAGTGAACGGGAAAACTACATCGAAAGAAAACATGCTTTCATTTGGAAGGAGGGTTTGAGCGCAGACCAACTGAACGAATTTTTGCCAGTTCTGCACACAAGTCATTTTTTCCTGTTACTGGCGCCAGTAACTCTACCAAATATTTCGACTGGTCGTATGTGGGGCTGCCAATAAAGGATATAATCGGATGCAAAGGACATTCTGGTTTGTGCACTTTTGGTAGGCCACACATGTTAGGTGTGCATCCGTCAGGAAAAAACGCAGCTGTACAGAGAATCACTCACCCTATCCTCCTTCCGAAGTTCTCAGAGGTGATCAACTAACGAACGTTTGGTTTTCCCAGTTGGGTTGCGGGCTAGTTTGACAAAGTGTGTGGGGTTACTAGGCACCTTGTACATCTTCTGGTCGTAGTCAGTCTTGTCAAGAACCACCGTTCCCCCACCCTTATCAGCATGTAAAATGACGATTGACTCATCAGCTCTCAACTTCTGCAACACCCTGCATTCATGCTGGTCAAGGTTTGGCTGCAGCGGCTTGGCACTGTTCAAAATGAACAGCACACAACTCGGGGCAAGGTTGACGCCAGTCTCGCTAGATATGTGGCAGTTTTCCCTAGATTTCGACAATAAAGTCACGCTTGAGGACGTGTCGAGTTGCCATTGCAAAGTTGAGACCTTTTGAAAGAAGACTCACGTGGTGGTCCAACAGTTCCTTGGAAGAGTAGTTGAACACAGTCTGTTTCTTGTTCTGTAAAGTTGGTTTTGGGGGCATTAACCTTGCAAGCTTCTTGTGCAATTCTGACAGTTCGTTCTTTTCCATGTCTTCGGCCTATTTCTGTGCGACGAAAATACTGCAGAGGCCATCATACTGCGTAGAACGTGCATAAAGTTTCGTTCCACCGTTGCCCGTCGTTTTTTTGGCATGGTTGATCCGCAGAGAAACATCTGTGTGTAAAAAAAACTGCGGCCCTCTCCTGAAAGCTTATATGGACATTCCTGATAAGTAGCCTGGACTTGAGGTTGAACCTTGCATTTGCTTTGTAACTACTGAAGATGCCTCCCGCATGGGAGGCAAAATGTTCAATGAAATAGTTTTTTCTGTTGTGTCAAGTTGGTGCTTTTATTTTAATTATGCTAGCATATTTAAAAGGACTCAAAGTGCTCTTTAGCAAACTACTCTAGTGTTTATCCTCCTGTTAGAGTCTGTTCCAATCGTTTCACGTTGCCATAGCTAATTCAGTAGTGTTCAGGATTGAGATCATGTCACATGTTCATTTCATGCTTAAGGGGCATTAAGACATTAAGCACACTGGACATGTCAGAATGCGTCCACGAAAAGCATATCTGGACATCCAGGTACTTGTGATGAACATAAAAATAAAGAAATAGCTTCGTGACGAGGTATGACTTCAGGAATGGTGGTTAATGGTCATACCTTTGTCACTGAAAGTTCAAAACATTAACTTACTCAATCACTTTTTCTCCTGTAGCTGCAGGTTAAACAAGTAACAGCAAACCAGTAGTGTGTGTTGAAAACTACTAATGGAACATTGCAAATAGTATTGTAGCACTACCTACAGTTGTCAAAAGACAAGAGCAACCTGCTCAAGACAATTGTCAAATTTGGGTAATTGCTGGAAGTGGCAGAGAATAAGGGAAAAGTTGGAAAAAGTATAATAAGACAATTGAAAAGTTGGTTCTCTTCTATTTGATTCACTAAAACAAGCCTTTGTGTCTGTGTCCTGCATCGACTAGCCAAAGCCTGAAACGAGCTTTATGTTTACCTTCTGTCACAGGCTCGGTATTTGACGAGACGGGGTCTTACAACGAGTGGTGGACGATCGAGAATGAAGAAAGCTTCTTCCGAGCTGAGAGGTGTCTCCTGCAGCAGTACTCAAAGTCGGTGAACTCTGACCTGCAGCAGGTACTGGGCTTTGCAAAAGGCTTAAAGAGAAGTAGATTCACTGTGGCCTGCTTTGTGCCTTTGAACTTTATATAGCCCATTTCTATTTCTATTCTTTTACAGGACGAGATGAGAAGCCTAGCAGCACAAATCATGAGCCAGAACTTTCTAGTCAGCCCATCTTATGAAGTGAGCACTTACATTCTCTTCAGCACTTTGATGCAACCACTCTTCACTGAGAGTGATTGCATCAAAGGAATTACACAGCTGGGAAACTTTTCTGAGAGGAAAAAGAACTGGCACTTCCCCTCCTCAATTATTTTTTTCTCTTTTTTTTTATGCTGTGGGCAGCTAACTACAATTCACAATAACAAAGGGCAAGGTTACGGTTCCAGCGAGCAAATCAGCATGTCGGAGAGAGGCAAGCGACCACACTCTATCTCACTACCCTAATGCCGAATTGACGTGGTTCTTTCTGCGCACTCTCGAGCGCTCTTTCTAGAGCGCGAGAGATCGGGTGGTGGAAAGAGAGTGCGGTGGCCTGATCGGCTGGTTCTTTCCGAGGGCGCCCTTCCCTCTCGGAGCGTTCCCTAGCACTCTGTCTCTACTCGTCGGAGCACAGAGCAGCGCAGGCGTCACATGGTACTGGGACGGGGATCACGTTTTGTTGACGATGGTTGACGAGAAGTTTTCAGGTTTGGAAAAAGTGCGCTCCGAGGTTTGTGTTGTAAAATAAAGGGAGTGTCGAATATAATGCACTGTGATTTGTGTCACATGGCAATATGCACTATATCCCGCTTGCACGATATTCTGCAGTGAGAAAAATGTGGTTTATTAACCAATTTATATTTCCCTGCTGTGCCATATGCATGACCGCTACCGCAGCGCGTTCACTGTCGAAAACACGATGAGTTGACAACTCTTTCCAAACATTGGTTCCGTTCTGCATTAATCAGTTCGCACACTGCAGTTTTCTTTTTTTACACATGCTGATGCGTAGAACAATTTACGTCACATTCGGTATTTCATCACATTGTGAGTGTAAATTTTGCTCAATCATCCACCGTACGCTGTGAAATAATTTCTTTTCTTTTTAGTGCATTATAAATGTTAAGAAGTTTTACTTCCGTGACTGGCCTGAGAATGTAAGAGCGCTCGAAACCCGGCAGTTGTGATCGGCTGAAAAGAAACCCGAGTAACTCTGGTGCCGAACAGGGGGCGCTCTGCTGAATCGAGGTCAGAGGAGAGGCGACCAACCAAATTCGCCACAAGATCCCTTCAAAGCACCCACCCAATATGAAGGGATAAATGGTGAAAAACATGAGCTGGGATATCTTTAAGGATGAGGCAGAAAAAAATTTATAAAACTTGGAGAACGCTTAAGCTTTGCCTTTAAGAGTGAAATGCGATAGCGTTATCGGGCCCTGTTTGCATCGCCTTCTCATTCGCTTCTCATGCTCTTCCTGCCAGTGAGCAGGAAGTGCGGCGGACACGGTTTGCTTCTTGCCCATTTAAAGGAGCGGTGCAACGATATTCAATTGGAATGTTTTTCACTTTACACGAGCTTACTGGCACTAATGGGACTCAAGGATACTCGCACGCAACGGCACTGACCAAGAAACTCCTTTGTTGCGCTGTAATTTCGAGGACAAAACCGAGCGTTTTCATTCAATCTCTCCTTCGCAAAACCTGATGACGTAGCTCGGCGGTAGCAGTACCGCCCAGTGACGATATTTGAATGCGGCTTATAGATTGGACCCGAGCATTGCGTGGGCACTCAATTTGGGCTCGTGATAATCGACAGCCCGAGAAGCATTCGGGTAGTGTCCTGTGTCCAATCGCTGCAATGACGACAACAGCCGAACCATAACAATGTCTGGAACGCAGCGCGTGTCCTATGCCTTGCGAACCCCAGCGCATGGCTATGATCAACATTGGCGGCATATAATCGGCTCCAGATCACGTGGCCGCTTGTTCTGGCTGCGAGTTGAGGGGATGACCTCTGCTCGTTTTTCTTTATTTTTTTCTGTGACTTCGATTGCGTGTGGTGAAAAACAAACGGGTATTTCACAGGTCATTAACGTCAGGGATCCGTTCTAAGCGGTATTTGCGCAAAATAAAAAAATCGTTGCATCGCCCCTTTAATATTGGTAAGGGCTGTCACATGCTTTGTTTCTGCCTGCCGCTCCAATTAACTCGAGGGCGCTGCAACATCCACTTTTCTCCAAGTTACAGTAAGGCGAAGCATAGAAAATTCTTTGGAGACTATTCACTTTCCAAAAGGTTGCCTTTTGTAGCCCTTCTCGACAATTTTTCTTACCAAGTTAGACCCAAAGAGGGCATCTTTTCATCCTTTCTGTCATTCAAAGACAAAGAAGATTCAGGTTGATATCTATTGAGAAAATTATAGATATAGAGATGGTCGGTACACCTCCACAGTACAAGAGAAAAGCCCAATCTGTGTATTTTATTTTGTTCGGTGCCCCTTCACTAGATTCCTTATTGCATATACTAGGCGAATAACGTAACTTTTCACTGTGCGCTGCAGCGAAGGTTTCCTTACTTTTATTTCTTTCAAAACAGCTTTAGTCCATGCAGCAGAACTTGGTATCACTACAAATTCCTGAGATTTTATTATGTTTTTGCACTCACTTTTGAGGGAGGAATATCACAATTAATGACATGCTGAGAACTAAACCACAATTCTGTTTCGACTGACTTGCATCATTTACTGAATGTGTGCAATCCCTATGCTGCAGGATGCAGTTGGCCTGAACACCAAGCATATGGTTATGATAGTGTGTATTCTATCAACATCTCTTCACAGGCCTATAAACGAAGTCTGAAGAAATCCGGCTTCAACCTGTCCAATTTTAGCTTGTACGAGAGTTATCCGGCGGACGTCAAGCAGGTGTTTTACCTGGCACATATGACGGTAGGTCGCTCCTTTCAGACCAAACATGATGTTCATTGAGATAATGCCCAACGAACATACACGCTTGTTGGCTTTCCCCACTCCGTCCCAAGGCGGTGTGCGACGAGACAGAAACTGCCCAGAACTCCCACCTTTACCAGATGTTCAACGAGGACCTTTCCGACCTTTACAGGCAAGTGACTTCGACTAGCTGCTCTTGGGAAAGAAAACATTCGCACCATAGGCTTTAAATTTACCGTATTTACTCGCAGAATGAACACAATTTTTTTTCCGAAAAATCAATGCAAAGTTGTTTACTTTGCGTTCATTACGCAAAGTAAAATTTTTGCATTCGTATTTACTCACATAACGAACCATAATGAACGGACCTTTTATCCTGAAAAATCGAAGTAACTTCTTATCTCTTTGTGCGCGGCGCGCGACCCGGTAGCCAAACTGGGCTGTGCAAAAAAAAAAAGCAAAAAAAAAACTTTTTTTTTCTTAGTCATGGGTTTTTTTGTTTTTTTTTTTGCTGCCTTTCGCAAGCTGTTTCGTTTGCTTAGGCGAGGGCTTCTGATTCTTACCTCCTTGCGCACGGCGCGCGACCCCATAACCAAACTGCGCTGTGCAAACAAAAAAAACAAAAAAAAACCAAGCTCCTCTCCATGTTTTGCTTACGTTGATCTTTTTTTTTTTATTTTTTTAACGTCTTTTGCAAGGCGTTTTGTTCGCCCACGCTGCCCATGCGTTCGCGACCTGGCTGCACCACGACAGAAAAATGTGTTCATTTCGCGCGCGTGGGGGGAGGGGGTCAAAAGTTTGGCGTCCGAGTTGGGAGTGCGTTTAATACGCGAGTGAAAAAAAAAAGTTGAAATTTTGAGAGCTGACTTTGGGGGGGCGTTCATTACGCGAGTGTGTTCATTGTGCGAGTAAATAGGGTATGTGCTACTCCCGAGTTAAAAACAACTGTCATCTTCTTACCTCTGTGAAGTACCTCTGTACCAGCCCTAATATAAATTTACCTTGCGGATAAAGTTAGTATACACAAAATTCATTTCCGCAGCATTCCTTGTGGTCGTGGCAAACTTAGTAGTAGTTTTTTTTTTTTTTTTTTTTCTTACAATTTTCTTTGGTTATAAATGGGTAGAACCTGAGGAGAGGAGGTGGAGATGAGAGCGTGTGCGGACAACAGAGCACCGAGCGCTGGTTGGAATTATCAGGGGGTACACTACTTACTGTTCAAACGCATTTGCACTCTAACAGTAAATACACGTTCTGTAATAGAGGCTGTGGTCTCCATACAACTTCATGCCTACCTAAATGGTGAAAAGTTTAAGCCTACTCTTGACATATATTTTTCTATGCGCATGTACAGGATTTTATGCTATTATCAAGTTATTTCTTTTCTTCGAGTCCCACCACTTTCATACTAAGAGTTCAGTTCGCAGAAGTACGCCCCAGGGCCATCGTGCTTTAGTTTTTTTCTGCATCAAAAATCCCCCTCAGTGTTTCATTTGAGTGCAATTGTGACTATCTTTTATACTATTTGAGATGCCCTTTTAGCTATTTACAGCACGTTTCTTGCCACAGAAGCATGTTTCCCTTAGTACAAAGCTTAAAATACTCTTACCAATATAAGGAGCCAATCATAAATAAAGAATGCTTAAGATGAAGCTCATGGGTCGCGCTCGAGCTAAGTGCAAACTGCTTGTGAATTCATAGGAAAACACCAGCAAAAAAAAGCTGCCCTCTTTAAGCAATCACTGTGCTATAAAGATATAAAAAAAAAACAAAAAAAAAACAGTCTTGCTGTTGCTTACAAGTTATGGTCATGAAGTATTAAATGTTCTCACAGCTTTGTCACACTAATCTACAGTAAGTGAAGAGATATTTGCAGGATTTATATTTAGAAAATGTGTTAAAATGCCGCTTCTTGGTACATTTCATTGGAATGAAATTTCATGATTGGGGTACAGCAATCCCTTGTTAACTCAAACTCAGCTGTCTCTAAATATTGGTTAAGATGAAAGGTTTCCTTGTCAGGAAATTAACTTCAATAGGCACAATGCATTTACTTATAGCTTGAAGCTTTCATGATGGGCCTTAGATATTTCAAAATATAGTAAACAAAAATTAGAAAAAAAAAAAAAAAAAACAGGCGGGGCACAGCAAACAATGAACTAGAGTGGCCCAAAAATTAGTTGGCAAAGAAAAAGCAATCCAAAATCAAACACAAAAAAAATAAAAAATATTCTGCATCATCACGTCCGTGCAACAACGTGCAAAAAGAAAAAAAAATAAGTCCCGCAGAATACGCCTCAATGACAAGGATGCCTCAAGGAATGAGAAATGTTGCACTACTTCTGAGAACTGTCGTAGTTTGATACAGATATCAAATTGAGTAGTATGTTATAAGGCAATATTTGAAAGATTTAAAAATTCAGACAAGCCTACCGTAACGATCCGTCCATGCAGCAGGGCCTAGTTATTATATTTTCAGTATTAATAAAGTGACATTACATTTTGGCACAATATTGGTGCAAATTCATCACCTTTTGACGAAATGTAGTAAAATGTAGCAGGGAAAGCACTTTGGCGCCGTTTGGCACAGCAATCACATCACTTGTATCGTTGAAACTCTTTTCGGAGAATTACGTATCATGCACAACTTTTCACGGACATATGATTCTTGAACATGTTTTGTCGACACTCGTCACGCGCAATGCACGCTGTAGAGATATTTTGTCCCGCATGTATCACTGGGGTGCACGTTAACCTACCACCCTGCCTGCATTCACGCCGCTTCGCGGTGACAGTCTGTGGCGGCTCATTACAAAAATGTTAACCCACCTGACCAACTAAAAACCTAATCTGAGCTGTCTATGAAACAATCTGTCGATGAAACAAACTGTCGATGAAACATTGCATGTTGATGAAATTATCTGTCCTTGAAACGTCGTTCGATGAACTGATTGCCACCGCTACTGGGCTGCTTCGCGGCGACAGTCTCATGCAATTTATTACAGTAAAATGCTAATCTGAGCTGTCGATGCATGAAACGATTTGTCGATAAAACATTGTGTGTCTATGAAACAATCTGTTCATGAAACATTATTCGATGAACTGAGTTCCACCGGGAGAGCAGTGCCTCTACTGTAAAGTGGGGTTCTGCATTCATGCAGGACCATTTTTTGCTAGGAAGGGGCATTAAGAGCTAACGCTGTAAAATGAAATCACAATAGCATTATCTTAGAGGGGGGTCAGTTCTGTATTAATCATCCTCACAGCGTACAGCAAAATGGAGGACGACTGCCCTGTTCTTTTCTTTTCCACCATAGGGTCAACATACCATTCTACAATTTCCCAGAGTATGAAAAGGCAGTGGCCAGCTGCAGAGAACCAGAGGCTTCTGTGCTGGCCAAGATTCAGTACTGCTGGATCTGGAACCCTTACTGATCGAAGAGCATGCCCAACATAAAATTTATATTCATTCATTTACTACTCTCTTTGGTGCATACATTAAAAGTCTTCTAATAATGTCACATTTGTAGGTGATTTACATGAAACAGATATAGTACTTGTATGTATCAAAATTTGTTCACTTATATGTGAAAGAAATCGCTTTATCAACACCTCAATATATTTTGTTACCCTGCAAACCCCGGTGTGGCAACGGTACAATATAGAACATTGTTAACAAATGCTCGCATAAAAACTAAACAGCTTCGATTTAAAAGAAGATAGTACTTCTCATTTTATCACTAACGTACCGTGATATTACACATAGGGCATGCCATTCAAATTGTCGATGGTCAGTGTCGACCAAAATAATCCTCTCTACGGCTAATAAAAGAACCACAATGTACCAAATGCAAAGGCAGCCCCGCTAAATACGTCGTCAAAGCGAGCGTGCCACTCGGCAACTGATCAAATGGCAGTGAGCGATGCGAAGAGATATATCCGAAGACCGCTTTCACAGTTCTTCCCTCCACCGAGGCTCCTCCTGCAGAGTCTTCTGGGTGATGGGAATGCGGCCTTCAAAGACAAGCTCATCCTCTGGAGAGATTTCGTCCACTGCGTAAGACGGAGAAGAACGCTACTGTACGAGGGGCTTGTAACGTTGTACGGTCGACTCTTGGTAATGGACGTTTTGCAAAAATCCTAAAGGTCTGCATACAAAATCCTGCATGCTCCTCCTCGCCCCCGCACCATCTATCCCGTGACACCAAGGAGAGCGAGGGCGAGAAAGTGACCAGGGTAATCGGGTGGCGCGGTGGCCCGCCCGCCCTCGCCCGCTTGCCTGCATTGCCTCTGTCGGGTTTGTCGCCTGCTATCGTCGCCGACAGGATGAGGACGACAGGGCGTCTTTTTCAGATGCCCGGCCTTCAGCACGTGCTCGTTGCCCTCCGCCCTGCTTTTGCTGAGCGTGAATGCTCAAAGCTCAAGAGACGCCGAATTGTTATCAAAAGCAGGAAGCTCGCGCTGGAGGTGAAAGAACGGAAGGACCTCTCTGCTGCTTTCATGTTGTCAGTGAACATGCAACCGGTTCTTTACAGATTGTTCCCAGCATTCTTTCCTTCCGGTGCCCTGGACGGCACCGCATATTTTGCAACTGGTCTACTCGGTCACTTTATTCTAGCTTTCGGTTCGTTCAAAGCATGGGTGTTAGAGTTAGATGTCAGTAGAGCAAATGGGTTTTTTTCAGCTGTGTTTGTCCTTTGTCCCCCTCCTCTAGGGATTATCATCATCATTCTTGTCCAGCTCGCTTGCACCTTTGCATTAATTGCAGTATCATCACAACCTTAAAATGAAGGCTGTTGACCCTTGTTGGTGTTAGGCTGCTGGTAGCTCATACTAGTTTGCTCTACTGATGTCTAACTCCTGGTTAACTCAGTTGGTAGAGTGCTCCACTGGAAATGAAGAGGTCTCTGGTTCGATACCAGGACCAGGCAGATTCTTTTGGGTTGCGCACCAGTCACCTAGCTGTGTTTGGAGATTTGTTTGTACTTTGCCCCCGTTGTTCCCCTTCTCCGGGGATTATTATCGTCAATCCTGCCAAATGATTTGATATTTAAGTTGTCCAAACCAGCTCTTACCTTCGTGCCCTGCTTTGGGCAATTTTACGAGATAAATACGGCACCATTCCAGACGATCTGTCCGATCTAGCTGCATGCAGACAGCCCATAACATAACCCTGTCTTGAGGTTGCAACCAGGTTTGACCTTAATATTTAGAACAATGTGGTCTTATAATGCTGAGCAACAAATGATGAGCTGTACGTTCAAGGGCTGGATACCTTTCCAAAATGGGTTTCTGGCTGCTGGTATTCTCAGTGCTCATGCAGACAGCATGCTCTATGTTCACCCACCAAAGCAGAGAGCTTCTGTGTGTCAGGTTGTCATTTTGGCTAGCTGGGCAATGACTTAACATCATCTGTACTCGTTTTCACCAGTATTAAGAAAATGTTGGGCTCTCGTGAAGCATTACTAATTCTTTCTTTATGTCTACTAGTATGTGAATGTAAGATCGGTTGTTTGCCATTTTATCGAAACATAGTACACTTTCAAAATGAAAAAAGCATCCCGTTTTGCTCAAACAACCAAATCTGGTAAATTATGCACGAACCCTGCTGTGTAACTACAGAAATTACGTGCAAACCTCGCTGTTTTCTAGAGATGACACTCAGTATGTAGACAAGAGTGCCAGGACAAGACGTATACATGTGCTACACGAAACAACATGCCTAACAGTTTCTCCTGCCTGCAAAACAGTGATACAGTGCTTCGAATAAGAAAAACACTTTGTCCACAACACCACAGGGACGCAGTGGGGCCATCTCACCGATGCCAGCCATTGCAAAACGCTGCTCGAGGTCTTCGATTTGGTCCGCCCTTTCGCCGAAGTGCACGCCCTTGTAGGCTCTCTTTTTTACGCAGAATTGGAGTAGCCTGAAAAGGGTGCAACGTGTTTTACAAATAATTCCCCGGGTCCGGACGAGCACCGCTGTTTTCGAGATATCTAACTGAGATATCTAACGAGATACCTAACCAGGCATGTTACACAAATACACAGCAGTAGAATGACAGCCCGCAGCAAAACCCGCAGAAACTTGAACTTACGACGACCACAGTTTTCAGCATGAACTGCCGCTCCACATGCTCAATATCTGTTAGTTCCTATATGCCTGCTGCCAAAGACGAATGCTGCTCATCTTGTCTTTAACTACAGTTAGTGGAGTGTTCTACTTGAAAGAAGCATTTGGAAAAACAAGATAGACAACGTTGGCTTCAGTTTTTGTCCAGAAATATTTCGGAGGAATTCGTGGGATCAAAGTTTAGCTAGCGACATCTACCGTATTTACTCGCATAATGAACACACCTTTTTGCCGAAAATTTGATGCAAATTTAGGGGATGAACCTACAGTCAAACCTCATTATATCGAACACGGATATATAGAATTATTGCTTATATCGAATCATTGTCGAACTATCATAAGAATTACATGTATCTTAAAATTTTAATAGCAAACTCGGTCGGTTAAAAAATGAATATATCGAACTCCGCAGCGCCGGAAAGCTGCGCTCAGGAGACGGGCGGCAGGCTTTCCTGCAGCACACCGGAGGATACGGCGGGCTTCCCCACAACACACCACAGGATAGCGGTGGCGCAGCAGGCGTTTGCGGCTTTTATTCAAGCGCATGCCCGCATAAAGCTTTATGTCTATGGTGCCGGGAACGCCATCCAGATTCGGTGGCATACGGGCTCAGTCAGCTCAATCGTATCACCAGCATGGCTGTTTTCATGCTATGTGCGTGGCTCCCACAGTTTCGTTCCTCCGGGTCCGTTCTTCCGACTTTGTTTCAACCGCATGTGGCGTACTGATGGCAACAAACGTAAAGAAACGTACGTCGCTGACGTTTGCAACAAAGCTTGAAATCATCCGCCGCATTGAAAAAGGAGAAAAGAAGTCCAGCTTTGCCGAAGTGTACAACATACCGCAAAGCACTTTGAGCATGCTGCTGAAGACTAAAAGCGACATTAAATCGAAGGCTGAACGAAGCAAACACTCCGGCGCTCGCCGTTTTCAGACACCGGCCTTCGAAAAGATGGAAAGATCACTTCACATAGTGGACACAAGGGCTCGGAACATTCCGGCGTCAAAGCGGATGCTTTAACAGAAAGCAAAGGACTTCGCGTTCATGCACCAAGCACAAAACGTCGCCGCAAGTAGCAGGTGGCTACAACGCGTTTCACAGCCCGTTACGACATTGTCGGGAAGACGGTCTCGCTTTTACGCCGCTACTGCAGAGCAATCGACGGTAGTGGTCTGGCGCTGGTGGACCGCTTGGAGACAGTGGAGCGGGCCGTAATAAGGCATGCGGTCAACTCCATGAAGCAATTTATACGCTGCGGCAGTTTTTTTCGCTGGAATAGATAGTTCACCTTTGCGCTTCACGTGAGTAGTCATTTTTGCCGCTAGCCATTTAGTGATTAAATCTCGCTGTACTTTGACACTTTTTTTGTGTGTGATTTTGTATAACGAATTTTGATTATATCGAACTATTCGACGGTCCTCGCACTGTTCGATATAACAAGGTTCGACTGTACTACAGTATAGACCACTTACAACGTAACCGCTTATAGTGCAGGACCGGGTATAACGCGGTTTTTTTAAACCACCGGTTCACCTCCCATAGAACTCCATGTAATTACATACCGCTTAAAATGCAGGCGCGCGAAGGGAAATACCGGTTATAGTGCGGTTTTTGGCAGAGCCCGCCGACCGCGCCGACGACCGGAGCAGCGAGCTCGCTTCCCTGTGCGACACTAGATAACGGCGCTGACGGCGCGAGCTGCGCGAGCCGCACGCTGCACTAGCGGGGCAAGGATGTTGCTCGAAAAAGCGTGCAGAAGCGAAGAGAGAGGCTTCAGTTGCCTTAGCGACGGAGGGACGCACGCACGTGTCGTTCACGTGCGTGCGTCCCTCCGCTGCGTTGGAAACAAAGAAACAAACAGCCGCAACGACAGACTAATCGCAGGTCGAGGAGAAGTGTTCGCGCGCGTTGCATGCTCTCTCCTTTCCCCCCAACCTCTCTTACAACGCTTCTCCTCCTCCTCCTCCTCTCCGGTCGCGGGCCGGCTGCTTCTATCCGTAAACATGGCGTCGGTTGTGATCGTCGTCGTAGACGGCGTTCATCTCATCGTTCTGCGTAAAAGCGCTATCCTTGACTGTGAATTTTCGTTGTGTGTCGCTGTGATAACCCAGCACGTAGTACTAGAAGGGAAGATCCACCTACTCGTGCGGCGATGTCGTGGCGGCGCTCTCAAGACGGCAGAAACGCCCGTGTCGTCGTGTTTGTTTACTTCGACTACAGTGGTGATTTCTAAGCATTTGTGTCCTCGAACATCGCCCGGATTTCTGACTTTGGCGCATTTCATGCGTGTGCTCAAGTTCAAGGTATTACTGGCGCGTACGTATGAAGGATGCGAATTTTCACGCGTTTTCATCTCCGGAGAAAAGTGATTAGGGCTAGCAATCCTGAACGCTCGCAACGTCCGTCCGCAACTCGCGACGCCGTTAAAAGGCTGCGCCAGGCAAAAGCCGCTCATTTCTTTCAAAATGTGTGACACACTTGAGACAGAACTGTACTAGTCTGGTGAAATAAAGACTTTCCTCAAACTAAGCTTTATTTTTCATCTAACATAAAAATAAATTCTTTTACAAAGGTAAGTTGTTTCATGGCATGTATTTTGGCCTGAAAAATTGCTGTTTTGGTTATAGCGCGGTACCGCTTATAGTGCGGATTTTCGCGACTCCCGAGACATACGTTATATGCGGTCTACACTGTACTTAGGCCAATATTTTGTGCATTTACGTGTTGTGCATAAATGTCATTTGAGGTGCCCATCTGACAGGGGTATCACTGTGGAGTGTCTTCACTCATAGAGTTGCACCATAGCAACCATGCTCTACAAATCGCTAACCTTTCATGGGCTCCTTTGGTCTCTACACCAAAGAAAAAAACGATGCTCAATGCAGTTTCTGGATTAGTGGCGTCTCATCACAGAAAACAACGTTCCTAAGACTAACCACTCCCACAGTTTCAATATCTAAAAGTAAACCAGCCGTAGCGTGTTTGTTTACATCAATGTATCCAACAAATGAAACGTCTCCGAGAGCTGCGCGTGCCATGCAGCCATGCTGTAGATCAGTTCCGTAATTTCCCACTTCCATAGCAGTCATAACAAGCGTGCATGCAGCCATGCTTTACTTGGCAGGCTTGGTGGCTGGCTGGGTCAGATGCAGTTCAATGCTTGCAGAGCAAAAATGGGGTGTGTTCCTTATGAAGAGGGGGCTCATTCATTATGCGAGTGTGTTCAGAGTGCAAGCAAATACAGTACTTAGCAAAAAAATCTGCAATATCTTGTAGTGCAAATCGTCTTGATTGCCCAGGTGCAGGTTTCCGCAGTAAGCTGAACTATACTGTTAATGAGCTTGAGCTCCAGGGTGAATAAGCACAATCCAATGTAACATCGAGATCTCACAATAACAAGGATTATATGCTTTAGAAACTTGTAATGCCACAAAGAACAAAGTGTAGTAGTACTTGCCTCCTCCAGCAAGGATCCTTGCTCAGAGTGTGAGGGTTTCCAACAACAATGAGCAGCGATTTTGCTCGAGTCACAGCCACATTGAACCTCTGTAAGGAAGAAAGATGCTCAATAAAAACTTGGGGGAGGGGGGAGGGTGTAAATATCAGGGTTGTGCAAATACAGTCGCCGACCATTTTTTCAGACTCCGATCATTCGGACTTGTTCAATATTTCGGACCTAAAGGCGGAACCGTGACTTACCCCATAGAAATAGTGTATATTCACAACCAATGTTTCGGACAGCTTGAAGTCCGAAAGTTCGATTATTCGGACAAAATCGTCGCGAGCGATCAGCGGAAAACACCATCAAGAAGCGGCCATTTTGAATTCTATGTTGGCTGCAAATCGACTGGCTTGGTTTGGCAGCGCTACTTGAGCACTTCTGAGTCCTACCGCTAGGTGACGCTATGCTAGCCCTTTTTTTCCCAATTAGCTGCACGTCATCATCATCATGATTATAATTTTGCTTTGATTTTCGTTCCTTGGCTTCGCCAGTCGCCATTCTGCGCTCGTGGATTTGCGCCTCTGATCTCGTTCGGACAACGTTGGCTTGGACGTCATGGCCCCATCTGTTGTTCTGCCGCCGCGATCTGTAGTTAAGAAGCACAGAAAGTACTCCACCATAACGCTAAAGAAGGCAGCGATTTTCAAGCCAACAGAAAGTTGCCGAACGGAAACGGACGTGTAACCTAGAACAAGGCACGCAGGCGTAACCTGAACAAGGCACTACTTACGGCTTTTTTAAGCCCACTTAGAAGTAATAAAGGCAATTTTTTCAATCTGCTGATTTTTCGGACTGCTCTATTATTCGGACGTTTTTTTGGTCCCTGCGAAGTCCGAATAATCGGTCGGCGACTGTATATAAATTTTCTAATGCTTGTTTCGAATGATAAGTTATTCAATACTCGAAACTACTATTAGAAAATTCACATATTTACACAACCCTAGTATTTGCACTTTCTGAGTTAGCACCTCTAAAGATAAATGAAATCTGATTTAATATTCCTGCGAACAGAGTCACTTTCTCATCTGTATGGAAAGCCCCAACTCACGTTTCTTTATTATTTTGGTAAAGCCCCGACACTTGTGTCAAAATGAACATTGACTGACTGATCGTTTGTCAGATCTCATCTCGCAATGCAGACAAAACAAGAAGTAAAAAAATGAAAGCCGTTTACAATTCCCTTTAACGCCGGTTGAAGCGCACCTCTTGAGGAGGAGGATGGAAGCGTACTGAGGGATAGGTGACTCCTTGAGGTCACGTGACCTTATGGGAGGTCGGGTGACGTCAAGGGGGTCACGTGACCTCGGGGGGGGGGGGGGGGGGGGGGGGGTCACGTGGCCTCAGGCGGCCACGTGACCTCAGGGGTTCACGTGACTCCAGGGGGTGACGTGACTTCAGTGGGGTCACGTGACCTCAGTAGGGTCACGTGACCTTAAGAGGTCATGTGACCTTGACAATGACGATTTGATGACGTCATCAATGACATCACTGATGACGTCATCAGTGATGATGACGATGCGGATGCCAATGACGTCATCAGTGATGATGACAATGCGGATGACGATGACGTCATCAGGTTGCATGCAACCTGGATTGCATGCGACAGGTTGCATACAAATCATTGTATGCCAGTTGCATGCAACTCCCGAAGGAACCCGAGGTCCTCCCGAGGTCCTACCGAAGAAACCCGAGGACTCCCGAAGGAACCCGAGGTCCTTCGGGAGGACCTCGGGGGGTTGACGTGACTCCAGGGGGTCACGTGACCTCAGTGGGGTCCCGTGACCTTAAGAGGTCATGTGACCTCAGGGGTCACATGACCTCCCCAGGTCACGTGACCTGGGGGGTCACGTGACCTTGACAATGACAATTTGATGACGTCATCAGTGACGTCACTGATGACGTCATCAGTGATGATGACGATGACGATGCGGATGCCAATGATGTCATCAGTAATGATGACGATGACGATGCGGATGCCAATGACGTCACCAGTGATGTCACTGATGACGTCATCAGTGATGATGACGATAACGATGCGGATGACGATGACGTCATCAGGTTGCATGCAACCTGGATTGCACGCAACAGGTTGCATACAAATCATTGTATGCCAGTTTGTTGTTGCATGCAATTCCCGAAGGAACCCGAGGTCCTCCCGAGGTCCTACCGAAGAAACCCGAGGTCCTCCCGAAGGGACCCGGGTTCCTTCGGGACGACCTCGGGTTCCTTCGGGAGTCCTCGGGTCCCTTCGGAAAAATTTACCCATAACGCACCGCGCAATTACGCCGACGGCGACGGCGACGCCGACGCCGCTCAAGCCGGAAACGGGCGCCTAAGAGCTGCGCTCTAAAAAGTGGATGGAGCGGTTGACCGCACCTTCCGGTTCCTCAGGAAGCCCACTTCGTGCCGGAAGTCGTTTCCCAGGAGGTTGGGGTTGCTCCTGACGGTGCTGATGATGATCACTAGCCTCTCCTGGCCCTGGAACTCTTCTGTCGAACCCACAGTAATTCCACCGTGGCCACGCTTCTCCAACAGGGTCCGAATCTTCAGAACCTGTACAGTTCCAGAAGCATTAAAGCGGGCTCCATAAACTTAATCCCGCTAGTTTTGTCCAAGCCCGTATAAAAGTAGTTTTTATGGATTTGCTTTTCCAAGTCTAAAGCATTCTGCACGTCCTCGGAAAGCGGACCTGCAGAGTGCTAGGCTACTTAGAGACTTTGAAAATCTAAATCAAACAAGCAGCTCGGTGACTCATGATGCATGTTACACCATTTTATAAAAATATTATTGCACAATGAATGTATGTTTCCGATTCAAAAGTTTTAAAAACCCAAGGATACGGAAGGACGGACCTGGACCTAAAAAAATGGGCCGAAATCGCTGCTGCTACTGCTGCTATGCTGGTTTTTGAAAAAATGCGTTAGCATTTCGTGCAGCGGTTCTATATATATATATATATATGTATATAACAGCATAGTGAATTCAGGCTCCCAGCACTTTTCTGCAGTATGAACACTCCTGAAACACCTCTTCTTTCTGGTGCAAGCAGATCAGTTCACTTAGCATGCGCATGAAGGACATGCGTGCAACGTGCGTAAAACAACACAGCCATTTCGTTGTACATATTTTTTTCGCCGCAAACGTGCGTTTAACCTTGCAGCCGATAGATCCTGCACATGAGCGGCCTGTGCAACGTGAAGTAGGCCACACAATGCCGCCGTTTGAATGTTATGTTTGTGGCGACCGAAGATCAAATCTATATAGTAGTGGTGCCGTTACACGACGTGGCTTCGTCAGTGTCCGTGCACAGTCCGTGCCGAGACCGCATGTGCCCTAGCAGCCACTGGTTGTGTCCACCTCCAACATTAACATTAAAGCCCCCCATCACGATGAGTGGCACCGTACGGTGTCCTCCACTGGTTGGGCTGACACCCATGTGTTGGGTCAAAGAGGGGAACCGCAGTCCGTGTGTGTCCACAGGTCTCAGAAGCCGGCGGCAAGAGCTTCCGAGGGCGTCCAAAGCGTGCACCCACACCCCGACCACCATCTGTCTGCACTTGCAGAAGGCGTTTCCTAGCCAGTTGCCACAGCCAGTGCGGCTGTGGCACCATCACATGGCGACGTTGCAAACTTTGCTTAGTCCAAATCAGTACCAAAGTCAGCGCATGTACGGGGCACTAAGGCTACCGCATTAAAAGAATTTCAGAAACCGGGAATGTTCCTACACTTGAGAATTGCTGCGTACGACCAACACCTCCTAGACAGCGAGGCTGTAGTGCCGAATTTTCAGCGCAACCTAAAGGAGGCCAAAGCAGAGCAGAAGTTGAACATGAGCACCGAGCCGTCATTCGGCTGGGAGTCTTGTTCTCGCCGATTAAATGTGGGTCTTAGCCAAATGCTGCCATGGCACCCTTGTCCAATCTGCGCTGTGTGTAAACCTTCTTCAGGCTATGCTGAAAATTTGGCATAATGGCCTCGACATATGGGAAATGTTCGTATGGCTCCCCGCTTTCGTACCTGCTTTCGGTAAGGCGATATTATGCCGACGTCCTCTTCCCTGATGTGCACGCCCAAGCCGCTCTTGCCCTGGAGCAGGGTGGTGGCATAGTCGATCACCACTTTGGCCTCCTCCGGGTTGTAGTAGGACGGGTTGGACGATTCCCTCAGGTCCCTCCCGCAGACGCCGTGGAACAGCAGCGGGACCCCCTTGCGGGGGAGGCCCTCCCACTGAAGCATGCAGCTGGCAATGCGATCATCCGCATACACCTGCACACCAAGCGGACGACATCCTTGTGGCTGGACAGTAACACTGCACGTTATGGGGACCGTGGTTCCGATTGCTGGTCATTCATTGCACTCGCGTCAGTTCGCTGCCGCAACCGGGCGTGGGTGCCAGCAAGAGGACAGCGCCATGCTCCGACCGAAAAGCCCTCCCTTTCCCACGACGGGTGGATATCCTCGGGCCCTCGAACGATACGAGCACGCAGCTTCGCTCCTATTGGCCACTTAGACCCGATATCCCAGCAAAAGGAGCGGGAACGGCAAGAAATGCGCTCTTATGTTTGGGGCTACCGACGTCGCAGCTTGGGCTCACCGTGCAAGAAGCGCACGAGGAGAACGTTCTGGGGGAATGCGACCTGCTACTTGGTGAGCAGACACCCCGTGTTTAGACTCCCTCGTGTTGACCGCCGTGGGATTTAGACTTCAACGGCGTTGTTGGTAGAATACTGTGTATACACTGTTGTTGGTATAATAAACTTTACTGTTATCAATGTGTCTGCATTTGATTTGCGCTCTCAGAGCGTAGCAAGTGCCGCGATGACGAACTCGCTTCCACAGTCGAGCGTCATGGCACTGAGTTGGGACTCCCGAAGCCCAAGACCAACAATAGAATCCCTCAACGTCGTGCGCACCTTGGTAGCTTGTCCGAGGCAATGCAGAAAGAAAAAAAAAACTTCCTGATAAACTCCTGCAACCAACCTCAAAAAAAAAAAAAAAAAAAAAAAGATTTTTTTAGCAGTCACGAGATTTGTTTGACCTATTTTGGAACATTCTCCTGTTTTATTGGACAATCATGGTATTATTTTTCTGCACAATATCCCCACAATTCCACAACTAGATTGTCCCCTTACAAATACTGTAAATAACAAATATAATATCCTGAACGAAAGCCTACCTTTTTGCGGGAGATGATTGGGAAAAAAAGTCAGGTGGGGTGTAGTTCCTTAAACTACAAATTAATGATAAAAATACATTTGAAAGCAACGAATATGTTTATTCGTCACTGCTGAAGCTCTTAAATGACATGTCGCTGTCTATGTCAAATATAAGCTCCAGCGCCTCACCAGCAAGGCCCTTCTGATGGCTGGGTCCCACCGCAACCCTACCATCTAGCGACGTCAGTCTGTTGTTCAAATGTCAGTCTTCGGAGCCATCCAGACTGGTGGACTCCCCACACCGTTTAAAAGACAACTTGGTACAGTGTCTTCAGAAATGGAGGCCCATGCCTCCGAGACAAAATGCACGACGTCCTGTCACGACGGCACTCGAGGGTTGCTTCGGGGTCAATGCTCCCTCCCATAAGTATGACGACCAAAGGCAGCAGAGCACATCCTTGAATGGCTTCATCCAGCACACATCAGCCAGTCGTAGAATTAATGCGCAACCCCTGGGTATTAAAATGTCGGTGTCCTTGGCTTCGAGCATATCCCAGGCTGCATCTGTTCGGTGAATTGGTGCCTGATCCAGGACCAGTAGGTGCCTCACATCGTCTGCGTCAGACCCCCCCCCCCCCCCCCCCCCCCTGCTCTCCTGACCCACTCCAGGACGGCAGAGGTCATTCAACCATTTTTCTAATGGCTAAATTGCACATTTGCTGCAAGTGCAAACAGTATACAGTAAACTCTCAATTGAGCAAACGTCGGTTTAACAAATATTTCAGAATAACAAATAGAAAAATCCTTGGCGGTTTTCTTATGCATTCTATGCAAAAATTTTTCAGTTAAACGAATTTCAATATAGCGAATATTTCAATTCAGCAAACTTGATCGGTGGACCCAGGATTATTTTTGTAATCAGTTCACGAAGTATTGTGCTCTGCAGTGCTGGCGTAGACGATGCCGGCTGCCCCACCGCCGCCGCCTCAGCAGCGTGTCATCACTGGCGTTTACAGCGCTGCCGAAACAAAGCGGCGGTGCGGTAGACGAAAATGAACCATGTGATGTGTCTGTTTTCTCTTTGTCATCCATTACGTTCAGCCATCTTAGTTTTGGGTAACAATGGCAGGACGGCAGTTTGTGCACCCACTTTCATAATGAGTACGACGAAACGGAAGCGGTTGTCCCTATCAGACAAGCTCAAAATCCTTCAGCGTCTGGACAACGGTCAAAGGCAAGTGGACATTGCGAAAGACTATGGGACTCCACCGTTGTCAACGACAGTGAAGCAAAAGTCGAACCTTGAGGAGAAACTGCATTTAATACCAACAGGAAACGACTCTGCATGGGATATTTCAAGCCAGTGGATGATGCCATTGCGGTATGGTTTCATCACAGCAACAAGCTGTGCCAGCGGAGGTGCAAAAAACATAGACTCTCTGGACAGCTTTGTTACTTCACGCACTTTAAGAGCGCCGGTGCAAATGAAAATTACAGATTTTTTTTCAAGCTGAAAAAGGCAGCAATGTAACTATTATGCACTTTGTATATATCGATGTACATGACTATATAAACTGCATTTCACACTTTTGACCTGATGTATGCTGTGCCCTATGCTGTTCCATATTCTAGTGAATATATTCAGTTAAGTGAACTTTTAGTTAAGTTCACTATTTTTTTGGGTCCCTTGAAGTTCGCTCAATTGGGAGTTTACTGTAGCGTGAATTGATAGTGCAAACAAATTGCAGAAAAAACTTGCATATCGTACAAGCAAGGATAGGATAAAGACCCCGAGACTGGATGGATACGGCTAAACAATTTTTGAGTCTCACGGTGGCTTGCACCCAATTAAAATTTAAGACGTCTATTTATTTATACAGATCGTGATCCAGGACACGAAAATTTATCTTTGCAACTGGGTGCGATATACCTCGAGGAATTTTCAAAAAGGGGAATTAACAAAAAGTGCTTTAATAAAGACAAATGGCTCCTCCCTCTGTTGGAAGTGCGGCATACATAACTGGATGGGGCGCGGCTCTAAGGCAAAAGATGGCGGCACTATCAGACTATTTTTCCTTCTCACGATGGCGGGTTGGTTTATGTTTAAACTTATCTCTGTTCGCTTCTCCCTCAAAGGGTGAGTAAATACAACATACCTAGAATCTTTAGCGCAAATAGCGCTCTTGGGGGGTATCCGGTCTGTTGAAAGCTGGAAGATTTATCCTGCCTGCGGTAACACACAAAGCCACCGTCAGACCTCGCTGTGCACAACCGGTGTTGGCGATTCGGATGCTTGCCTCTTCGACGGCACTGTTTGTTCTTGTGGCTGTGCAATCCATCCGCGCCATGGTTTGGTCCATGTTCGCCATGCTACGGTCTGAATAGTCATGCTCCAGGTGAAGAGTTACGATGGCTTTCCTGAACACAGCAATCGCTTCGGCATAGTCCGTCGGCAGCTTCTGGCTTTCATGTGTCCCGACACGCATTGACACATTAAAGTGCTTCTTCCAGTTCTCGATATCCGACATGATCCTTGAAAGTTACCAAGGCCCATCTGCGGTGCCAGCTGTCATGCTTGTTCTTGAAGGAGTCGGTTGCTGACGGCTCGACTGGCTGCTCTCACTCTCGCTCTCCAAAAGGTTCATCAGTGCGTCATTGACTTCTTCGCTAAAAACGGGTCGTCTGCTACACAGGGATCTTTCTAGCTCAGTTTTCCCATGGCACTGCTGCAGGAGCAATGGGTACTTGGTGATCCATTCTCTTACACGCTTCCTATCCACCTAGAACTGGCGTGCAGTCTTGCTCACGTTGGTTCCATTCTTCCGGAGCCACTCTTCGACTTCTACCGTCTTCGCAATGGTGTAGCTGGACCTCATCCAAACCGTTCTTGAAATATGTCTCCCCCTTTCACGGACAAATACAAGAATGGGATGCACGGCCAGGTTGGTTTGTAATAATTTTCTCACTGAATATCACTTCGGGCGATCTTGCGTGGGACGTAGAACGATTGACCTTGGTACGTTGTTCGGGTTTTGCCTCCCTAGCATGTTTGCTTTCCTTTGTGAAAGGAATCGGATACTTCCAAAAAGAAAGATCTGCCCAGGTATCCCCAGTTCTTTGGAGTCGCTATTTTTGGAGGGTGGGCGACACATCAGGATTTTGTTTGACATAGATATTCTGACATAAAAGGGGGTGGGTCAGAGTTAGAGGGTGGGCGTAAGTTCAGAATATTATGGTATCTTCATGGACTCAAAATTTCACAAATTTCGCAATGTGTGGAATTTGAAAATATTTTGCATGAACAGAATATTCCATTTTGGAGTAATATGCTCTGCATTTTCTGCCATGATGTGATACACTTCGTGTGACAAAAATTTTGCGATATTGTTCGAGTTGCGAAATTTACGAAAATTCAGTCCTTTAGAGTAAAGCGCCCAAACCTGAAGCTCTTGCTCATAGAACATGTGGTTGGGTATCTCCAAGATGTCAGCGTGGCTCCTGAAGTTCTTGAGCAGCTTGGTGAGCATCTGCGGGTTGTAGTGGCCATTCTCCAGCCTCTGGTATGGAGGCAGTTCCATCAGGCGTTCCAGGAGAGACACACCTGCACAAGAATGTCTTTTGTAACGCAGCAGATCTGTTAATCTGAAACCGGGCACAAGCTCACCGCAGACAGCAATCGAAACAAGATTTTAAAAAATGGGGCACTTTCGTTTGTAAAGGCGGACGAGTTCTTCCACTTTTACCTAAATTTTGGTTAAAATTCATAAGGGGCACTACGGGTTAGGAAATGTCATCGTTGTAGTACACGACCTCAAAGCCAAAAGTAACTGACGGAATGCACCCTTGACGTCGGTTCCTTCACGTGCAGCACTTGCTTTGCACTGATCACGCCACCTGCAGCGCAGACAAACGGGTTGCAGAGCAGATGCAGGATGGAGAGATCCGTGTCACGAATGCATTTCGCCATTAGTTTCAGTTAGTCGTGGGCAAGTATGACCGTTCTTGCACCTAGCACCCACTACAAATTTTTTAAATCAAAATTTCACTTCAGAATTACTGTAATCAGGACGAGCATCCACACTACATTATACCTCAAAAAAATTTAAATTGAAAAATAATTTTAGTTAGTTGGCTATTCAATTAACCGACATTGCCCATTTTTTAGTGGACCCCAGGGTCCCCAACATAGCCCCAAAACTAAAAATCCCTAATGCAATTTTTTTTTCGTTAATTCTGGATTTTTTTTTTTTTTTTTTGTAAGTACACTTCATATAAGTTACACGCTTGGTCACATAGCTTCTTCTCATACTAACTAGAGATATTGGGGACACACCCCCTTGGAGGGTCAACTTTTGAACCCTTGGCTTAAAATTAATTAAATTTACAGGGTAGGCTGGTGGTCATGCTAGAGGGTGCATAACAAAATTTTATGTCTGTCGTTTAAGTGGGAAGGATATTAGGGCAGTTTCTATCAATAACACCTCTACATTGTTTAGTTAGTTAATCTATCATCAGAAAACTATCACAATATTCGAGATTTTTATTTGCTAGATATGTAGCAGAATGGCTAGGAGGTGCTAGGCATTCTGCTAGGTACTCTCAAGCTAGAAAATCCCACTTAAACTTTCCCCTCCCCCTTACCCATACGACTCCACACTAGCAAAAAGAATAACAAGACCCGATCTAGAGTAAAATGGCAAGGTAAAAATTGTCCATATGCTACCGAAGATAATCGCGGCTAAGGCAGACAGCACGGAGTTTGACTCATGGGCCAATGCCCAACCTAGGGCCATAAAATAAGCTATGATTCTGAGTAACGACGCTTCAGCCATAGATGGATAATAACGGCTGTACCCTTTATAACAGGTGGTGGCTTGTGCTACCTAGCCTGCTCCGTAAAATCATGGTTGCCAGTTATCTGAAGCTAATATCTAAATTTGCGGGAAATGCTTTTCCCTTCTTAAGGAATGTTTGAACGGTACACGACAGAGCAAAACATTATCTCCCGAGCTTCCTGCAACCATCTAAAGCTGAGAAAATCACATTTTTAAACCAAAACTATGAGGTGCGATCAAAAACAAATTGCGCGGATGATCACGTGACGCAATGCAAATGGACAGCGTCAGCTGGTGCCTATGCGTCGACGACGTTCACTTTCACGGGCATGTTTACACCGTAGAGAAGCCTCTGCTTGCTCCGGCATATGCTCTGGCTGCCCCATCCTTCTGCAAAATTCTTAGAGCACTGAGCGAACATCAAATGCTCGCCTACGAGATCCAATTGAGGCAGACCCTCTGGTATGGGCGGTTATGCAAACCCGTGATATATGGCAACATTCAGAATCTTGCCAGCACAAACACTGCATAGGCACGTCGCACACACCTCAAAGGCAGTCGGCTCACTCTCTAGGTACGACAACTGAAGGACCTCGTGGCAAGCCACTGGAAAAGTCACCAGGTCTCGCCTAGACCACAATAGATCACACAAACAACACAGCAAATGCGTTCTATCCCGACAGCCATCCGGGCCGACTGAGCTACCGAGTGGGTGACCGAAAGCGAGGAAGAACAAGTGGCACCCTCTCTCGGCGCCAAAGCCAACTGGCCAACTGTGATGAGCGCTCACACGCCCGTGCGTGCTCTGTTCGTTGTCGGCAACACGAGCCTTGCCCAGTACGAGCTGGGTGAGGCTCGTTGTACTGGTTGGGATGCTCGTACTGATTACAGTAATTCTGGAGTGAAATTTTGATTTAGAAGTTTTACAGCCGACACCAAAAAATTTCCGAGACCGATTTTGTAGCATGGAAAGAGATGAAAGCACAGTAATGCGCACGCAGCAGTCGAAGGCAATGTGATCTTCGTGCCTTATTATGCCAAAGGGCGTCGTTCTGTGAACATTTGGGGCTGCGCTATGCGAGTTTTTCTGACCACGTGCAGGGCAGGTACAATGGCAATTTCACCATAGACTGCAAACTAGAGCAAGAACGAACATCAATGCTGCATCAAAATCTGTAAATTTAAGACAGAGACCTATGAAATGATTCATCAGTCTTATGTCAAAAAAGAGTGAATTGTGCAACGTGTTTTGAGTGGCACTCGCACTTCAAGAATGGTGAAACATCGCTAGAAGACGAAGAGAGGTAGGGCAACCTTCCTCAACCTCTCTTTGTCTTCCAGTGATGTTCTGCCACTCTTGAAGCTTGAGTGCCACTCAAAACACTTCGCACAATTCACTGCTTTTTACCATAAGGCTGCAGAATCGTTTCAAGGTCTCTGTTTTAGATTTGCCAAGTATGAGGCAGAATTGATATTCTCTCTCGCTCTGGCTTGCAGTCTATGGTGAAATCGCCATTGTGCTCGTGTGTGTATTTTCAAAAGCTTGAGTAGCACAACTCCAAATATTCAAGGAACGACGCTAAAAGGCGTTGTTCCTGAACATTTGGAGCTGTGCTACGCAAGTTGACACAGGAAGGTGCCTGCATTCGACTATTGCACAAACATCTTCATGCTGCCCTCTCTCTTCATGCTATGAAATCAGTCTCTGAACTTTCGATTGCACCTCATATAGTCTAATTGCGCCCACTATAGTTGTTGACAGGCTAAGAGTTCAGGGGAAATTCCTCCTAACTCTTTCCATTTTAGCCGAGTGAATGATGGAGAGGAAGTCACTTCCTCCCCAGCTTTTGATCTGCTAAAGTGGAAAGAGGTGGGGAGAGTTTTCCCTGAACTTTTAACCCGGCACCAAAATGACGGCATCCACAAAATAACGGGGGATGGAGTGCAGATAGTGCTATGGGTTCTCAAACTGGGCTTTTAAGAAACCAGGAGTTCCCAGATATCCTCAGTCTCCAAAATTTCCTTGGCCTATTAGGAAAATGCTTTTCCAGTTATTTTAAATACCTTGCAGGTCCTCTTTAAAGGACATTGCCTAAGGGGGGGGGGGGAAAAGAGAAGAAATACAACATCTTGAGATGTTATACATAAGAACAACTGCATATAATGTATAACACAAACAAAATCAAAATACATAATCAGGAGAAATACAACATTTTGAATAAAATATGGCAAAAGTGCAACAACAGCACATCAAAGCATAACAAACACAAAAAAAAAATACATAATAAAAAAAAAGAACAGTCACATAATTTTTAATGGTTGGCACCGACAGCACAAAAGCGTTCAGGATTGGTCTCGGTGACAATGTCACTAGGGAGTGCGGTCCAACATACTACTCCTCAGGGAAAAAAAGGAATCAAAGTATGATAAAGAGTGGCAGGTCTAGCGGTTAATTTTGCAAGAGTGATTTAGACGAGGTGTAACCAATGATGTCTGGGTTAGGAGACCTAGGCGGAGATGAGGCGAGCAATAAAAGCGGAGGCACAAGGAACAAAGTTTTCGTTTTAAAGTCAGTTCTGGAAGATTGGCTTTTCGTTTTAAAATGGTGATGCCTAAAGTCTATTTTAGCAGACTTGAGCCTCTCATTCATGCCACAAGCCAAACACTCCCCAGTGTGTACATTATTGTTTACAAGGTACCTAGGCTCCTGCACTGCTTTACCGTTTCAGCACCGAGACCCGAAAGGGTCCATTGGCTGGCAGTTCGTAAAGGAAGGCATTCCTCAAGATTTATAAGTCCAATAACCCCCATTCTAAGCTTTAGCCCGACCCAAACCTGAACTGCAAAGCAAGTCCGATCTAAATTCGCAAGCCGCGCCGAGAGTCTGGAAGAAGCCGGCCGAGAGGAGAGAGCCCTACCGAAGCCGTAGGAGCGTGCCAGCTTGCTCCGGATGACGGGCCCCAGCTGGAGGGGGTCCCCCGCGAGGACCAGGTGTCCGCCCGAGCCCCTCTGGCTGGGTTCCCAGGGGGACATGAGCCCCACCACGGGGATCAGACACTCGGGCTCCAGCGAGTGACCCGCCTCGTCTACAAACACGTGCGTGAAGTGGTTCAGTGGCAGCTTGGCAGACACCAACCTGCAAGCGTCACGCACGCGGAAATGTAAATGCTTGGCAAAAAAAACTTTAAGACCTGCAAAAAATAAGATCTGCAAAAATTCAAACTTTTTCCGATAGTAGTTTTGAAAAAAAAATACGCTATTGAATATTCGTTTCGAGATCAACCGCAGTATTCTCACTTTTTGAAGGATTGACCGTGGCAGGTCAGCCCCGTCGAGCACGCTTTTTGCTTAGCGCCGGTGTACTGCGGGGAAGCAACACCCTCCGAGCTTGCTTCTATGGGTGTTACTTCTCTGCAGTACACCTGCGCTCGGTAAGAAGCACCCTTAATAAGGCTAACCTGTCGCAATTGCCACTTCAAAAAGTACAAATAGTATCACAGTTGCGTGCTTACGAGAAAAGCACAATTTCAGTTATAACGTCTGCCTGGTATGTGCAAAAAAAAATACAATTAAAACTGTGTGAACGTTTATATCACCATTGTAGCAGACTTTTCAAAATTAAACTGTGGCTATTATGTTGAGTACAAATGCCATGACAACCTGCATTATTCATTCGTGGTTGTCTTTTTTTTTCTTTTTTTATCTGAGATAGAGGAAAAGATATTGGCATATAGCAAGAAGATTTATAACTCCCCTCGATTAGGTATAGCTGGGCATCTCCATAGGTTTAATTTTGCATCATTTACTTGCCACCTCAATGTAGACATTGGACTTCCCGAGGCCACAGTTCATAAATATAGTTAGATTAAAATTAACCCAGAAATGGACAAGAGGAAACTTGGGAGTATCATTCACAAGTTCAGCTGGGTTTTCATTTAAGTATGAAAGGCTTGGAGAAACTATTCGAAATTCGATTAGAAATTATTTGGTCAAACCACCATTTGCTTCAAATTCGCTTCAAACTCACAATTCACTAATCATACATCCTACTTTCTTTTTTTTTTCTTTGTGGCAGGGTAATTTTTAGGCACATTTTTTCCTTAAACATAACTTCTTAGCAGTTTTAAAGCGATAGCTTCGCGGGCAACACTTTGTAGAGATTTCAACCTTGTCTCCAGTCGTTGCCGCACATGCAAAAAATTAAACAAACTTTTTTCTCTCCCCTCTTGCCGCAAAGAGAGAAAAGTCGGAACTTTCCTCTTCCCGTCCGCCGTGCCGCACGAAGAGAGCGAAAAGGCAGCCCTGGTGTCCTGCCACGAATTGCAGAACGAAGGGAGAATTGTTGTGTCGTCAGCTTGAAAGACTCGTCCTCAAACATTACTCGCGTTATGCGAAATCTCACTTTGGCAGTATCCAGTCGCTATGCTTAAATGTTGGATGGTTTTAGTAACTTCCACCGCTCTTACCCTCTCACTTCACAGATCTCAAGTGGCAGTCGTCAGTGGCACCTACGACATCAACCACGACAGCTATGAGAATTAATTATACCTCCGTCCTCAGGCACATGACGACACCATTCCACACGCATTGCACGACTATGCTATAGCTATAGCTTTCATTTCTTCACACATTGTAGGCAAAAAATACAACTCTTTGTTTCGGTCTACACTTAGAAAGACAATAACATAACTTAAAAAAAAACAAAAAACATTTGCAGTTGTATTTAAATTTTTTTTTTATCCAGCGACGTCTTAGGACTGGATGCGCTGCAGCGGAGCTGGTCCTAAGACGTCGCAAGAGGCTTAAAAACCAGTCTGGTCTCTCTCAATTTTACTCGGTTGCACATGTGTGAATGGCGCTTTATAGCCCATAAAATATGACAAACATTCACAAGTGATTTATATTTTTAAAAAATTGTTTGCTGGTGCATTTTTTTAATTTAAAAACTAAAAACTTTGAAAATTTTATTTTTTAGGAGGGGAATTGAAATTGTCTATATTTCACCTCTACACACACAGTTGTACAGGAAAAACAGCCCCCATCATATTCTTACATCAGTGAGACATTGAATAATTAGGAACCATAATGAGGAAAATTAAGTTAAAGGGGTCTGAAAGCATGCTCAAAAATATTGTAGAGCCTTCCACTTCATGTGAAGATGGAGGACCAGCGAAGCTGTTATCTATACAACGTCTAGGACGATGCCTAGAGGATGACGTCTAGAACGACCTCAAGGATGACCCCGAGGACGACGTCTAGGACAACTTCAAGCATGACATCTAGAACACCCTCGACGAAAACGTCCAGGACTTCTAGGACGACGTCTAGGACGACCTGAAGGACGACTTCTAGGACAACCTCGAGGACGACACTTAGGACTACCTCTCGGACGACCTCGAGGACGACTTCTAGGACGACGTCTAGGACGACCTCAAGGACAACTTCTAGGACGATGCCTAGAAGACGACCTGTCAGCGACCTCAAGGACGACTTCTAGGATGACCTCGAGGATGTCTAGGACAACCTCAAGGACGACACCTAGGACGACCTCAAGGACGATGCCTAGAGATAACAAGGGATCAGGACCTCACTATCTAATAATGCCAAGGAAGGCTGACTCACGCTGGTTGCCCCCTCTTTTTCTTTTTATTTATTCATACCTGACCCCTCTTTTTTGTTTTTGTTTGTTCATACTTGCCACGACCAATGGGGAGTTTTCTGCCCCCATTTGATTGTCCATGGACACGACAGTGGGGGAACTGGCCCTTAAGAGCTTTGCTGTAAAACAGTTACCATGTTTATTCAAAAAATTATACACCTGATCATGCTGACGAAGACTGATAAGCACAGAATGTGTGATAGGCCTTCCAAGGAAAAAGAGAAGGGCATCTGAATTGCACTGGCTACAAAAGATTTGCTCTCATTCCTGAGAGACGCCGTGATGTGGCACAGCACGACAGGAAAGGCTGCAAAGTGCACGACCGCTCTCTCGCGCGCCACTCCAAAGATTTCGCTTTTGCATGATCTGACCACCAGCCCTGGATGGCTCAGTCGGCAAAGCACTTGGCTCACAATTGCAAGGCAGCGAGCTTAAATCCTCCCAGGGGACTGAAGTCTTTTTATATGGTTCCCTTTGGGCTCAATGCTCTTCGGTGTCGGTTTTTCGTTGCAACCGGCCGCTACAGCCGGCTGGCACAGCCAAACGTTACAGAACTCTGTGAAAATCGACTGATAAAGTACATTCTGCGTTAAAACAAGGCTTGCATGTTTACTACCTTGCGCAGTGTATAGATAAATTACTTTCAGCCCTAAGCTGACAGCGCGGTGGGAGCTATGCGCTCGCCGGACCGATCATTCTCTCTCGTTTCATCGCGCGACTCAGCTCTCTGTGCGTGGGTGGGTTTGGGCGGAAGTGCGATCACGTGGCAAAAGATAGACATTTGACTGGTCCCACGTACACGTAGCTTCCGCCGCGCCGACAGCTTAGGGGTAAACAGGGTAAAGCTGTTCGTAGACAGTCATTGTTGGCTATAACAAGTGTTGTTAGCAAATGGCGTGAAAACCTGCCACCTCCAGAGCCTTCGTAATCGCGTCCAGTATTCATCCCTACAGTAACTGACAAAATAAAAATTACAGGGCACGTCCTTCGAATACCCGGCCTCCAGCATGTGCTCAACTTCCACCATGCTTCGGCTGCGTGCACGTGCTTAGGGGCATGAGACGCCGAAGCGTAATCGAGGATAGGAAGCACCCGCAGGAAACGCGACGACTGAAGATTCTCTCTATTGTTCTCACTCAGTCAGTCGCTAGTAATGTATTTGCGACAATGGTGGCTACATACGTCTTGCCACAACAGCAATTCAGAGTTACAATTATTAATGCAACATTCACCTTGCAACTGCCTTTGAGACAGTCTTGAAGATAGTGTTACCTGACAATGTTCTGAAATAAGGCTATTCGAGATTTTTCGGTAACACCCTGTCATAGAATTGTGTTGAGGTGGAACGTACTTGCCGGAAGTGGCCAGTGTCGACACAATGACCTTGTACTTCTGCAGTTTTTCGCAGGCAGGAAAGAAGAAGGTTCTGTCATTTGGCTTGTAATTGCAGCATTTCTGGAGGGACAAAAAGATGCCTCATTATCATACCTGTCAGACTTACCATATTTACTAGCATAATGAACACACTTCTTTTCCCAAAAAAAATTGACAGATATTTCGGGGGTTCATTACACGGGGTAAAATTTTTTGCATTTACACGCTTCGTGCAAAATGTCATATTAGGTGCCAATATGACACGGCGAGGTACTGTGGCACATCTCCAGGGATGGAGGCGCACCCACGGCTGGTCGCGGGCGCGCCACAGTAACCATGCTTTATAAATTGCACACCTTTTTAGGGTGCTTTCGAGGTGCCTTTTGTCGAAGGAAAAGCGCCCTACGAAGCTCACTCAGCACGAAAAGCAACGCGACCTTTCTTAGGCGATATATATTGCCAACCTCCGGCGGCACGCTAGGTATATGCGTATAAGAACTCGTACGAAGTCCAACCACCGACCGCCCAAGCCTGCTCGCACGGATCAAGTTTCGTTCATGGAGACAAGAACTCGTACGAAGTCCAACCGCCCACCGCTGAAGCCCGCTCGCACGGATCAAGTGGATCGAGTTAAATTCACGGAGAGGCTGCCAGACACTCTCAGCCCACAGCGCAGCATGCACCTCTCTCTGCCGTTCTGCTACGGATTAAATAAATGCATTTACCCAGAGTATGTGAAATTAGGCCTAACCACTTTCATGATTTCACTGTCCGAAAGCAGACCACAGACGACGGTTTGTTAGTTGACATCAATGCATCCGATGGGCAAAGTCCGGGGCTCGGCAATTCCTCGACCTAAGCTTCGTCAAGTGTGCGCGACACTCGGTTTCATGGTTGATCACTTCTGCAACTACAGTCGAAGCTCGTTAATTCGACTCCCGTTATTTCGATCATCGCGTTAATTCAATCCTTCCGTTTAGCACCGTCAGAAATGTACAGGCTTCAATAGGCAGAAAACCCCGGTATTTCGATCTGATAAATATCCCCAACCCGATAATCCGTCCAGGGAGCCAGCATCTTCGTAACCGGGAAATATTTCTTAAGCTAACACTATAAGTTTAAAGGTTAAAACGGCGCCTCAAAACACAACACGCGTCCTACAGCCGTTGCAGCGAGCCCGTGCCCGATTGCAACACCTCCACAGATGCGCGATGCCCGTCGGCGCCCCCGGCGCCTCGAGCCGGGGCGATTTCCGCGAAAGAGCGCCCGCGCAGACAGGCGCCCTTTCGCCGGCGCCTCGCGCCGGAGAAAGGGCCGATTTGATTAGTCGAGAAAAGACCCAGTCAGAGCGCACCGGCCCGATCACGTGGGGAGGCGCGCGGAAGGAGACGGGAGCAACGAGAGGGAAATGAGTGAGCGATGAAGTGAGAAAGAACGTCGGGAGGATGGAGAAGGAGACTGGAGAAAAATGAGCGAGCGATGAAAAGGGACCGTGCTGTCACGCGGTTTCTGGTTTCTGTTCTTTGGAGTGCGCGGCGTTTAACGCTCATACCGGAAAATGTCGGAAGAAAAGCGAGGAAAGTACTCTTCGAATGATTTAAAAACAAAAGTTCACATACTCAACGAAGTTAGGGAGGGAAAATTGTCCAGAAAAGAAATTGCCGAAAAGTATGACCTCAAGAAAAGCACGCTTGCTAGCTACATTAGGAATGAAGCAGCAATCGTGAAAGCTTGTGAAGAAGAGCAATTTGTGAATTCAAAACGCCTTCGCAGTGCAGCCCATCCAGAACTTGAAGAAGCTTTCGCCACTCATTCCCCCATTGACAGATTATGTGCGAGCCTGTCCCTCCGGCTGTATCCGTTTCCATCGTATAAAGTGGGCTCTGGTTTTTAATCCTTTAGTGGTACTCGCCGTACACATACGGTGGTGATTAGACATTTTAAAGTGCCCACTTAAATACAAGACTGCACACACCGCAGGAGGTGTTGCTATTTGTTATGTCTTTGGTAAACTATAAATGTTGTACAGTTGAACCCGGATATGTCGAATTCAAAAGGGATTGTAAAATAGTTTGATATATTAATAGTTTTATATACAAAAATGTTAAATTAAGCTTGAGTTGAACTTTCCTGGCATCTCTGCTAATACCGAAGGTCACGACAAGCGGGAGCTTACCAAATAGAGCATCCAAGAGCCGCTAAATACAGTAGAGCATAGTTGGAAGAGACAGCAAACACCGCCGTGCTTACACGAGCGCCTGGTCGGGACCTCCACACAGCATAAGCGACAAACGCAATGCTCGGGTCCAATCTACGAGGCGCATTCAAATATGGTCACTGGGCGGTATAGTGCGAAAACAATAAAAAAACACAAAAACACAAAAATAATTAAAAAAAAATGAAAGAAATATGGAACAGTGAGATGCATAAAAAGAAATTGTAAAAAAAAAGTGAAGCAAACAACAAAAAAGAAAGCTCACTAAATTCAAACAACAAAAAAGGAAAGGCAAACCAAAAAAAGAAACAAAAGGGGCAAAGCAATAACGGCGAAAGAAAAAGGTAAACAAAGATGAGGAGTTCAAAGTGTGATAGCACAGCTGTTGTTGTCAACACACTTGATTTGCCAGACTTCTTTTTTTGCTCCTTTTATTTTGGGGTTAGGGAGTCACGCAGCATCAGCAGTGTTTGGGGAAAGGGCGCATGCTACTGTTCCAACAGCCGGCACCCCATGCTCTCCCTACGTGCGCGCGTGCCCTTCCCCTTGCTTTTGCCATCCTCCACTTCTTTTTTTTGCGGTTTATTGTTTCTTTGTTCTTACAACTGCTCTTTCAATGCGTATCTTACCGCATGTATGCTGGCTTGGTGGTCTGCAGCCTCGCAACGCAAGTGGCAAGCTATGCGCTCGCCACCGGGGCAATCGGATCTCAAGAAAAGCAACGGGCGGCCAGGCTTCGTTCGCTATATTAAGTGTCCCCCCGCCATGGGAGTTCGATACAAAAATACAACGCTGCTATATTATCGCATGTGATTTTCAAGGGGATGTTTATGGACTGTTTGATATAAACAATAATTCGAAATACCCGAATGTGGCATAATCGTGCTCGGCTGTATGATTACTATTTTCTTAGTATAAAAAATAGCAGTAGTACCTGGTGTGTCTCACACAAAAAGCCTTATTGGCTTGTGTGGGTTCCAAATTCTATCACATTCGAAAGTCGAAAAAAATAAAGGTTGTATTGCATTGTATTTAACCATCTTGCATGCAAGCAAACCCCAAAAACAAAACTGTTAAGAGTAGCCTTGACCGATGAAAAAGGCATCGAAGGACCCCAACGTACAAGGAGCTTCTTCGACACCTTGTTGGGGTTCACAGAGGCAGCATACATGCGGAAGATCTGCGACGGCATGAGGTGTTCCAAGAGCCTTTCGGCAAGCAGATCGCTGGCACTGTTCGAAGGGGCCAAAACCAGGATGTGGCTGGATGGGATAATGTGGCAGATCTGTATAGAAAAGAAAATATAGTCCTAAAAAGAAGCTACGACACCCCACAGTATAGATATTCTACAAGTCACACCTGTGTATAAATTGCACCTCTATATTTGTAGTCGGCGCAGTGGAACTGCGTTAAAAGCCTGCATAAAGTTTAACCTTGTTACAGCAGATCTGGTTACAGCAGACATTCAGTAATAACATACTGATTTGTTAAGTTAGGCTGGTCTTCCTATCTATGCCAGTGAGCAAACTTTGCTCATTACAGACTCTGTTATAACATACATTTGGATATAATGAACTGTATTAGGAAGTTTGTAAGTAGTTCATCGTTTCATTATAGCAGACTCTTCACCAGCAGTCATTATTTCGGACATTATGTGGCTCTGGTTTGGTAGCAATGACATCCATTTCGCTAATTTCTGTCATCACGCTCAGTGCCTAGCGAGCCTTGTATGACCCAAAGTACACAGCGATGATGATCATTACTACAGCTCAATTAAAAATTACTACCTTTAAACTTGAGAAGTTTCAATGAACCAGTATTTTTCTAATATCCATTCTCATTTCGTCAATTTCAGTGGTTAGCACAGACTCCAGCCATAATACACCTCAGTATGTTGTAAGAGTTTCTGCATTCTACATACTCTTTTTACAACAGACCAAGATCTTCCTCACTATCAAGGTCTGTAAGGTGAGTTCATACTGTATGTGCATTATTATCACAATATATGTGCAAACAAGAGAAAGTTTCAATACTCTCGTCATCGAATTGAATGAGAAATATAACTCCTGTGCCAAACTTCTGCAGTTAAAGAGGCACTAACACCCCAAAGATGGCTTTTTTTTTCTTTTTTTTTTTTGTCTAAAACAATGCAAGTTGTAGTCAGACACAAAAAAAAATACCACAAAGCGAAAAAAAAATTTTCCCATGCGCCTTTTTAATTTTGGCATTTTTCTCTCCCTCTTTTTACATCCTAGCTTCTTTTTATTTTACTTACGTAATCAATTATGCAATTTAGAAGCTTTGTAAGTGACATTTCTGTGACATTTCTACGACATTTAATAATGGCATTCGTAAAACATGTTTTTTACGCAATCGCAAACGCACTACAGCCCTTCTTTATGAAATACCAAAAATTGGCGTCTTTTTTCATTTCATTTCATTTATTCACCTTAAAAGCATATACAGTAAAACCTCGTTAATTCAACCCCCGCTAATTCGGAAATTCAGATAATTTGAACTGCCGATCCAGTCCCGTCAAACGCATGTATTAGTCAATGGCAGCAAACGCTCATTAATTCGGAAGGAACGGTGCACAGTACGGTTAATTCGGACAAATTCGGCAGGTGGCACTAGCTACCGTCCGTTCCAAAGGGTATAATCGCTATCCATCCGAGGTGCACACATGATTTTTCTGGTTATCCCATGGCTCTTCACTCTTCCGGTTCTCCGTGTTTCGCACCAGTTTTGCTCTGTATTGCCGTGCTTCAGCGCGTTACTCTCCTGGCATGGAAGCGGCAGAAGCATAGCTGCAACGGAAAAAGGGTAGCACAAGTCACCGACGACCGGAATGGCAAAATCCCGACACGTGGGGCTATTGTTCCCGAGCGTGCCGATAGCGAGAGTGACAGTCACGTTTTATGCCTCAACGTGGGGATCCTAAAGCCCGCCATTTTAACAGCTATCTTATCCTTCAATTTTTCGCCGGCCACCCCCGCGTTGAAAAATGCAACGTGACTCGCACTTTCGCTATCGGCGCGCTCGGGAACAATAGCGCCGGGTGTCGCGATTTCGCCACTCCGATTATTGGACAGTTGTGCTACTCGTTTTCCGTTGCCGCTGTACTAGGCTAAGAATTTAGCGACGAAAGTAAAAACACTGAGGGCCTTGAAGGACGGTGCCTCTCGACAAGTGACGGAAAGTTACGACGTCAAGAGAAGCAGTTTGACCACGTACGTGAAAATTGAGGCCGATATCGAGAGCGAGAAGTTCAACGCGAAAAGAAAGCGGCCTTGGAAGGTGGTGCACCCGAAACTAGAAGAGGCCTTGCTGTGCTATCTTGTCAGTCCACGGGATGCGTAGCTCCGACAGTGCGAGTGCGGTGGAGCACTCAACCGCGCTAAGGAAAGTTGCCGTCTCCGCCCAAGTATCGTCCAGAAAGCAGGCGGTAATAACAGATTTCTTCTCAAAATAAAGGTATGTCACAGGGAAACGTTTTCGCGCTGTTTTCTTTGTCCTTTCAATGTTTCGACTTTCGGATAATTCGGACATTTTTGCCGGTCCCATGAGATCCGAATTAACGAGGTTTTACTGTATTGATGCATTACATGAGGGGGGATTAGAAGAATGGGGGAGAACTCGTGACTAATACATATATGAAAAACTTTGAAAAAAAAAAAAAAACGTATTCACCAATGCAACAACAAAAACACCAAAGTGTACAAAAGAGGAAAACGTGCAATGAATTGCACACACATTGTGGAACTCGAACAGTACAAACACTGAAGTTAACAATAATACAAAAACCGTCATAGATTAGCAGTAAACAAAACAACTCTTCACAACTCTGTTCAAACAATATCGGATCAGATAAAACCACAACATCACTGCGGTGATGTCGCCTCCCAACTTTTTATCCTGCGTCAGAAAACATGGCGGCGCTCTGCACATACACTGAGAATGATTGGCGAGTCGGGGAATCAGATGAAGTTCTCTTTTTTAGGTGCTCAACAACCTCTCAGACTTCGAAAAGGAAATCGTCAAACGATCAAAACAACGGGGTTTGATGCCTGTGTGCCACAGTTTCGGTTGTGACACTGCCGGGACAGCCTTTCACACAGAACCGGCCCGACGTGGCCCCCCACGCCACTCCACTGTGCGTTCTCTTCGACCTCACACCGCTTCAAGGAATTTGAGATTGCCCTGAAAGGGCCCTAAAAAAACGTAAAACTCGAAAGTGAAGTGTCGTCTGCTCACAGCGATAGGCGGCACGCACAGAAGATAGCAGTTTACCGCGGAACGTGGGAAAAAACGACACTTTGGGTCTAGACGGTTCGGAGGCATGACAGAAACTCGGGGTGCAGGACGACTCAATCTTTGACGTCACTGCACTAGTGCGGATCGCGCGGGAACTTCAAATTCTGCTTTTGGAAATTGTTTTTTTTTACTTCACAAATACGGAGTTTCCAAGTTTTGAATTTCGAGGGTAATGTCCAGGCAAAGATTTTCAATCGTTCCGGATAATAATAAAAAAAATGATTTTGACCTGTCGGTGCCCCTTTAAGTACTCTAAAACTATGACAAAACAACAATGTAAATTAACCACTGTACAATCTGCCCACACAAAAAGTCACTATAAATTTAAGGATGTCAAACATGCCAAAACATTCTCAACCATAAAATACAACTACCCTCATATCACAAAAGAAAAAAAAAGGGCCGAAATTGCTGTTGCTGCCACGCTGATTCTTGAAAAAATGCGTGAGCATTTTGCGCAGCGGTTATATATAATAAAGCGTGGTGAATGCAGCCTCTCAGCACTTTTCGGCGGGGTGAACATTCCCGAAAGCCCTCTTCTCCTTAGTGCAAGCAGATCAGGTCACTTAGCGTGAGCATGAAGGGCAGCGGCCGCACAGGATTGGCTGGTTATTCGCAACTCCAGCGAACTATAGGGGACGCGCTGGTCAGGCAAAATAGTGGACGAAAGGAGGTTGTCTTAGTCGTTCAGCACGCGGACCAACATAAATTTCTTACACTGCAGCATAAAATTGGTGTTACTAATGAAAGCAAAGCGATTTTTCGACGATAGAAACCTTCTAGTTAGTGACTAGGAATGACAAGGCGGAAGCATAAAAATAATTACTTGGAAACAATGTTTGTTTCTATGCTGGCTATGAGGACCAACCAGCGATAGCAGACGACAGAGTCAAAACGACCTTCTCTCTTGAGCTTCTCGGCGTTGCCGCTACGTGGCGTCGATTTCACTGGAGTCGCCAATAGTGACAGCGTGGTATAACACCTAGCAACCAAGGTGCAGTGGGGGAGAGCAGGGATAGGGTGTACTTGGGCTTGGGCCGTCGGCAGGGTACTGCAAGGCGCCACGAGGCAGCGGGTATGGGTAACTTAAGGTGGGTTATATTTAGGGATGCCGCTAACTTTTTTCGAATCGAAGTTTCGATGATCGAATCAAGCGGTTCGAAAGATTTCGATTTTTCGAATTGTCTATATCGTAAAATTCGACGGAGGTCGAATTTTCGAACTTGTTAAGCTAAGAAGTTCGACGCTTTTCGAACCGTCGAACTTATTACGCTAAAAAATTCGATCTTTTTCGAACTTTCGAACTTATTGCGCTGCAAGGTTCGATGCTTGTCGAACTTTCGAACTTGACTGACCAAAAAATTCGATAAATTTCGAACTTTCGAACTTATTTATCAAGAAAATTCGAAAAGTTTCGAACTTTCGAATTCTGAAAAGTCAGAAGTTCGACGAACTTCGAACTTATAGGGTAAAAGTTCGACGTTCGTCGAACTTCGAAAGACCGGCGGACGGTTTCATTTGATTTCAAGTAGTGGGGTACATTCGTAATTTTTTTTCTGGAACTTTTACACGCGGTGCTGCGTTCCTTACGAAAGACAATGTCATTTATTTCAATGTTCTGGCATGCTTAGGTTTAAAGAAATAAATCCCCGAAGGGGCGAGGACGGACGACGGGTTTTTGACGATTATCGTTTGTGCCAGATTTGAAGCACGCTGCAGCCGGAGCTATTTATGGTAGATATGTTATACTTTTTTTAAGAATGATCTATGTATAGCGTAGGTAAGTGCCGTCTTAAGATGTGATTATTGTTATTCAACGTGAGTTTCGAAGAAATGTCCAAACATGTATCTGCATGCAATTATGACCTAAACTGGATATTTATTTGCGTCTAAGTTGTTTGAGGTATCGCATTTAAATTAACACCACAGACAGTACATATCATTGCCATCTGCAGAATACAAAATAATATATTTATTGTTTTTTCACATTAAGGAATAAATTAACTCATGGCAGAAGATTTCTAGTAGTGTTCAAGTTCAGCACGTCATTAAAAGAAAACTTTTTTTTTTTTTTTTTCGCTTCACGTTCTTGGGACGTGTTTCTTTTAGCCTGTACACATTTTGGTAAAAGAAACTTGTTTCGAAGTTCTGAACCTCTGAATATGCAAGAATAGAACACTTCCGACGAATTCTTGATAGTTTTTTTTTTCTCCTGCTTTTTATTCCCGCATTTATTCTTTTTTTTTCTTTTGTTACTATCGGCACAGGTGTTTAGGTCGAAAAGACAGCTTTGAACTTCCGAACCACTAAGCATGTGACGAGCAGTGCCTTCTGACAACGAGTTTCTAACAATGACCATCTACGCAACCTTTTATGCAGTGAAGAGCGACAGTAGCTATACATATGCATAAATAATTTCAGATTAAAATAAGCTCGACCACGCCCTCTTTCCCCGTATTGTTTTCTTTAACAGTCCGAAATACCTGCAACAGGGAGAAGAAGGCTGAAGCCCCCCCCCCCCCCCCCCCCCCCCCGCTACCCTCTTTCCCCCCGTTTTTCCTCTTCCGACGCCACTTGTATGGTAGAACGCTCCTCGACCTCGAGTTGTGTCGGCTTTTGTGCTTTTTGCGAGGCGATTCCTCCGTCCCAGAAAATAAACCTCCAGTACAATTATAAACTTCACCGGATCGGATTACTACCAGCGTGCAAGGGGTGGCGAGCTAGTTTGCCAGGTCTCTTCAAGGTTTCTCTGAGCCTCAACCTCCTGCTCGCCCCTGGCCGTTTCGAACTGGATGAGTCTCGTGAAACAGTGTGTTCGTGTGATCACTACTGCGTGATAAAGACCCCTCCTCCCCCCCCCCCCCCCCCCCCGGGGGCTGGCGGTCACAATTCTGCACTGGCAAATAATCTAGCACGTCCGGGACACTCGTCGTCTCATTTAATTGCCTTACCAACTTCGCAGAATCTAGATATCACACGCTAACTTTTCTAAACTTGATTTTGTGAAAACAAGTGAGTCGTGAAAACGTTATTTGAAACTGAAACTGTAGAAAAACTTGAAAATCGGACTTCAAACTTTGAAAACTTGGATTAAAAAAAATTCAAAATCTTCAAAGTTTTTTTTTTTTTTTTTTGAATTTACTAGCGTTAAAAGAGAATCGAAACTTTCGAACTTTTCGAACTTTATGCCAAAAGAAATTCGAAATCTTCGAATTGTTCGAACTTCACGTCTATAAAAATTCGAAGCGTTCGAAGTTTTCGAATTTTTTTTACAAAGAATTTCGAAATCTTCGAATTTATCGAACCTGAAGTAAAAAAATATTCGAAATATTCGAATTCGAAATTTTATAAACCGTGAAAGCTTTGAAATTTTCGAATTCGAAACTCCGCTGTGGACAAAAGTTGCGAATTTTTCGAAATCGAACCTCGGTCGGTACGAAAATATCGAAATTTTTCGAAATCGAACCTCAGTTCGCTTCGCAAATATCGAAACCTTTCGAAATCGAACCTAGGGTGGTTCGCGACATCCCTAGTTATATTCTGTAATGAGCCATCCACAGATTGTCGCAGCAAAGAGGCGAGATTGGGGGGGCCGGGGTGGGTTTACACAAGCCCCAGTGATACATCCGCCATCCCCCACCGTGTGGCACCAAAATTGGCAGAGGGGGACGTCGCCAGCGATCTTCGGTTGCCAGGTATTACGTCACACCATCGCTTCCTAAGCCAGTGGGGCTGTGGCGCCAACTCGTGGCGACAATGCAAACTTTATATATGTGTGCTCCAACCAAGTCCAAGGTCAGTGCATGGCGCTAACACTAATGCATTAAAAATTTCCATAGTTATTGAGTCACAAATCCTGGCAAAAACAAAATTAAAGGAGAACTCTGCTCAACTTTTGTGATGGAGAAAACAATGCCATTCACTTAAGTATCATCCAGGGAGACCATACATGAAATGAACGTAACTCCGCTTAAATGAATTAAGGGTAATTGTGCAGACTAGTCGATGGATGGTCATACTTATAAAACCCCAAGACAAGCGGATAAAACAAAAAAGGGAAGAGGGCAACACAATGACGTGTTTTGAAACGTCGCTGTGTTGTCCTTTTTTTTTCCCTTTTCTCTATGTTTCATAAGTCTGCTTTAAAAAAAATGAAAGCCGTTTACAACTCCCTGTAATGCCGAATTAGAGCGCAGCTCTTGAGGAGGAGGGAAGGGTACGAGGGGTCATGTGTTCTCGGGGGGAGGGGGGTCACGTGATTTGAAGGTGTCACATGATCTCGGGGGGTCACGTGACCCCCCAGAGAAATTTTTCTGCTAGATTTAGCGGGGAAACTTTCCCGCTAGATTTAGTGGGGAAATTTTTGCGCTAGATTTAGCGCGGAAATTTTTCCGCTAGATTTAGCGGGGAAATCTTTGCGCTAGATTTAGCGGGGAAATTTTTTCCGCTAGATTTAGCGGGGAAATTTTTGCGCTAAATCTAGCAGGGAAATTCTTCCGCTAGATTTAGCAGGGAAACTTTTCCGGTAGATTTGACAGGGAAATTTTTGCGCTAGATTTAATGGGGAGATTTTTCCACTAGACTTAGCGGGGAAATTTTTCCGCTAGATTTAGTGGAGAAATTTTTTTGCTAGATTTAGCGAAGAAATTTTTCCGCTAAATTTAGCTGGGAAATTTTTCCGCTAGATTTAGCGGGGAAATTTACCCATAATGCACCGCGCAATTACGTCGACAGCGACGGCGACGCCACTCAAGCCGGAAACGGGCACCTAAGAGCTACGCTCTAAAATGTTGATTCAAACAGCCAATGAAGTTTGGCATGCCGCAAATCGCCGGGATCTGCTAGTTGAGCTAGGGCCGTGCAGCACAGCTGACACTGCGATGCCTACGTCCACTGCAATGTCACCTTTTCGAGTTTCTTTACTTTCTTTAGACAAAGCCTACGGGTGATGCCATGGTGATGGGTCTTCTACGTTGCCGACCAGAGGTCAGTGGGGGGGACCGACTGGACACGAGTGCTGCCTCAGCATCCAGCTGGGAATCGTGCTCAATCGGTGAGGACACGAGTTCCTGCCAAACACCGACGCGGCACTTGTGCGCAGCTCTTTCGGGCATTAAGGCCTGTTCGCACGTGCGACACAGCGTTAACTCGGCGCTGTGGGGCACAGAACCAGCGATGTAGCAGCCCTTTGCTGCGTGCAACCCCATCTTTTTTAACGCAAAACATGCTTTGTGCACCGTTTTTTGTGAGAATATTGTCGCGAACGAGCGCTGTAACAGGCATCGTGACTGAGTGACACGCTGAGAACGTTACAGAAGTTAAGATTATACATAAAGACCATGTGTAAAGTTCGAGACCCCGGCAGGGCTCGGACCCGTTTTGGTGGAAGTCGGATGCGACGGCCACTGAGTTAGTGGCGCAGCCGGTCTGGATGGGTCAATGTTTTTATTTAAATGCAAAAGTGTCGGCAACAGTGGCAAGTTTTGGACGAAAATAATAAAATAAATAATTTTAAATAAATTAAAAAGAAAACAAAAATGAATATACGAAAAAAAGATAAAACAAATAATAAAATAAAATAAACAAAATAAAATAAATAAAAATAAGAAATAAAATAAAATAAAAATAGGGTGAGCAAAAAGAAATGGAGAAAAATAGTAAATGAAAAATAGATAATAAAAAATTTAAGAATCGTGCACAAAAGACACACAGAGCGTGGTTTGTGTGCAACACATTCTGTGCTCTTTGGTCTTTGTCAGCTAGAATTTTTTTTTTCCGTACAAAGACAGCGCAATGTCAACTGAGCACTGACGGTAGTGCTGATGCAGCACTCACTTTGTATTATCTCAGCACTGAGATGTACGTGTGAACTGACCTTTACGGGAAGTGGTTAGGAGCCAGCCACATAACACGTTCTGCATTAAACGATCGTCTTTTTCCAGCCAGATTTGCAAAGTTTCCCCGTTACAGATGAATTAAAGAGCAGCATGAGAACACTACAACTATTTTTGCTAAACTGCTTCACTTGAGGCAAATGTCCCTTTGAAGACTGGAGGTACTCCAACTAAGTTTGGATAAACAAAAATCCCGACATTTTGGGGCCGACTCGGCCCCCAAAACGTTGGGGTTTTGTTAAACCGATAGAGTAACCCATGACCCGTGATCACTGGTAACTGCACTGGTCCATGTGATACCGTCAAGTGGGTCTTCCCGATGCTCCCCACATGACGCATCCCAGCCCAGATGCATAGCGGCTAGGCAGTATCCCCACAGACCGAATTGATGTTATCGTGCATTCTTTGTACGTGCCAGGATTACAGTTTCTTTCTGTGTCGAGGAAAGTGCCACTGCTGTAGGCGATTGTGTGGCCGGTCTTCTTAAATAGGTTACAATCGTTACCGTCTGTTACCCTCCTCTGGGATGATCCGTCACCATCATCTGGGCTGTGATGCGTCATGCGTCGCATTGCATGCTTACGGTCAGGAAAGCCTAACTTAAACAGTCCCACATGGACAAATGCAGTCATGCATTGCTAAGGGGCTGAGCTTGTCCAAAAAACGTTGGGATTTTTGTTCATTCATACTTGGTTAGAATATCACCAGTCTTCGAAGTCTATTTTTTTTTTTTTTTGTTCCTTGCTTTATGCAACGTCTTTGGGCACTTTTAGGCAATTAAATTAAATTAAGTTCAAGTCTGTCGAAATGTTTACTACAACAACAAATATCTTAGGCACAAATATGAAGTGGCCTCCCAAGTGATACGAGTTTGGCATTTCTATATAATAGGAGGTCGTGTAGAAAGAGAAGATGGGCACCTGTTTCAACGCCTCCACCAGAGTGACAGTCTTCCCAGTTCCCGGTGGCCCAAAGAGGAGGTATGGGTAGGGCCGGTGCACTCCCAACAGAATGTTCTTCACCGCAGTGAACTGTTCCGAATTGCCCTGCACATTCTTGTTGAAGCACCTTGGAGCAACAACAAAATAAATCAGTAACACCCACCCAGCAAACTCGCACACAACACTGCTGAAAAGAGCCATGACCAATGACCGGTTCAATTAAGTTTTTTTTTTTTTTTTTTTAATGCCATAGAGTCACTTGGAGAGCAAAGTGCATGCTGGACACCTGGCCTCCAGCATGCACTTCGGGCCTTCCACCGTGCTTTGGTGCTCGAGGTCCACGAGATGTTGAAGCATTGTTAAGGGCAGGGAGCTCACGCTAAAGGTGGGTCAAGTGAAGCTCCTCCTTGTTGTTCTTGGCTTGTCAGTGACTATACAGTGAAACCCGTTTAGAATGAACCCACGTAAAGCAAATTGATATCGAACTCACGGAAAATTTAAATAAAAATGCATGTAAAAAATATGTTTTATAATGAACAACATATTGGCTATATTGAACTTTTTCCCTCCGGAAAGGCTTCCAAAAATGCGCAAACTATCGTCTTCTAGCCTGTCCCTTCTCCCAAAAAAGGAGTATGAAAGAAAGAAAATTTCAAAAGCTCTAGTTGCAAACAAAATTGAGAGAAGAGTGTTGTAACCTGGTTCAGGTGGCAAATATATTTATTTCGAGGAGCCGAAACTAAGCAGGTCCGGCCGCCAGGACATACGGTGCCGAACGCCCGAGCTGCCAGCCATGCGAGCCCGTGCACCTGGCTTGATGGTCCCTTCGATGATGATAGCAGACAGCCTGCTATCATCATCGAAGGGACCATCAAGCCAGGTGCACGGGCTCGCATGGCTGGCAGCTCGGGCGTTCGGCACCGTATGTCCTGGCGGCCGGACCTGCTTAGTTTCGGCTCCTCGAAATAAATATATTTGCCACCTGAACCAGGTTACAACATTGGCGACGAAAACCAAGAACCCCTGATGACTAGCAGCAGCTCCAACGACCGAGACGTGGGAGACAGCAGCACCCACCGCTTCCATGGCCCTGGGACGTTCGACTCCGACAAGGAAGAGTGGAAGCTCTATCAGATAAGATTTCAAGCTTGCTTGGACGTCGCGAAGATAACCGCCGACGTCGACAAGAAAAATTTATTGATAGCTTCTCTTGGATCGACGACGTTTCAGCTGCTGTACACCCTGGTTCAGCCTCAGAATTTCTCCGAGCTGACGTATCAAGACCTCGTTACACGGCTTCAGGATCACTTCGCTCCGAGGAAATTCAAGGAGTTCGAGCGAGCCAAGCTATTTTCGGCGCGTCAAGAGGAATCGGAAAACGTAAAGGAATTCCTCGCAAGATTACGGTCCATTATTGCAACTTGCGAATATGAGACGGAGACAAACGCCAGGAACTGTTCACTCTTGACGGCATTCATTGTTGGCCTTCACGATTCCCGCATCCGGGCACGTTTGGTAATGGAGAAGGACTTAACGCTAGACACTGCACTGCGGCTGGCCGAGTCTTATCTCAGGGCTGAAACGGAGTCCCTCCAATTGAATCGTCCTGACCAAAATGCGCTGCACGTCGACAAAGTAAAGCATCCTGCTTCTACCCCAGCCAAGTGTTTCCGGTGTGGCAACAGCAACCACGTAGAGTCTACTTGTCGATATCGGAATGAATCCTGCAACAGCTGCGGCAAGAAAGGTCATATTGCAAAGATGTGCCACTCCAGCGACCGCAACAAACAACGAGGAAACCGGAAACGGGACGTCAAAACCGTCACGAACGTTTTCGCTACTCGCGATAGAGACGGCGAATTTGTCACCTGTCTCGTCCAAGGAATCCCCGTTGATCTGCAAGTGGACACCGGTTCCAAGCTGACACTACTGAACATTGACACCTGGGAGAAGCTCGGATGCCCGCCACTCAAGAAAAGTGAGTGCAACCTGTGTTGTTTCAATAACCAGGCAATTCCTCTCAAGGGACAGTGCGTTCTCAACGTCACACTAGGCCAACAGACCTCTGCGTTGGAAGCCGTGGTGACAGAGAAGAGACACACCGACTTGCTTGGAAGAACGTGGATTGATGCGCTCAAGATCGACCTGAACCGATTGTTTGTTAGATCCATTGAACTGACTACACGCGCTAAGCTGGAATCAATGCTCACGCGATTCTCGCGCGTGTTCACCGACAGTCTTGGCTGCTGCACGAAGCTGAAGGTTCAGCTACAGTTCAAGCCTGAGGCAACACCACGCTTCTTCAAGCCGAGACCTATTCCGTTTGCGACACGTGCGGCGGTAGAAAAGGATCTGCAGAAACAGATCAACAACAAGGTTATTTCCCCAGTTGAAGTATCCAGATGGGCAACGCCAATCGTGGTAGTCCCCAAAGCTGACGGTTCAGTCCGCGTTTGCGGAGACTTCAGCGTCACCGTAAATCCTCAACTGGACATCGCTCAGTATCCTCTACCACGACCTGAAGAACTGTTTGCCAAGCTCAACGGAGGCAATCGATTCACGAAGTTGGATCTCTCCGAAGCGTACCTTCAGATGGAACTAGACGACGAAGCCAAGCAAGCCCTTGTAATCAACACCCATAAAGGACTTTTTCAATTTCATCGAATGCCTTTTGGAATTGCATCGGCACCAGCCGTGTTCCAACGAACAATGGACCAGGTCACTGCAGGTCTTGATGGCGTGGCTTGTTATCTAGACGACATCATTGTAACCGGGAAGGACACTTCCGATCATCTTCGGAATCTGGAACGAGTCCTCAAGCGCCTCGAAGAATACGGGTTCACTCTGAAGAAAAGCAAGTGCAGCTTTCTTCAAGAGCAAGTAGAATATCTTGGACAAGTGGTTCACGGTGAAGGGTTAAGTCCGTCCCCTACGAAGATTTCTGCTATCCTCAACATGCCTGAGCCCAAAAATGTCAGCCAGCTGAGATCTCTTCTGGGGATGATCCAACACTACAGTAAGTTCCTGCCAAGCCTGGCCGAAATATCCGCACCACTAAACGCCCTTCTGCGAAAGGACACTGCCTGGAACTGGACCTCCGATTGTGTGGACGCTTTTGACAGGATCAAACAGCATCTATCAGCAACCGAAGCTCTTGCCCACTTCGACCCTGACAAGACGATCTACCTTGCGGCAGATGCTTCATCAGAGGGAGTTGGAGCAGTGATATACCATAAAATCAATGGAAGAGAATGTCCCATCGCTCACGCCTCAAAGACGCTTACGAAGACGGAGCGGAAGTATGCCCAAATTGAGAAAGAGGCACTGGCAATCATCTTTGGTGTACGTAAGTTTCACCAGTATCTCTGGGGACGCAAGTTTGTCTTGTACACAGATCATCGACCTTTGACCACCATTTTTGGACCAACCAAGGGCATTCCAGTCACTTCAGCTAACAGACTTCAACGTTGGGCGCTAATCTTAATGAATTACGCCTACACCATCGAGTATGTTCCAACCGAAAAGTTTGGCAACGCTGATGGTCTGTCCCGGTTTGCTGAAGGCCCTGATCAAGCCTTTGACCAAGAGATGTCACAAGGCGTGTTTTCCATTCAATTGAGGTCTGAAGATGTCTTCGCACTCCACACCGAAACTCTGGCAAAGCTCCCCATCAGGGCAGCTGACATCGCCAAGGAGACAGCAAAGGATAAAACGCTCTCCCAGGTTCGCACACACATTTTGGAAGGATGGCCAACGAAGATCGTTGACCCAAATATTCAACCGTTCCACAAGCAAAGAGCAGAACTTGCCGAGCTGGACGGTTGCATTCTCTGGAATGCTCGAACGGTAATTCCTAGCAAGTTCAGGCCACATATCCTCGATCTGCTTCATGAGGGTCACATTGGTCAAACGAAGATGAAGATGCTCGCGCGATCTTATGTTTGGTGGCCAAGAATGGACCATGAAATCGAAAAACAAACTCAACAGTGCGAACAGTGCGCATCAATATCGGACACTCGACCGCAAATTCCTCTGCATCGTTGGGAAGATCCAGGAACACCCTGGCATCGCCTCCATGCAGACTTTGCAGAATTGGACCAAAAGCACTACCTCATCGTCATTGATGCTTTTAGCAAATGGCCGGAAGTCATACAGATGACATCTACGAAAGCATCAGCAACCATGGATGCCTTCAAAGAAATATTTCAGTACCATGGTCTTCCACAACAGTTGGTAACGGACAATGGCCCTCAGTTCATTAGTTCCGAATTCGAGACGTTTCTGGTTCAAAACGGCATTGACCACCTTCTCACGCCATCGTATCATCCGAAATCAAATGGTCAAGCCGAGAACTTCGTGAAGACGTTCAAGACCGCTCTTCGTCGCGCAAAGGGCAAGGACAGCCGGAAGAGCCTACAAGACTTCTTGATGCGATACCGCATTACCCCTCATATATCCACTGGGAAGGCCCCATGCGTACTTTTGAACCAGAGACACTATAGGACGGTGCTTGATTTGGTAAAACCCTCGGCCAAACCGTCCAGGTCTCCACAGATCCGCCACTTGAACTCGCGCTCGTTCGCAATTCACCAAAAAGTCTGGATCAAGCACCCTCTGAGAAAACAGCACTGGATTAAGGGTGTGATTCAAGGAAGGGTAGGCAGCGTGATTTTCGAGGTCCTGGATGAGAACTTCAAAGTTCGCCGTGTGCATGCTGACCACCTAAAGAACAGAGTCACATCCGATGCTTTCGAAGGCCTCCTGTTTCCGATCAGCAGAAGTCCACCGGTGGAACGCACTGCGTCTCCAACGGAATTTCCAACTCCAGCAAGCCCAGGAGCTTCACACCGTAATTTGGAGCACATTCCAAGGTACCCTCAACGAAGACGCATGGCACCGGAGCGCTTCCAGTCTTCGTAATCGGGGAGATGTAGCAGACAGCCTGCTATCATCATCGAAGGGACCATCAAGCCAGGTGCACGGGCTCGCATGGCTGGCAGCTCGGGCGTTCGGCACCGTATGTCCTGGCGGCCGGACCTGCTTAGTTTCGGCTCCTCGAAATAAATATATTTGCCACCTGAACCAGGTTACAACAAAGAGAAGCAATTCAGAAGGGGAAATAAAATC